TACACCTGCCACTATTGAATAATGAATAAGGGAAAATTGAGTTACATTGCCAGTATATATTCAGCTAAGGAAATAGAAAATTTAATGACGACCTATATTTTGTAATCAAAACTATTATTATCACAGTTCCAGTTCCATAAAACAGGAAAAAACAAAATGGTAGCTGAAGTACTGAATAACCTGAAAGCGTCTACCCAAAACGAATCGAGTTGCCCGTGTTCAAGCGTGATGCTTGAAGCTATGATCCAGCTTGAGTGAATTTTATACTTTGAATATCGGAAAATCGATAATTTGCCATTATACGAATCGGCCGGTATGACTGCCCATCTACATAATTTGTTAAGTTAAACATACGAGTACCAACACATATAGAGACATATCCTATATCAACTTCAGGACAAAATCCCTAAACGTAACATATGTATAACGAACATCACCTACAAACAATCGAGTCAAGTAGATTGGATCTATGCTTCCCAAGCCTTCGAAACAACGTCTTGTACAATTTTCTATGTAGTGCAATTGCAGCAAAAATGTTTTGTCAGAACCAGTTGGACTTTTCATGAAAAGTAGTATCCTCCTTTCTTTGTGTTAAACTGTGTGTCAAGAATGTTTGATAACTGATTTTTAATATGTCTTGATACGTACTTATATATGTATGCACTATACTATATAATATTACCTTACGAAATAAAGCAACCTCATTATACTCCAAGCATAATGCTCGTATACGATGGCTTAGTTCTAATACGACGTATCTCACAAAATGTCGAAATCGAGATTTTGATGGATTTCAAATGAAAAAGGGTATTTCTATCATGTGACAATTGTAGTAGCCAACCTGCTAATAAAAACACCATTCTGCACATATACTATATGTCGTATCTAAATCAGCTGTTATTTTCGGTTCCAGTAAGCTGTATCCCTCAGCATCCACTTGTTCACTGAACGTGATTGTGTTGGTTGCAGAACGGTGCTCGCTTTATTTGACCAAATATTGCTATCTATGGTTTTTTTACAATAAAGCATTACGCCAGAGTAAGTGTCTAAGAAATATTATCAGAAATGTATACTTCGATTCGAAAGCGTCATTAGTTTATTGCTCGGAAGTTTGATTGAAAAGTGAAGATTGGTTTCAGCCTATTGGATCTTGTAACTGTTCTGTTGATATACGATAAATTAGAATTAATGTACAATAATCCCAATCCTAATGGGTCTTCTAGATGTTTATTCCTGATGTTCTTTAACACTTAAGTCGGCTTTTTGTCACCCATACTACCATACAGGGTACTCATGGCTTCACTCTGTCTTTGACTGTCACATAGGCTTATCACACTGAGCTGCTGGACTTTAGCGCTATCTTGAATAAGCTTCAGCAGGTTGTATTCATTGTCAGTGATTTTCAGCTTATTGAAATGACATTCTAAAACAGACTCAAGATTTGGGTTTGGGCCGCAGGATCGAACATAACTATTCCAAAGAGTTCGCTGGCTTACGCTTCATCATTAATAATGTCTGTGAGATAGCTCCGAGGGAATGGTTCGGTACTGCGACATGAGAACAACTCAGATAGATTCACTTGGCGCATTCTATAAAGTGACATCTAGCAAATGAGCTACTTTACTCTAAATAAACGGAGCAAGTCTGAAGGAGAGTCTGCTTTGAATATTCTAGCCAAACCGACTGTTTTGTGGTCAGATCGTTGCGGATACCAAAACAAAAACAGCATGTTGTCCAATGTCTTGTCTCTATTGGCCACACGGTATAGTATGGTGATTGAGCAGAAGTATCTGGAGAAGGGTTACATTCAAATGGAATGTGACTCGACTCATTGTGTCATTGAAAGGCGCCTTAGTGGGAAAGACATAAATTTGCCTACCGATTACATAAACCTTGTAAGAGATGCGATCATTCCCTTTGGACGTAGAGTCCCAAACCATTCGTGTTTTCAGAATTTCGAAGTACAACTGTAAAAGGTACAATTACCTACGTCCAGAAAATAAGAAAAACTATTTAAAGGTGAGCGATCTGAGATGCCTAAGATATGATAGCTCTGGCCAAACCTACTACAAACCGGAAATCAACGATCCTTATGAAGTCTTACCTCAACGCCAAAGCAAATTGATATAGCCTATAAGCCCAAACACCTCTACAAGACAAGGCTTCAGATAACAAAAAAGAACTGGGATCATTTGCAACCATTCAAAAAAGTAATGTCTGAAGATGTAGACTCTTACGATGCACTCCAATATGAAGGAAGTAAGGAAGAGATAGAATAAACTAGGAAGTCAAACAACGTCGGCGGACACTGATATATGTACTAAAAATTGAAGGTATCGTAGCCAGGAGGTATGAAAAAATGGTTACTTGGCTCACTAACAAAACAAAATTTTAAAGTGTTCTAACAGCTCTACAAACTCGAGGAAGGTAGAGCAAGTGTATTCAAAATTGATAAAAAGTCAGGAAAACCTAATTTGGATAATGGCGGTAATCAGAAAAATGCAAAAGACAGTATTACATTTGGTCTTGTATAATAATTTTTTATGAAATCTATTTATTTCTGAAAAACAAACAAGTGCAATAATGATACGAATAAGTCCAAAAACAAGAAAAGAGTTGACTCATCCAGGATTCTTCCACTCTGTTGCTTGTTACCGAGCTTTTGTCTACTGTAAGAAGTCGACAGTGTGGATTTGTTTTTATTTTTTATTAAAAGATAACAATTGAAGTTTAATGATCTCATATTTTTATGTTTTCCTTTGTTGTTAGCAATTAGTAAACAATTATATAACGTTAAAATGCTGTTTATAACACACACAATATACTGTATCCCAATTAGTTTCCTGATTTTTATATAGAATAAAAAAGACATAGCCCACTGTGGAAGACAAAAAGGTCGTATCAAACATAATGATCAAATACTAATATTTCTTAAGCCACATACAAGGGCTGGAGTGGTCTCTGCTTGTCGATATTTTATCTAAAACAGTTCAAGCTAATTTCAAATGTGATAATAAAAACATCTAACAGCATTAAATGACAAAGTAATCTTGAATAAATCGTTTCTTCTTCGTACTGAAAAACTCGCTTTCTGGGGAACTAAGCCATCGATATAGATATCGCGCCCACCTCGTATTTACAATCTCGTAGCGCCCGACAAGGGCGACTGATAGACGGTACGCGAAGCTTTAAGAGCAACATGTGAAATATGTCTAATAGGTACGTAGAATTACCACGATTGGAAGAAATAATATCAACAAGTTGCGATACGCCCTCCTCCATTCCCCTAAACCTCCCACTACCCATTTTTTCCAACCCTAACATTTGATTCAAAAATATTGAGGGCCCTGTGACACGTCAAAAAACGAAATTTGAGTGATTTCTATTTTCTTCATTTTGGCATTTTTCCCCGTCGCTACTGGACCAGTTTTCAAAAACTACAAAGCCTTTTGGTCCTCGACATAGTACCCAAATAGCACAACTATATCTTAGAAACGATTTGAAAACGTCGTTTTGAGATATTAGAGACGTCCTAAAGACGTCTTTATAATACGTTCGTAAGGTCTTCAGTACGGTGTTAAAAAAACAGGCGAATTATTCACAAAAGTGTTTTTATTAAAAAAAATTGTTTTTGTGTTTTCAAGCCTTTACTGAGTGGCTGTCCGGTGATCTGAAGCCAAGCCCTGACTGCTAGTTCCACCTCATGGTGGCTCTGGCATGCACCAGCCCTTTCAGCTGACACTGAAATAAATAAGTAGGTACAGGATGGTCCATAAAACTTTTAAATATTCTAATCCAAAACGTTTTTTGAATACACTTACCTGTTAAGACACAGAACATCTTTTTCTAATGTTAACAAATATCCGGGGAGAACACGAAAATCATACGTAGGCAAGAACTTTTCCCGCGTAAGCTATGCCCTACGCCTTAAGTACACTGACACAAACGACAAATGGCATTGACAGATACTCGAGTTAGAGATGTTGCAGAGGTGAGTATAGATATGTGCTTGCCTTGATCGAAGCATCGTCATCTGAAGGCGAATTGATGAGTTAAAACAGTTGATGCAATAAATTTTGAATACCAGAAAAAGGCAATTAGTTTTTAACGAGAAATAACGATTATCTGATAGCTTCAACGACTTGTCCTTTGGCATAGTTCAAAATAATGCAATTGGTTAAAAAATATATGAATCTTAAGAAGGTGATACATACTTACAGTCATGGTTGGGTAAACAAAAAATATATGTTACTTTAAAGTTTAGGTAGATGTTCAGGTTTGAGGTTTCTTCACAAATATTTCTAACTTTTTGAGAAGCTGACTTCTAACTACGTTTTCTAAAAGACACAAGAAAACATCTCAACGTTTATTTAACTGTTTGTTTTATGTCGTGTTAGGATATTCTTGATAACGTCTCACTAAGTGTGTATGAGTTACATATGGTTTTTCGTAAATGTACATGTTAAATAACAGCCAAAAAACAATATCTCATTCTCGAAATTTTCCGCAATCGGCCAGCAGGCGTTAGAAGTAAAAAAACAAGTCAAGCCAAGCTCTCTGCAACTTCAATCTCAAATTATAAAATGCAAACGCATTAAATAGTGAAGGTGGTACCCATGGTACCTAGGAAAAGCAATCAAACATTTAACCCTCCATTACTCGCAGCAAAATTTAGTACATAAGTTCTCGCGCCCGGTCTAGAACTCCGGGCCGATTTTTTCTGTTTCTGAGTTCAATATTTATATTTTTTTTTCAGTATTTTTTGTTTATTGTTCTTTTTTATCAATTACATTAATTAAGTAATACAAAGAGTTTTTAAATATTTTTATTGGTAAGAAAATAAATACATTAAGCAAGGACACTTATTCCTCACATGGGTTCTTTGAAATATTAAATCATAAATAAGGATACAACTAAATAACAAAAAGGTATCTGAATTTCTCAGATATAATATTATAACCATTAAAAACATATCTGGTTCTGAAAAAAAATAGTAAGAGCTTCAATGCTGGTGCCATCCTTTCTCCAAAGATCCTTCAAGTTCAAATGATTGGCCTAGCTTACTCTGGCAAGGTAGAGGATACCAATTACCGCCTTTATTTCAGTATTCAATATTGGTAGGTAAGTGTCCCTGCCCTGGTGGAAATTGGTTGTAATGTCTTCAATTTTTATATTAGTACAATTAGTAATCATATTGAGCATTTCTTCGTCAAACAAGCATTCCCAGATCTCTTGTGCGGATTTGTTAGATTTTGCACAATTTTTACATCCGTTGATTGTAGAACAATTTTATAACTACGCGGTCTGACGTTTCTAGGTGGACAATGTTCCTTCCATTTTGCTATTTTGTCCTTTCCTACAAAACACGGCTCACGCTGGAGTAGGTTAAGGTCGTAATTTTCTAGGGCCTCACCAAATTCCTGCTCGCTGTCACTATCTCATGTTTCCTCAACGTTGTCAACTTCATCTTGTTCGTCATCGTCATCATTGCCGTCGTCGTCAGTTAGGACTTCATAAGTTTCAACAATCTTACTTGTTCCTTTTCGTAACTCATATCTACAATAGGTTCATGACATAAATACCATCAGAAACTAGCGAATAGAAGCTCAAACTTACCTAATATAACTTATAAATACCTAAAAAAATAATAACACGAATACTCGCACCGGGTCTACTCGACCGTGTTCGTCAACAACTTTCTATAGACCTACAGACCACCCGCCGTATCCTCCCTAGTACTAGAGATATGCGTTAATTCGTTACGGGTTGGTCTTCTACACCGTGCCCGAGTACCGGAAGGTTAAAAAAAATAAGGCAAAATTAGAGAAAACTATAATTTCGCAATTTATTCATTAATTTTTTTCGTGAAGAGATTCACGACATTTTTTATGTTTACACGTAACAACTTCTTCCAGGTCAAAAAATTTTTCTTTTTAATGCATTGTCTAAAGCGGCTATTAGAATATGTCCTAATAGTTGACATTGACATATATTATGGTTAGCAAACCATTAGTATGTGGAGATCATTAAATTTTTCGCGTACTTCCGCACAGTACCTGTCACAATGACAGCGACGCCTACCTAACCCAAAGTACCCGATTTTTGGCAGGCTTCCGTTCCTGTTTCCAAATCTATTTTGACTGTATTATATTGACCCAGTTCTGTACCCACATCGAACTCCGATCCTGCACGACAACCGGCACCTGTCCCTCGCTCGATATTCACAAAAAATGTCAGGAATGCAGAGTCACCTACCGGTGTTTCGTAACATTATAGCCTCGCGGCCTGAAGCACTATGTCAACAGATGTCAGTATACACATTCGCAAAAACATTCCGTACATCACTGACATATCTCATCTGATTCTTGTCATTTACCGTTCATCACTTATCCGTTATATTGACCACTTATAATAAATAAGCCTACTCTCCACAACTGGCACTGAAACTAAATCCACCTAAAACTTTCCAAATTGAAAATTAGTGTGCTGTCCACTGAGACTGACATCTTCAAAGCCTTCATTGAAAAAGATCGGGTAAGTAGGTTACACATTTTGTGCTTTGAATCTAGTGGGCTGTTTAATCAATAGTACCGTCGTGGTTGATGACGTTAAGAAGGATGCGGTTAATTTAAATATTGTAATATACCTATCGTAAATTTTGTGTAACGATGCTGTTAATTGAATGAATAGTTTGAATATTAATCTTGACCTTGTATTTTGGCAGTCATGAGCAAGTATTTATAAAAACTGCTATAATCAGTTTAAATATGGATAGTCGAAATGTTGTTTTTGCATTTTAGGATGCCAAAATTGTTCCAGCTTATTGTTATTATTACCTTAAGCTCTATAAATAAGTAGATACTGTCAAACCTTCAACTGCGAATCTTCATCAACTTCATGAAGTGTATAATAAATCCATTTAAGCTAATCATCTTATATTATTGATCGAATTATTGAAATATGATTTACTTGTGGTTGAGTGAACCACTTAAAATTAACCAAGAACTCAAGACATAGGTTTTTTATTAGATATGCAACCCTTATCTTGAGGCTCAACCAATAAGGTTGTGACCTGCACTCATTTTATTGGTCCAGTTGTAGGCAACTCCTGATACAGCTTACACTTTATTGGTTCTACTGCAAGTTCTACATTGAAGTGTGCATGAAGACAGAATTACTCTTTTACCCTCATTTGCCTGTTTTTTAAAAGTTTACCTATCTTACAATTTGTTCTTTGATACGAAAATTGCCTATTATAGCTCCCACGTGAAACTTTTGTAAACCTCACGCAGAACCCATTCCCCACCTTTGCTTAATGTCTTAGCATTATTATTGGCGATGGCTACATCCTAGAGATGGCATTGCCTAAATAAAATATGGCGGACAGAAAGGAGTTGATTTGGATTTTGCATTTTTAGCTTGATACACAACATAGATTCATAATTTTTCACTCCCCATCTCTACTGACAAAGAAGTATTGTCATCGCGACAAATTTCTAAAATAGGATATTTTAGATGTTATATAAAATGTACATCACGAAAATCATGTCACTGATTTCCCGACGGTCAGACTGTCTGACTGCCGGTCTGACCGCTAATCCTTGGCCCGTCAATAATTTCGAAAGTACTGCTCGAATTTGGATGTCACACAAAGGTACTACTGCGCCAACGTCGAAAAAGCTTTGTAGTTCTGAAAATCGGTACAGTGGCGGTGGAGCTATCGGAGAGAAAACGAAAAAATTGAAATCGCACAAACTTCTTTTATTTATGCTTCAGAAGGTCCTAATCATTTTATAAAATTTTGTAGGGGTAGAAGGTGGAGCTTGTACGGGGTGGGGGAGGGTATATCTCATTTCTTGGTGTTACTATATTTATACGCTCGCAACCCCTGTAATTCTACGAGCTTATTAGACATATTTCGCACATCATAGATTTCCTCGGACATTTGCCCTTGAAATAATAGATAAATGTTTTCGATGCACGCCTCTGCTGCTGCTCTCTGGGTTAACCAGTGGGCATGCTATCATCGACAAGTGTCCTATCATAACGGCCGCTGCCACGTGTGACTCGTCGTATGACCAGGAGTTGGGGGAATGGCGACTTTGCCAGATTTACAGTACTACGGTAGGTCAGGAAAGAATTTCTAGACTAATCGTAATGACCTGTTTGACTGACCTGATCCGTTTCATTCCTCCGTTATACATGTTCATAACTAATCTTTTTCTCGGAGGCTCGAACTTGTGGTGAAAAAAATCTTTTACGAATTGATGACGGCGTTGCGTGGAAAGTACAGAAGTACAGAGACGCAAAATGTCCCAAGTTGAAGAGAAAGCAGTACTTTGAGCACGACATGTAACTGCTTTTGAAAATGCTATTAATATTATTATCTGATGAAGAAACCCATATTACGTAAAGCATCTTTGATTACAACGTGATAATATTTATCGACTTATTTGTATTGGAAGTAAAATACCTCCCCGACGATACTTACTTGTATTAACAGTCAAAAATTACCAAGGGAATTTTTTTCGAAATTCTTACTTCAAAGATAATCTATAAACCAGATATGAGTGACAAAGAGGGGATCATAAACATTAATTATTTTTGTAAAAAGTTCATCCAACCTTGTAAGTCGCATCAAATACAAAATGAGGTTTCAAGTGTGTACAATTGAGGTTGATTTGAACATCTTATCCATTTTATTTAAGCATGCAGAGTCAAGAAAATAATTTCAATAGATTTTACTTGTTTTTAGATTCAAGTAATAAAGTCTGCTGTTTTAAGAGCTGAAATATATTGTTACATTCACTTTTCAAGGATGGAGCAGTTAACCCTAGTTTGTTGCTCTTGCATTGGAAGCAATCGTATTCAAAGTTCATATATAGGAAATATTTCATTTAAAAATCGAAGGCCGCGTTTTGCCACTTCTGATCCATAGAAAAAAGCGAAATCGCACAGAATAGACAAAATGTGTTTATTTCGTTGAAATAAGGGTTTTGAAAAATAACCATTCAATGTTGGTAGAAAACTTGAATAGCAGATGAAGGTTTCAAAGCTGCCAAAAAAAATATTTCATGTATGCTATCTATCTTGTTATGTTGCAATAACTCCATCATGATGATAGCGGAGCCAACGTTAATTCGTATTATGTTATAAATTACAACAGTTAATTATACTTTAAAATATGCTAAATATAGATAGCGTTAACAAAAAATGTATTTTTAATATGATAAAGAGAGAATTTCACATCATAATTACGTTTGAGAGTTTATGCGTTGATAACATCCTCGTCAGTCGTGCAGTAAAGATAATATACAGAATATTGATACTACAGAATATGTAGTACGAGGGATGTCTTTTAAGTTTTGCATATGGAAATAAAACAACACGGCAGGTAGCTTTAAATGACTTTATTGTTTTTCGAAGTATTCTCCGCGAAGATTAATACACATCTGCATGCGCTCGAACCAATTTTCGAAGCACTTATTCCACTCGTTTGCTGGCAGATCCAAAACGGCATTTTTGGATGCGTCAACTGCTTCTTCTGGTGACTGGAACCTTTGATCACGCAGTCTATTTTTAATTTTCGGGAAAGTAAAAAAATCGTTAGGACTTAGATCGGGACTATATGGAGGATGGTCCAATAATTCCCCGTTAAATACTGAATTGTTTTTTGGGCTGTGTACGAGCTTGCATTGTCTTGGTGGAGGAAGGTTGATTTTTCGAAGCTCGTTGATGACTTTTGGCAAACAAATGGTGGTATACCAATCCGCAGTAACAGTTCTTTGCACATTAAGAGGAATTGTTGCAATACGACCCGCTTTTGACAAAAATCTCGCGACCATCTTCTTAGAAACACTTCGAGAATGGATGACTTTTGTTGGCTTTTCTTCACCTTGGAACATCCAAACAGCCAACTGTCGTTTATTTTCTGGTTCATAACAGTAAATCCACGATTCATCACCACTAACAATGCTGTACACATTTTTTGAGTTTCCGGAATTGAAACGGTCAAGCGTTTTTTGACACCAGTTAACCCTGGCTGCTTTCTGCTCTTCAGTCAACAGGTGGGGGTATCAACGAGAAACTAATTTTCTTACTCCTAATTCTTCATGTAAATTTTTTGAATTGAGGTCTTTGAGATCTTCAAGGACGCCTCAATCTAGCGATATGTCACATGTGTATTTTCAATGATGAGTTTGCGCACAGCATCGACGTTTTCCTGGGCGATTGCCGTTTTTGGTGCACCCACCCTGGGATCGTCGCTAAGACTCGCCCGTCCACGTTTGAATTTTCCATACCAACGGGAAATTGTCGGCTGATGCGGCGCTTCGTTGCCGAAAACAGACAGTAACTCACCAAGGCATTCTTGTTGCGATAATTGTCTCTGAAAGTTGTAATAAATTATGGCGCGAAAATGGTCTCGGTTGAGTTCCATTTTTCTAATGATTTGGTGACACTTAAAAATTAACTGTAGTGAGAACACTACACGTATTGTTGTGAAACTTTAAATTTAAGTTTACTAAAGAGTGAGGTTAAGATGCAGTACTGACGTTCGTTGCGAGCAGCCTACTATGTTTCTATATGCAAAACTTAAAAGACATCCCTCGTAGCAAGAATTATAACTGAATACCAGAACCCAGGAACAGACATCAATTTTTGATCTAGGCCAGAAAATATGTATGCTAGTATACTCTTAAAACAAACAGTGGTATTCGTTGAGAAGTTTTGTAAGTTTATGCGACAGAGGAGTAGTGAAATTTGGTTTGGTATTGTAACCAAAACCCATTACAGGAAAACACCTGTATTCTATATCGAAAGCAATGATAAAGCCTAACCATATTATGACTTAATAACTTTGCTCCACAATTGTGTCACGTAACTTAGGAAGTCCTAAGTTGAAAGCCAGTTTAATAAATGCTAAATGATGCTAAAGATATTTTAGGAACTCCCTAACGATGCGTTTCTCCATCACCTTACACGTGACAGACAGTAGAGCAGCCTGTGAAGTTTGAGGGTCGATCTTGAGTCCTTCACGAAACATAGCAACTATCCTCTATCCGTGTTATGAGGTCTACCGAAATAAGACAAGCTGTCTGTGGTCGGATGGACGAAAGCAGCATATTTAGTTGTTTAACGGCGAGTTTACCACAGCTACTATACCGCCAGAACTGTTAGCCTCTAGCGGTCACATTGGTGACAGGGCTATCAAACGCAAACTAAGATCTTTACAGTTCCAACCATTAGCTGCCATACACTCTCGCAGTGTTTGATTCTGGTAATAGATGAGGCTTTGTGCTGTTTTGTTTCGATAGACTTCAAAAAAATATTCCTTAGTACCAGCGCCGGATGCTCCGCTGTTCGATTTTCGTCCGCCGGCGCGCATGACGATTTCAACCTTGTAATTCATATTTCATAGGCTACAGCTCAAACGGCTTGATAGATTTTCACATAAATATGAGGTGTCATTGGATTCGTCCTAGCGGTGCGAGTGACACAATCTACATTAAAATTTTATACAAAAAAAATGGCGGATTTAAATAAAAAATCTCAATCTTGTAATTCCTATTTTACAGGCTATAGCTTAAACGGCTTTCTAGCTCACAATAAAGCGTATCGTTACTTTACTGTAAAAACAAGATTTTTCTACATTCCCTATATTTTAGTATGTTCTGTGGAGCAGGATTAACATGCTGATGACGTTAATACTGCACTACATTTATTCATCCTTATTTCACAGAACATTCTAAGTACTAACTACATGAAGGTGTGAAAATGTACGCAACTCGAAAAGTAGAAAAATGGAGTTATCATCTTTTTGCAGTAAGCTGGCGGTATAACAATAAATGGGAATGACTTAGTCTAAACCACAATTTTTCTCCATTTCTTTTTACGATTTTTCTGGTCTTTCAATTTTCTATTCTGTTCTTTGATCCGGAAGAGCATCCTTGATCTGAAAAATAGCGTTTTCAGGGCAGTCAATGTTGCTGCTCTTCAACAGAAGTTCGCTTATAAAAGTTGATTTTCTGTCACTATTCCATCCCCATTGAATGTAGTAAATACCTTATTGAGCTTCTCAATGTGATTCATGAAAGCTGTGAAAGGTTTTGATAATTCACTCACACTAAGATGGTCTATCCAGGAATAACTTTCATTTGAGGAACTTGTCAACCTCTCATCCTGCAATTTATGGCAAACAGAGCCGGCCCGTCATACCCGAGCTCATCTATTTCTTCCGCTAAAACTTCCTCGTTATAGTCAGCTGATACTTCAGGTTCATTCAGTGTATTCGTTAATGATGCGGTTAGTGGAATGTCGTCTACGCTGCAATACTCTGAGTATGCGCCGTCTTTTCGCCCCAAAATATAACTTTATTCTATGCTTAAACTCTAGGAGACTTGGATGGTCATAAAAACTTATCTGTCTTTGGTTGTCTTGAATTAGTGGAACCCTTTGCCTTTTTTCGTAAGCACTTTTCCGCCTTTGCCCATCGACAAATGTAGATGGTCCAGGTGATGATAGAGACTTCCGTAGGAATGGCATCATCTTTTAGAGCACGATATCTTTTAGGGGTGTAAACCAACAGGGTTTGTTTCAAATTGACCTTATAGGCACTTTCACAAAAGTGCTTCGAGCAAACCCTAGCGCTTTTTACATTAACTTTGATTTTTCTTTTTGTACGATGTAGCCATTTCTTGCTAAGGTTTGGGTCTTGAGGAAAACTGTAGAACTTCATGTCTTTGCAAGGATTTCGTTTAGATTGGTTGTCGGAATTACATCCCCCATCAGCACTCCGTATTTTTATCAATTTACTAACATCACAGTAATGTATGTATAACTAATACAGCAAGTCACAAACCCGACAAAAATCACCAACAAATCGCACTATATATTATTAACCACGATACACGTGCACTGCAGTAACGATACGACAATCCTGCCGCTGGTAACCACGAGCCGACAACTCTCTGGGTGTCGTCACGAAGCTCCACCCACATGCGCAACTTCCTATCTTCAGTGTGTGTGTATCGTGCTTAGTACAGCTTATAGAGTCATAAGTTTTTGTCCCCATTTCACTTCATTGGACTTTTCAAAAGGACTGCTACACTCTGATTGTATGCTTCCTGCTGTTATAATAGCAATTAAGCAACAATCAGTGACCTATTTTTGATGACTTGACAACGCTAAATACAATTCTGTTTTGGAAAAATGAGCTAACGAAACAAAAATAATCATGAAAAATTTCGAAAATGATGTATTATGTTTTTTGGATGTTATATGACATGTACACATACATCACGAAAAACCATAACACTTATTTCTGTCTGTCTGTCCTATAACTGCCTATAACTTGAGAAGTATTGACGAAATTTTACACCACGTTTTTGTAAATCGGTACAGTGGTGGCGGAGAAAAAAGCCAAAAGTAAAAAAATAGAAATCGCCTAAACTTCGTTTTTTTGACGTTTTAGAGGATCCTGATCATTTTCGGGAAAAAACTTCTACGATTTAAAAATTGGGGAATAGGGATTAGGGATTGCAGCAGAAACCTCTTCCCACGTCTAATACGACAGTATTGATAAACATTCTCACGCCTTTTTAGACAAAAAGGCGTTTGTGGTGGTATGTGCGGAATAAAAAAAAAACGAAAGTTTGTGTCCGTTGATCAGAGATCGACACACAGCACTTACATGAGTGATTCTATCACATTCAAAAATATCTACTGAACTTTGAAGCCTCTTTGACTTCATATTTCCTTTAATAGCTGTGGGATTCTTAAAATCCGAAGAAAAAGCAGAAAAGCATTTTATGAAACCCCATTTTGTAAAACTGCGTTTTATGAAGAACAACGACCACATACTGGAGCTTTCTACTATTGCAAGCCTCTTCATTTTCATAAAACGGGTTTATCCAGTGTAATTTGAATCTCAATTTGGTTTGAAGGCATTATGCGCTATTCTGTACGAAAATGTTGAACCTCCCGAAAAATAGCGTCATGGGGAAATATTTCTTAAAATTTACAACCAAATGACTTTCGCAGTCGATAGTACAATTTGTGTAATAAGACACAGGAAAGCGCCATCTGGCACACCAAAATCGACCATTGCGGAGACAGCAAACCTCTATTAGTTGAAGATCTCAGTTCTCGTTAATAGCCCATTCACCACGTGACCGCTAGATAATAATAGTATCATTTTATTGCTCACGAGGAATTCCATTTACAGGGCAAACAATACAAAAAGTATCATATGTCACGCCTAAAATAATGCTGAATAATTCATAGCATAACCGAAATAAACAAAACAAAAAGAAAGAATCAAAGTTATTCCAATTATTGGTGGAGCATAGATTTCAATTTATCCAACGTACAAGTGAAGATATCACATACTTAACAAATGGTATTAAAATTAACACGCATAACTCTAACAAGTGACTTTAAAAGTAAGCTTGTTGGGGCACGCTCACAAAAACATTAAGACGTTAGTTGAGCCTAGAAACAAAGAGATTAATTTGAGATAGCATTGTAGATGAGTCAATGCCGCAATTAATGATTTTGTAAAGAAAAATTACAGATGCGTGCTTACGGCGAGATGCTCATGAATGAGTTTCAAATCTAATTAAACGGATGTGATAGTCACAACCACACTCAGGTTAAACAGCAAAATATTCCAAAAATCTTTCATGAGCATAGTCTATACAATGAATGTAACAGTGGTAATAGAGACTCCATACGACAGAGGCATATTTCAGTTTGGAACGAACAAGAGCAAAGTATAGTGTTTTGGGTGAAGATATATTTGATATCAATTTACTGTTCCTGACAATGAATCTTAACGTTTTGTTCGTATTCATTATAATGTTGAAGATATGACCATTAAACCCAGTCAAAAGTTAAACCCAAGTCACAAAGTTTCATATCTATGAAAAATAATGTTCAAAGAGCCAGCGATATAAAATTTTGTTCCGTTTCTGGGTATACGTAACAACTTTGCCTTTCCCGACATTAAGAGCCATCCTACTGCTTTCACACTATTCATCTTTTGCAACTGGCTGAGTCTGTAGCCGTATACAGTCTCCTAAATTGTTAATTTCTCCAAAAATTTTCAGGTTCAGGTCGTCCGCAAATAGTAACCTCTCACACTTTCTGGAACGCCATCTACGTCTAAAACGCTGGAGGTATTAAAAAGACCGGCGACCTTCCCCCGAAGAGGCGGCAGCCCGATTCGGCACATGTATTCAAATACAATGATGAATAAAATGAGTACAAGCATTTTCATCAAACCAACGGCAACCAGACCATTTACCCAGTGGTTGCTGGTATTGCCATCGCTGGTCGGTTTGGAGTTGATAAAAGGTGTTATCTATGGATGTTAATTATGATCCTGGTGCTAAAGTTCAGATCGTATCCTCAAAAAATCATTAATTATCTGACAAAGGTTCTCCTTCATTGCATTCTTATGTTCTTTAAGGGGATTCAGGTGCTGCAGCAGCAGTGTTGAAAATCTTCCAGAAGAGTGACAGTGGATGCAAGAAGTGTGACAAGCAGGACTTCCTTTCTGACGAGAGAAATGGTGGTTATCACTGCTTGGGGACGCGATAATATGGTACAGTGCTTCTAAAAGACAGCACCTTGACTAATAAGGAGCTTCATAATGCTCATTCGGTTTCGATGGTAGCCAAGTTCATTTCGTCTGGCCGAAGTCCAGTCCACTGAGGATCTCGTCAATCGCGGCAGCTGCTGTTTGTTTAAGGCTAGGAAGTGCTTTGCTCCATATAATCTCCTCGCTCTGTACAAGGCCCACCATCAAGTTCTTCGTTAACCATGCTCGATGCTGTTCATAGGAGAGCTGTCCGACTGATCGATAACTCTTCTCTACCGCTATGTCAATGAGCTTTTCTCCCCAGAGCAATGCTCCACGGTGTCGCCACGTGATGAGCCTACCAGACAGACCCGCCTAACTTCGGCCTCCTACCCATATCCAACGACCGCTCCTTTACCCCTAGGGTGCCGAGATTATGGAACAGTCTGCCGCAGAGGTTTTTCCCAGTTCTGCTAACATTAGGCGGTTTAAAAATCGGATTAATCGGATCTAAGCTCCATATAGAAGCCACGGTGCCCTGGTATTTAGGTTTCTGCCTACGCGGTTGGTTCGGTATAAAAAAGCAAGTTAATAGTGTTCGAGTGATCATCAGACTTGAGAAATATGATTTCGCAGGGACAACGAAGAATATAAGTGCGGGAATTTCCTGGTATCGTCGGTTTCCTATGTTGGGACGCCCATGGTGCAAAGATCTTGGCGAGTACTTTCGCCTTTGACTCGCACTCATATTTAAATCTTCCATGCAGTTTTGCAGAGCTGAATACAATCAAAAACAATAAAGAATATTATTGGAGTTGACCATATTTTGGATGCACCCGGTAGACACTTAATTTAAATATAGCACTACGGTTGAAACGATACGTTTTATCATAGAAATAATTTGTGATAACATGTGGAAATATATTATTGCCATTAGAAATTTTTCTCAACAAAATACGTAATATATCTGCATAGTTTTATCGTTATCGGTTGAGAGGCTCGCCTCGTGAGTACGTTATTACAGTGGCGTAATTTGGGGTAACAAGGTCCTCTTTGAGTAGTCCAAACAATCATATTTGACAGACTTGATGTAACTTAACCCTTTGGTATTTAGGTTTCTGCCTACGCGGTTGGTTCGGTATAAAAAAAGCAAGTTAATAGTGTACGAGTGATCATCAGACTTGAGAAATATGATTTCGGAGGGACAACAAAGAATATAAGTGCGGGAATTTCCTGGTATCGTCGGTTTCCTATGTTGGGGCGTCATGGTGCAAAGATCTTGGCGAGTACTTTCGCCTTTGACTCGCAGTCATATTTAAATCTTCCATGCAGTTTTGCAAAGCTGAATACAATCAAAAACAATAAAGAATATCATTATCGGAATTTTCCATATTTTGAATGCACCCGGTAGACACTTAATTTAAATATAGCACTACGGTTGAAACGATACGTTTTATTATAGAAATAATTTGTGATAACATGTTGAAATATATTATTGGCATTAGAAATTTTTCTCAACAAAATACGTAATATACATGTATCTGCATAGTTTTATCGTTATCGGTTGGGAGGCTCGCCTCGTGAGTACGTTATTAAGTTACAGTGACGTAATTTGGGGTAACAAGTAGTCTAAAGAATCATATTTGACAGAATTGATGTAACTTAAACCTTTGCGGGCAGCGTAAACTTTTTATTGAGAAATCGTACATTTTGTATTATAGTTTTGTTGAATCAGAACTAGTGAGTACGAATGACCCTTCATAATTATGACATAGATACAGTATTACCAGCATCACACATCAGCCGGTCATCGCCCGCTCAGCTGTCACTTTCGCGCTAAAATTTAGCATTCTTGCATCAATTTCATTATCCCGACTTTCAGCTTAGTAATTTGACCCATTCAAAAAATAAAGTGGGGGAACTTTTTTGCAAACCACTGTGAAATTTACACCATACGATTGCTATTTGCCTGTTGGGCAGACGCTAATGCAACACAAAAGGCGCGATGCGTATAATATCCATATAACATTTCAAAAATAATGATCATGATGCTCGTCGCAGTATGCAAACATCAATTTATTTATTTTACTTTGTTACAGAATTGAAAAAACCTATGGCCGAGAAACAAACCCAATTTTCGTAAGTAGCTGTAGCTTTTTTGTATTCTTAGAAACATACCGAATGTTATAGTACGTTCCAAAATATAAAACTCGTTAAGATATTTAATTAATGAGCTTCTTGTTTCTCCACGATCCCTACTAATAGTATTTAAGTAGGTATACGGTCAAGATATCAGCAAAACATTCAATTGGGTACACACGAAGCAAAAAGTTGTCTAGAAGCCAGTAATGGTTTTATGATTAATGCCGGCCAGTTCATCAAAACACATAATACTCAATTTAAAAGAAGGAGGAGGCTGAGATGCAAAGCACAAATTTGCGGGGAAGCAACCAACTACTAACGTAGTTAAGCCAGAAGGAACCTGACTCTTTAATTTTTGTTTCGAAAATGCGTATTTTTTTATCAGGACGTGCTACAAAGAATATTGAATGTCAATTAAAGTCATTATAATATTATAGAAACAAACTACTCAAACGTGAAGTTTTTTTTTTTCAAGACAAGCTGTCCAAAAAGCGGGAGAAAATAATTAATTAACATACACCAAAGATCAACAGGTCACAAAATAAAATATTGACATTTTTGATGTTTTAAGTTTAATCAATGGCTTTCTTCCGTTTTCTTCCGTTTTTTTTGTGCCTTCTCTTGAGAGGGGACTTCACGTTGTAAGTAGTTTTTTATTGTACTGTAATGGCTTTTTGATATCCAATTCTCCTAGTACTCGTAGTATGTCCTAATGAGGAAAATGGAAAATTTCGAAGAATCACGTTTTTTCTAACCTGACCTAATTTGAGGTTGGCTTCTACCCTGAGAATTGATACTTTGCATCATCTTAGCTCCTCCTTTTATTAAATTGTGTATTATGATTTTGTGGCGTTCATTTGATGAACTGATCGGTCTCAATATGTATTATTAAAAATTTACGCATTGAGTCTTGCTTTAAGAAGTGAAGTGCGATCCTAAACATACACTTCTCGGCACCGACCGGTGACCGGTGCCGGTGTTGGGACTGATTCATGGGAGATTAAGAGGTTCAGGAAATATTCAGCTAAATATCGTAATGAGTCTTAAATTTTTGAACGAACCAAGTCAAGCATTATAGGCAGTATCCCCAGTGTTGCCACTCGCACTCCCTATGATGCTTTAAGTTGTATATTACAAGCGAAAACATGCTCTGTGCAGTGCTGGCCAAAGTCGTTTTCCCTTTTAAATTTCAATGAGTATGGAAAAGCGGTCCAACACTATGCAACACCTATTGTCTAGCAACACGGCGCACTGTTTCTGAAACGCTTCTTTCGTTTCTCTCTCTTGTACACATGGAAATCCAAAAGGGAAACGACTTTGGTCACCTAATTGTCTCCAACCATTAGATTATTAGTGTCTTACTACTGGATAATCATCGTATTTTTTTTTTTTTAGATTAGTGCCAAAAATCGTCAATGGAGGTATTGCAGGAATTATCGGAGTCACATGTGTCTTCCCACTTGATCTTGTCAAGACCAGATTACAGAACCAACAAGTTGGGCCAAATGGCGAGAAAATGTACAACAGCATGTAAGTACCCAACTGTTTTCCGCTCGAAAAATCTGCATACTTAAACTCTATAGCGATGCGCGATGCATTTCACCTTTATTATGACATTGTTTCCTATGTACGAGTATATGCTTATCATAAAACAACCCAGATCCGTACCTGAATTGATTTTCTTTAATCCGTGTTTTTTTTCAGGGTGGATGCGTTCAAGAAAACTCATAAGGCGGAAGGATTTTTAGGAATGTATAGAGGGTCAGCTGTCAACATATTGCTAATAACACCAGAAAAGGCGATCAAATTAGCGGCAAATGATTTTTTTAGGTATCATCTCCAAACAAAAGAAAAGTAAGTGGATCATCACGATATTTTTCATCATATGGTTTCTAGAATTCCCAAGAAACCGTTCTCGCCGAAAGTAACTGGCGACTTTAAACTGCAAGTTGCTTATCAGTTGATGACGGATGTCATCTGTTGATGTCATTGTGACATTGCAACCAACACTAACTAACAAAAACCGTTGATAAGCCGATAAACGTACTTGACGCGTTTTTGTGTTCTTTCAAGTGATTCAGTTAGACAGCTGAAAACGTTTCAGGAGAGCTACAAAAAGTGTAACAAACAAAACATCAGATCTAAGGAATATGTTTGCGCATTATACAAGGTTATTCAAAAGTCCGTAGACGATCGGATATATTGGAAAGTAGTGGATCAAAATTCACAGAATTTTGAGCAGGAATGTAATCGATATCTGAGTTATTGCCTGATTTATCGCTTTATCGGAAACGACTCTACCTTTCTGAAGTCGACTGCAATAGATCATTTCCACGTGACGTCACGTACCTAGAATGTGGGTGACACATACCTTTTATTCTGTGTGTTTCAGTGGTGTTTTGTATTGGCGTTATTCATTGTGTGTGTTCGAAGCTTTTTTTAATATTACTGTACTTGTTTTCAACAAACTTTCAGTCAAAACGACTTGAGTTACTACATTACTGTTGCACTCCACAGCATCAGAACACGAAGGTATTTTAATAGATGGAGCTTTGAGTTAGTAACTTTTTTCAATACTAATAATGATAATCTGCTAGTTTGCAAGTAATTCAAGAAGTCCACAAATACTAATTTTTACCTAAGAAACTCAAAAATGATTCCCAACTCAAATTTGTAGGCCAAGTCTGGGTAACACCCATAGTATATCATTTATTATCGTAACACCCCACACCATGACCACAGCTTAGATAACAATCAGCTATGAAACTCTCCTGTCAGTGTCAAAAACGACCGCCATTTCGGCGGAAAAAATCGAATGTAAATTCCCCCAGTACAACGATGAAAGAGGTTTTAGTGCTTAGCAGCAGCCGGGGTTGCCACGTACCCTGCCAGCAGCAGCATACATTCTTTGCTATCGTAAAATGAAAATATTTCAATATGATCTAATGTAGTCATCTTAGCTCCTCCTTTTCTTAAATTGTGTATTATGATTTTGTGGCGTCCAAGGAAGGGATACTAAAAAGCTAATATACATTAATACAAAGTTCCTTACGAAGAAATGGTATATCCCATAACAACGCACTTATGACTATTTCATCCAAAAAGTGCCGATTATCCCCCTATTCTAAATTTGCTAACTATCGATCCACTGATTTACAAGATATTTCAGAGTTCCCAGACTTTTGCATTACTATATAATTTTCGATGTACTGGGAGTTTTTGGTCAATAAAAAGGTATCCAAAAGCAACGCACCTGAAATTGAAATCGGGTTGAAATCGATTTTTCGTCGAGTTGCATTTGCTAAAAACAGTGTCTTCAATTCAGTTCATTTATTCATGTAACTAAAACTTATCCAGTGATAATAATCCCTCATGCTTACCTGGACAATAAAATCATATGAATTAACAGTATCTTCTTTACTGTAAACGTTCCATTTACAAAGGTAATCTTCTTTATTATAATGACAGTGCAGGGTGTCTGCAAAGTTGAGCTTTTCCTTTACACGACGTGTAGATCTTGAGAAAATAAGCGGATTTTCTTAGTAGCATATACACCAATGTCTTCAGAGAACTCCAGCGCCAGCGTACAGTTATACGACGTACGACTACGTTGTAAATACGCTAATATGCAACCTAACCTAGACGCCGGTAGTGTAGGTCAACAAACCGTGTTACATTGGTGACCGATTTCTGTTCAAATAATAAATAAAATGGCACACTCATACACCAATAGTGAACTAGTCGACATGCTGTTAATTTACGGTGAGTGTCTTCAAAATGCGACCGAGGCTTCACGAGTATATGCAGATCGTTTTCCCAGACGTCATCATCCAAGGCCCCGTAGATTTGTTTCTCTTGTGCAGAGACTCAGGGATACAGGTCGTGTGGAGGAATGTCAAGGTGGGCACAGTAGAAGACCTAGACAACCCCGAACGGTGCAAACTGAGGAAAAAGTACTGGATCTCGTAGACGAAAATCCTTCAACAAGCAGTAGGATCGTGGCTAGACAGGTGCAAGTGTCGAAAGCTAGAGTGTGGCAAACGCTGCATGATGAGGGATTGTACCCGTTTCACGAGCAACGGGTACAAGCCCTCCAAGCTGAGGATTTTCCTGCAAGAGTGCGGTTTTGTGAGTGGTTGTGGCACCAACATGGCAATAATCCGGACTTTTTGAAGTGCATATTACTCATAAACTAATCCAAGTTGGGGTGCATAACTTCCGCAGTACTCATGCGTGGTCAGTAGAAAATCCTCACGCTGTCCGTCGCCGTAGGACACACTTTCAACAAACGTTTGCTGTAAATGTTTTGGCTGGCATGGTAAATGGAATGCTCATTGGACCATTTATTCTCCCGAATCGTTGGACGGGATACAGTACCTAGACTTTTTACAGAAACTTTTACCAACCCTGCTAGAAGATGTGCCTTTGAGTGTAAGACAATCAATGTGGTTTCTCCATGACGGTGCCCCATTTCAGACGCGTGATTTCTTAAATGAATCATTTCCGAATAGGTGGATCGAACGTAATGGACCCGTAGTACGGCCTCCGCAATCTCCAGACCTAACACCATGTGATTTTTTTCTTTGGGGCGAAATGAAACGCTTGTTGTACAAAACTGAGGTGCACACGGTTGACGAATTACGTCTGATAATTGAGCAAGCTGATGCATTCATTCAGGGAAGCGACTCCATTCTAAGAGCCTGCACCGATGCTTGGCTACGTCGAGCACGCACATGTGTTTTTGAATCCAACGGCGACGAGTTCGAAGAGTACTTATAAAATACGTTCATCAAGAACGACGACGTCATATTCTCGATCTCTTTTTTGTCATTTTTTTACATGTGCTTCTCGGATTTTACGACAGAGCCGTAGTTGGAATTTCAATTTAACTGAACAGTGAGTACTTTTTCATTTATTTTTTTTTTATTTGTTCGCTCATGTTTCATCCCAACTTTGCGGACACCCTATATATTTTATATCTTTCAGGTGACAGTTCGTTTGTTTTTCCTTTTAATCGGTTTCAATACAGTGTCTTACTACGAAAGTCCTCTAACATGCTGAGGTGTGCAAAATCATTATTCCCAATTTTAAGATAGCACCTCGCAAAACCAGCATAGCCCAGGACCGCCTGGGGTAGCGTCCCGTTCTCAAAAAAGGAATCCGGCCCTCCAAAACGACAAGCGAACATGAGGCTATCTAACCAGGCTCTTTTTCATGGTTTGTTGTTGGAACTGAAATGCACGTGTGTTCTGCTTTGACATCTCAAGGTAAAAATAAAATGATCCTTGTGATGATCATTTACAGTAACGAAGGTTCTGTTGATACATGTGGTTTTATTGGCCAGACAAGCATGGGGGATTTTCATTTAATCATGTTAGAATCACCAATAAGTACATACTAGTAATACAGCTTTCGTTAGTCCGATCCCAGACGGCCAACCATGGACAGCTGTTTCGAGCTATTTTGTAACTCCTCAGCATGGTGTAGGCTTGGTCTCAGGTAGAACAACGAACAAAAGCTTATGAATTTTCTTCTATCCAAAGTATAAGGTCTGTCGAAAGAAATAAGACAACACAAAGTACTATCTATTACCAGAATCGACCACTACGAGAGAAAACAGCAAGCTGTCTGTAGAACTGTATCCCTGTTCGCAATGGCAGCCGGATCACCACTGTGGCCGCTAGGTGCCGCCGATTCTGGTGCTATAGTAGATATGGTCTACTCGCCTTTGAACAGTATACATATGTCATAAATAAAGAGAAAAAATTCATAACTATTTAAAATATAAAGCAATTGAAATACAGCTCAGCTTAATAGAAAAAAGAATTGAACACATTGAAAGAATACAACAATCTAAAGGTTATTATGGTATTTGTATCTATAAACTGATGCGTTTTGTAATTTAGTGATTAACTTGTTTTTCAGGACGCTTCCAATGTACCGGCAGATGTTGGCTGGAGGTTTAGCTGGCTTATGTCAGATAGTTGTTACGACACCTATGGAATTATTAAAAATTCAGATGCAAGATGCTGGTAGAGTAGCAGCACAAGCACTTTTAGGTAACAAAACAATCTTACGAAAAAACGCATGCTTTTCACGGAGAATGACAAAGTGTTTTGATTATGTCAATACATACCACTGGTTAACGTATGCTACCTAAAGATAGCCAACCTAATACTATATATTCGCGTGCCCGAAAAAGTGTCCGATATGAAACGAGATACAGTAGCGTCCTCTATGAGAATTTGTCACGGCTATATTTTTACACTACCCAATAAATAGAAACCGACTTTGGAAAGGTTGATAATAATAATAAATGGTCTTTATTCATCATTATAAATAACTTGAGGAAAAAAATTAATGATAAAATGATGAAAGGCATAGTTCAGCCTAAGCTGCTTTTCATAATGTATCATAGATGGCGCTGGCTCATATATAAGCTGATTAAAGCGTCGTCTATGTGACACACTTTAAAGTAGATTCCTAATAATTCTCATAGATGACGCTACGGTATTTTACAGCAAAGAGCAACGAGGACATTTCGTGGAATGCCTTTATAATCCGCCCGTTGACCCAATTGATCTTGGGAGTAATCTGCATTATACTAGGGAGGCCGATCGTAACTTTTTTGCTACATCATAGCGTACTGATATGATACGATGAAAACTAGTCACATTCTACGTATTTCGATGCTAAATGGCAAACTTGCTGTTTGAGTTTTTAACATTCCATATCAGTAAGCGATGTAAAGAAAACTTTGCGGTCGGCTATTGAACTATTACTGGTTTACAAATAAAACAGAGATCTATGTGCTACTCGTATGGGTCCATGGCTGTCGAGGCGGTTTGCCAAACAGCCATAAAATATTTAAAAAATACTCATTTATTCTAAGCCAAAAGGAGTTGAACTCTTTTCACAGTTTTTGGTGGTTATGTCAAAAAGACATATGTTTAAAGCAAACATATCGCTTACAGGCCAGACTATCTAGATGACTCGCGACCATGTCAAATAGACCGACGATTGGTCGAATTAGAACTTTTGAATTTCAAGCTATTAATAAACTAAGTCGAGTGGCATTTCACGTAGGGCACTAAAAGTTAAACAGTTATTTAATAACTTACAGGTTTTGAAATAGCTATTCTGGCGAATAGTGATTTATATATACTTTCTTGAATGAAAAATATATTTCCCAGGTTGCAAATTGATAATAAATATCCCCACCATGAATAAATGTCCAAACAAAAGTAAATTTGAACAGACTACAAGTCATAGTGGACAATGAATTCGTCCAAACAGGACTGTCTATGTGGCAATACTGCATTGTTCTTCGACTAAATGAGAACAGCCATCAGCTGTTTTGTCTCTCTAATTTTATTCTCCTTGTCTGTCTTCTCTTTATATAGCTACTTTTTGGTATTAGGTTGGCTATCTTCTGGCAGAATACGTTAATCAACTTGCTTATTATTTTTGAAGGATTCTATGTTGAAAATGACAATGTATCGGGCAATTTGGGACCCACTATGTGGTCAATTTTTCAGTTGCTCCATTTTTTTTTTGATGATTGATGTGCTGACGCAATGATTATTTTTGCTAATTTCCAGTTGGTAAAACTGTCCAGAAAACATCTGCAACTGAGCTGGCTTTGGGTCTGCTGAAACAGCATGGAATTTTAGGACTCTACAAAGGAACAGGAGCTACAATGTTGAGGGACGTCTCATTTTCTGTGATATACTTTCCTTTGTTCGCCACTTTGAACAACTTAGGGCCTAGGAAATCTGATGGTTCAGGTATGTTCTCCACGCCCGTTTTGTTTTGTTTTGACTTATTAAGTAACTGCTGAGATTGTGTTTATGAAATTGATGATTTGAGATTTGACTGACTGAATATCTACTTAGGTACTTAGGACACAAAGACAACTTACTGTATTATGAATTTCACATATTAACGCTAACCTTTTTTTTTTAATTGCAGGTGAAGCAGTATTCTGGTGTTCCTTCCTTTCAGGATGCACAGCAGGTTCTTTTGCAGCATTAGCAGTGAACCCATTCGACGTAATCAAAACAAGGCTACAAGCTTTGACAAAAGCCGAAGGAGAAAGGTCTTATTCTGGAATTGGAAATGCATTTATGTAAGTATCTACATAGATTAGACACACGGTCGCAGCTGGCCAGGCAGATTGGATAAGATTTTCTCACCGCTGGCATACCAGGACATAATAAAAATTACTCGAAATATACTGTAACGAAAACACCGTTTTACTAATTAATGTCGAACTAAATTAATTACAGCACTTGCAACTAATTTATTACAAATGTATAACTTGGCGACTAGTCTTCCGTGTTATGCGCTGGTGACTCATCATTCGCTGTCTGTCGACGTTGGCTCCCTCGACCCTCTAAGCGTGTATTTATCTTCGAATCGACGAATCCAGAAACGCTCCCGCTTTTTTTCGGAGCCTTCGTCAAAGCTGGTAGATGGCGCTCGGTGCTTCTCGATGCGAGGTGAATGCTCTCGACGTGTGGTCCCATAATTGGTTGCCTAAGCGTCGATGCTACTAGGGTGTCTCATAGTTACTCAGAGTTCCAGTTACGTGGGCGTTACAATACGTTACAAATGAGCATCAGTCACTTCATTCCTGTTGTGACAAAATGTTTTAGGTTGAAGCCAACAACACCGATACAATAAAGACTAGCTGTCCGATCACAGTGATGATACGATGACCGATAACAGTGATGACGTAATTATAAATGAAGATCTCTTTCCACGGGAAAAAATGGCGTCAAACATGTTGACTCTGCACGCAAATCTGTCATCAATTGGATTATGTTAGGTTTATTTGCAAAACATATGCTTTATGAGGGATGCCAGGGTTGACGCGGTCCCTGGACCGTGCAGTTGCGGACAAGTGGGGTTGGTTGATCTGGCAATTCAGTGGATCAGACTGTATAATCATGGTCGCCCTGTCGCACGGACTACTTTAGACGGTTAATCCTAAAATATTAACTATATGTTTAGGGAACTCATATGTAAGTTCAATTAAAAGTGCACGAGGTGAGGTTATATTCACCTCTTCTGATCTGCAATTAACAGATTAGTATTTTCTTATTTTTTACAATGTAACTGTAAATTGATATTCTTTTGATGATGTAGTAGTTTTTATTTTTATTTGTTCTCAGCATTTAGGGTTTTCGCAACATGTTTAAAACTTGTAAATTTGTAGTTCCAAATATCAATAAGCCCGAACAGTTAAGACAGACTTTAAAAGAGCCATTTTTTTTAGTGTTCAATGAGTCTGTTGAAGATAATCAATTCATCCTTATAATTAGTAAGGTGCAATTTATATTTTAGGTAGTATTTGAAGGTTAATCTGTAGCATCATTCAAACTGACCATCGTTACAATTTAAAAAATTATAATATCATCCCGAAATCAGAAGCTTCTTAATAACAGAGCGTCTGTAACTGATACCAAACATACTATATTTACACGCTCTATAACCCCTATCCGCAATTTTCAACACCCTCCAAAGAAAATTTTTGAAAATAAACGTGAGTCTCTGGAATCACATTTGAGAGATTTTTATTTAGTAAGTTTCTAGCTCCAGTTCGTCGAGTTCGAGAGTGTATTAAGCAAGGTGGTGCTCATTTTGGACAACTTTTGTAGTTATTATTTCCGTTTATTAGTTTCGTTGCCATCCTCATTGTTAAAAACCATCGCAACTCTACTCAGATACTATCCAAAGCAACTTGATTATTATGTTATAAAAATGTTTTAGCATCATGGTACAAGTAATGCATTGGAACAAATATCTCGAAAACTATTAGCTTTTCTGTTGTGGAAATACGAGAAAATAAGATTTTTCGGTCAGTTGTATACATGCTGACACTAAAAAGTTATGATAAGTCATTTACCGTAATAGTGCTGTAAGTGGCGCTCTCTAGATGTTTGGCCATACAAGATAAGGGATTCTTGTTTCTCATACTAGAGAACCTCCCTATACGTTTTATGCCAAAATCTAAAATACTTCTAATAAGGAAAATTAAAAAATAAAATTGTCACTTTGACACCTTGTACCTAGCAAACTATCAACTTTTGGACTAAGGTATCTTTAGGTCAGTGCACATATTTTGGTCTGTTGTATCTCCAGTTTCGAGATTTCCCAAGGATTATTTTCCACGTGAGGACTAAGACTGTTAGTTTGAAACAGATTCGAGTTTCTACAGTCTGCACAGAATCATTGAAAACGTGAAAACAATTACAAAAATATTGAATATTCCCTATCTCTTATGTACTTTACTTTCCAGAAACATCCTCCGATATGAAGGCCCCACGGCATTCTTCAAAGGTGGTGCTTGTCGTATGATCGTCATAGCTCCACTGTTCGGCATAGCACAAACCGTGTACTATCTAGGCGTTGCTGAAAAGCTACTGGGCTACAAAAAAAGCTAAACGATACGCTTATATCAATAGATGTTTTTTGATTTTAAGCAATTTGGAGTAATAAGAACGCATTATCTTTGAGTTAACACTATGAAATGAAGAGAGAGCAGAAAAACGTTTATTTGTATAGAATAAGTTCCTAAAAGGTATTCATCGTTTGTTCGTGTCAAACACGCATAGTTTTAGTTTATTACTATCGATTTTGCAGATTCTGCTTTATTTTTATATCAAATCAAAAAAATACATTATATCAAACCCGCTCTTTACACTATACTATATAGAATCATAAACGCTGCTTTGCTTACAGATATTTTGACATTCTCTGACACTTGACAAAATGTCGATCGTGTCTGCCAGAAGTGTTAAATGCCATTTTAATCCATCCTTGGATGCAGTTTATTATGAAGCCAAACGATGAATTTCGAGAAGTGCATGATTTGTATTGTTTATGATTTAGTTCGTTGTAGAACTAATATTTTTGTGGAGTATCCTATGGTGAAATAACAATGTATAAAAGGGTTTGTAAGATGAAACGTATCAATACAAATGCTATTCTGTACATAATATCTTTCAACGTGTGCAGTTACATCCGTACGATGATATATCCACTGAATGATGTGTTAAGAAATCAGTTTTATTTGCTCTCTTATACAAGTTCTTCGCACTATTCGACTTCAAGTCTCGTTGCTTAGCAGTTATTTAAGGACTATGGACCGAATCAAAACTAATCCATTTTAATTTGTGATATGCAGTTGTTAGCTTGGACTTTTCCAGTATTATACTTTTAATTTACTTTTTGTTATTTTATTTTCGTATACATGTTTTTGTAGCAATAATTTTATTTTCTGTGAGCTTTTTCCTCTCTTTATAAAAGTTAGCTATTTATTAGTAGGAAACTCTCTATAGACAATAAAGCGAAGCGCTTAAATCAGTCATGCCATTATTTTTATAATTTTTGCAATATTTTTCGGAAAATTGAAATTATCTTTATAGCTTGATATTTGCTTGTGTTAGTGATCAATTATTTCAAGTTGAATCATCAATATTTTATGTTATGTATTGCAGATAGCATTGCGTGGAGGGTAATTAAATCTTTTCATGAATTCGGGAAAACTAAAAAAAAATCAACGAAATCAATCATATTTTCATAGTTTTACACCTGATTATTAAAACAGACCATAGTATATCATTTAGTATACGTATGCTATCTGGAGTATGTATGTCTAATTTTTTTAACTCACATTAGTCATATTAGACGACCAGGGTCTCATTTTGTTACTCTTCAATTTTAGTGGAATGTTTGATATGTTAAATTAAAATAGATTTTTCTCTCTTGATGTGCCGATAAAGTACACGTTAAGGTACAAGACTCGGCTTATTTTTATTTAATTAGATCACAATTATATTCGAATTTAGTTGAATATGACACATAGTATTTTATAGCACACCAACCATTCCTCTAATATATTTTCCCGTATGAACAAATGTTAATTGTATTTTTGTCAATTATAGATTGTACAGTAAAATGCGTGAAAATGAAAATTTACATGTAAACTAAAAGATGCTGTTATTAAATGTCTCATCAATAAATGTGAAAACTGTTATTCATTAGCGTTTCATTGATTTCCCGTGACCAATTACAAAATATACAGTCAAATTCATTTACTTCCCAGCTACCGTAATTATAATAATCAAATCCAAGCGAATAACCAAAATTTCTGTGTTATGTGCCGCGGTTATAATATGGTTCAAGATGACACACGGGTTGATGACGTCAGTTACACGAATCGCTTGAACACGTTGGTTTTAACCGCGGTTTTGTTGCAAGTTGTTTATTTTAGAAAAGCGCGTATATAATCTCTGATTATTTTTATTATCACTTAATAATCGGTGCTTTTTCGTCTACAACTGTATATGGAAAGTTTAAATAAGAAACCTTTCATAATATTCATGGAGAAATGTTTTTTTCAGATTTTTTTTTTAATGATCTAACCATGGCTTTGTAGCTATGATAACTTTCAATTCTCTAAATTTTTCCACATGTCAAAGAAAACATTTATTGATTCAGCAGAAATGATGAAAAAAGAAATTAGCAAAACCGTATACAGGTGGATATCATCTAGTGAGTTTATATGGCCATATTTTAATATTCTTGTGGTATATGGCTACACAGGATACTTTGTTAAGCATAGGAACTACATTTAAAGTATCCCCAACAACCGTAATGAGTATAACTAATAAGGTGCTCCACTTTATGGTAAAACTGAAGTCAGCCTGTATCGTTTTTCTCAAAAATGAAGCTGAAGTACAATAACAATATCCAATACCCGGCAAAATTCTAACTTGTCACATTTCAAATAATAACCAGAAATATAAAACTACTCTTGAGTTGGGTAAATACCACAATTTTGCGGTGATAACTATGACATATAACAGCTGATTCGTGACGTCACGGATCTTATAACCAAACTGATAACTACACTCGCTTGAACGGATTGGTAAATACCAACCCAAAATGGTAAATACCATTTCCATTTGGTTATCCGCTTGAATTTGATTAATGATGTGGAATTTTGTTGATATTTCGTCAACTGACGTGGTTGTTCCAAATATCGATGACGTAATGACGTCTTCTAAATATCTAATTGCGTACGTGTACTGCAAGATGTTATTTTTTGAGGTTATCTTTTTTCAATTATATATATATATATATATTATATTTAATTGGGAACTTCGACAAATTAATGCAAAGTATCTTTATTCCTTAGCTTTCGATGAACTATGTCAGCATCAGGAGCGCGTGTATCCCATAACGTTCCTCGATAATTTGGAAAAAACCCAAATATATCGATATTACGTAGGGCGGCTGTTAGTGCGAAGAGGGAGACCTTTTCAGTTCTAACAGATGGCTGCTATTGATTGTGGCAATAGATGGCACTTGTACCGTTGTATTCAATTTTTACTTGTTAAGTGACATACTGTATTAGTGTGTCTATTTCTGACACTTGCGTAATTTGAGAGTATATTCGATATTCTATCTGCCATTTAAATTGATCACCACCATCGAATTGAGAGTGATTCAGCACTTTCTAGAACTGGATTGCACTCATCGTTTGAAATTACGCTACTTCCGGGACGTTTTTAAGACCAAACCCGTCTTCAAAATCAGAGTAACTACATTTTTTCAAAATCTAACCGAAACCACCATTTTACTTATCTACGTCTACTGGTGAGGAAAAATTGTAATCGCGAAAGATTTTGAAAATGAGATGTATTCTTTTTTTACACGCTTACATGAGGAAAAACAATGTCACTTATTTCCGTCGATCTGTCTGTCCGCTAATTCTTGGCCCGTCTATAACTGGGAAAGTTCGGAATTTTTTGAAATCGTTCCAGTGGCGGCGGCGTGAAGGGCAAAAATTAAAAAAATATCGCTCAAATTTGATTTTTTTACGTTTGAGAGTCTCCTGGTCGTTTTCAGAACATTGTATGGATAAAATTTATTATTTTTTTGCGGGAATTTACGCCTCCAACCCCGGTAATTTTACATACTGATTAGTACATCTTTGCAGACGCGACCCGCGGTCGATCGGTACGATGGCAATCTGTACGTGCCAGTAGTACGGTATCTGTTGCTTATCACATGGGTGGCTGGTGTAGTTTAGCATCGATGCCAAAGGGTCGATACTTAGGGCAGTGAATAAACCAGCGTTAGCGTTATCTAAGTGGTGCACTAAGAAAAAAAAAATAAATAACGTTTTAATAAGGCCAATACGCCCACGAACTGTGCTAGGAACAATGTATGAGAATACAAAGTGCAGTCGAACGGTGTATTGGTTCTGAACGCTACTGAGTTCCTCAGAGTAACTCAATGGGACCACTGGAAAGCAACTGTGATTTCTAAAACTGGTTACTTGAATCTATGAAACTATTTTAATTAAATCAAAACCAAATCGTTTAATTTATAGGTATTTATTAAGCAGTCTTCTTAGATTGAGTACACCAGTTTATTTAAAATTAATGTACCAATAAAATGAGTTTACCTGTTCAAAGTAAAACCATTTAATCATCTTTATTAAAGTTGTTGGTATAGGTAAAAGGATTGGCCTAGTTTCGATTAATAATTTTATTTGGCTTTAAACGTGAATTTGAATAGTATTTGGTATTTAGAAAAAAATTGTGTGTTACTGACTGGTATAACTATAACTGTATATTGTCGAATCAAAATTAGATCTCCCGAATTTTGTAACCCGAATTCTATATTTTCTATCTTCTTTGATTGTGAAGTTATTATATATGGGATTAAGTCTTACCAGCTTTGTCTGATACGCTAGAAGTAATTCTTTGTTTTAAATTGAGGAAGTAGGAAAAGAGATACCTGAAACTGAGTAAGGCCACTTGATCATGTGTACCAAAATTGTACTTTTATTTCTAATAATAGAGCAATATTGTACTCAACCCATTTACATATAAATTAATTTTGCATCACTTTGAACAAACTAGGTTATTTTCAAATACTACAAAGTGTGTACGAGTACCAACAAGAGGGTATTTCTATACATACGTTGTACCATATACCTACACAGAATCCATCAGAACATTTAATCAAAATATTGCATCAATGGTGATACACTACTGACGCAACAGTCTTTTGTAGTTGAACTATAAGAACATCAACAAATTGTCTATGCATCTATATTCAGTTTGATAAAAGGTACCTATATCTTAGAACTACAAAGAATAACACATCAGACCATGTTTGTCCTTCAATATCCTAAATATGCCTACGTGAATAAGTTTTCTAGCTTCCCATTCCCTCCCCATTTTATTAAAGTGTTAAATTGTTATAAATGTACTTTTTCTACATAAAGTAAATTACCTAAGCTAGGTAAATTGATTAATAGATCAGGTAAATACTTTGCTATTTTCAAGCAAATTAGTTTAGTACATTACTTTCGATTAAGCTGGTTTCAGAAAATTCATCTTAATTAAACCAAATAATTCTATTACTCAGAATATTTAAAAAATCATTACGGGTAGCTGTTCAACTGACCACGTTTTCTCAGTGTGGGGACTATGGAGTATGGACTGATATACAATCATGTATGGGCCTGTTTGGCTAACTAGATCCATATAATTTTTGTTATACATGTTTGTAGTTAGCTCAGAGGGACTACTTTATGCCGAACGTAATACTTTATGGACAGATGACAGCGTTGCAGAGTCAACCTAATTGATGAGATTTTTCAAGATTCAAACCGTAACCACCATTCTAACGGTAGACTACATCCATCGTTCGTCAAAATGCGGCCATTATATTTTTGCTTATGGTTAAGGTATGGCATTTTCAATATTTTATTAGCAGACATAATATACAAATAATTGAATGTTAGTACCTTCGGAATTCAGAGTTTTACTTATTCAGCATTCCTTTTAATTTTTATCCTCTGTAAGTAATTCAAAGATGTGTAGTTTAATCTAAGCGGCCAGACAGACACTCATCATGGAGTCCTTTTTGGTTTGAATTATTTCTGCGTTCAGTATGATGATTTCAATGTCAAACCATCACACAAATGTCAGAGCAATGTCTCTAAGCTTATATTTCTTTTGTGAAATTATTTGACCTGAAAAAGCAAAATGGGTATAGTACTTTCTTGTTTGAAGGTAGGTATTACGTGGAATCTTCTCTTCAAATTAAAAAAGTGTTTAAACCTTGTATTGTAGTATCAACCAGAATTAAATATCGATATGGCACCGGTGGTCAGTAAAAATTTGCCATACGTTTGGGTTTGCGGACAACAAAATACAGGCAAGTAGCTTTTATTTACAAAATGAATTTCAATTTTATACCCTTGATCAAAGTATAAGTAATAGGAGTAGGAGTAGAAGTAGTAGTAGTAATAGCATTAGTGGGATGGATTTATTTAGCTCAATTGCTATACATGCACATATATTTTTCTGCCTATAAATACAAATTAAACGCATATTTATGGAATTCAACGTCGTACATCGATTTCATACGTTTAAGGATTTAAAGATCTCTGAGTTCGCATATTACTAGACAAATGGTTGAGTTTTTGTAGACCTTTGTGGAAAACGGATTTACTGTTTCTGAAATAACTGTTGTAATTTGAATGAAAATCAAATTGCCCTCTAGTTTCATAATGAATGATAGATGAAATTCAAGCTTGTTATTTGATTAAGACATTTTCGTAGCAATCTGTTTTCAATTTTGTAAGCAATGTAGGTATTCTTCAAGATTTTTTTCACGTCTAACCAATTTAACTAATTTAGCATAAGCCGTGTATTATTTTTTTTTGTTTGTTTTACTTAATTCAGAATTATGTGCATGCGTTTATTTTACTGCATCTGTAGCCTATAAATTATGGAAGAATATACTGAATATAAAATTATAGAACGGTATGAGAAGTGAGGCAGAATGTTAAAACTAATTTTATTAATTAGTTTTTTGAAATAATGCTCAAAACTCAATTTTGATCCAACCACAACTAAATACTGTTTACCATTTCGATCACATCATATTGCATTCTCACTTTCAATTTTGACTCTGTTTGCCTAATATTAAACATTTAGTTCTTGCTATATTTATTATTAACAACTATGTTACGAAATGCAGTCCTTTAATTTTATTGCGTTATCAAAATTTCTAGCCTTAATGAGTTTACCGAGATAGTCGAACCGTTAGTAAATAAATTTGTTCAACGTATCTGCGTTTATGCTGAGCCTTTTTATGTCAATCTTTTGTATGATTGTGCACTAGTGTTGAGTGAGCGGGCCAATCAGTAGACATTTTCATTATTAATACGTATTATCTGCAGTTTTAGAAGGACCATTGTTAAAATATAAAAAATGTTATTTACAGGGAAAAAGACGCATGGCTCTTTAATAAGGGATCAGTTTGGATTTGAGCATATTAGAATTGCAGATTTGTTACGTTTGGAGGCTACCAAGGATACAGAAAGGGGTCATGCGGTTAAAGAATGTCTTAGAAATAACAAAAAGGTTCAAGACGTGAGTATATCTACTATACACATTTTGCTCAACGCAATCAAAAAGTTAAAGGGCAGGTGAAAAGCTTATGAAAGAAATTTCTGAACATGAGAGATGGTATTAGATAGTTAAAATCCATTTTGACTAGTTACTGACTTTTTTGTTATTACACATATTCAAGCCCAACTAAGTCAGACCGCTTTGAAAATAGTTACTTAGATATACATGATTAATGAAACAGGTTTTCTTAAAGATCACAACCAAGAGACTGTGTATTCAGATTTGAACGCAAGTACACAATAGTGGTTTTGAATGCAATATATTACTAATCCTCAAATTACATGTTTTACATTGCATATATAACTAAAATCAGGACAAATAAATTTATTTAGAACATTATTTTAATTAGGCTTATCCAGCTATATAAATTCAATAGCTCTGAATAAGGAAAATACCATGTTACGTAACTAACGGAGCTTTTTCATTTCGATAACCAATAATGGATGATTGTCTCCGCTACTGCGTAAAATCGAATTAAGGAAGGTCCTACGAAGTAACAAAACAAGACACCACTATTAGAATCTACTTTGACTATAAAAAACGGTGTTAGGGGGTGTAGCCGAAGACGACTAGTTTGTTTCATACTCACGCAGGTCTGGCTTATGTTTCACAGTCTGTATAGATCAGTAGCAATGTAGCAATCAAGGAAATCCTAGTTCGGTTATGGATGTCGTGTTTACAATATTCTAACCTGTAATGCGTATTTCACGAGTATTCAACTCGATAGAATGACAGCCGATTATCTAGTAACATCTCAAAATTCCCCACAGGACACATAATTCTGACGGATCCGTCAATGCCAGGTAGACAGAGCCATATTTTGTTTTGCGTTTATGTACTCTTCAGATTCATTTTGCACTTGCTAAAAGCTCTTTCATTTATAAAAGTTCATTTGCATACAAAAAAACAAAACGCTGCAAACAAGTTTCACTACGTTTACACCCGATTCATTATTGCTAACGCTGCAGAATAACACAAAGATGTCAATTGCTGATCAGCTGTTCACCTCAGTAGACGACAAAGTGTGATGGATACTCGTGAAATATGGTATACATATATCGAATTTTTGGTGTACACAGCGAATCATCAACCGATCAGGGTACAACAACACACACAAAGCAACGATATAGATAGTGTACAAAAAAGAGGTATTTAAAAAAATTAGACGGCTAAGTTGTACAAAACAAACATGTCACTTTGACAGATTTGTATTATAAAAAATCGCGTCAAGTAAGCTGACAATTAGTTCATAGACACCTTTTCCGGGCCCCACCGATAGTACCATTCATATGACGTCACCCCTCCCCCATAACTCACCGCTAGGTGAATCCATTTGTCAGACTCGGCAGCGTGGCAGTGACTGAACCAGTGTTGCTGAACCGAAAAGTACACAAAATCGGTCGGAAAATAAAAAAAATCTGCCCACACAAAACAAGTACAAAGGTATCCCTTAATATAAGACATATAATAACAAATGCTTGATGTTGGTATATGATTCCTATAAATATAAAAAACAAATGAAATTAAACTACTTCCAAAAAAACTAATTTTGTATATTTTTACAGAAACGAAACATAACGTCCATACATATGTATAACAGGCACAACTTCGAAAATCATCATAAGAGTTGTAGTTCAAAAATTTCAATTTAATTGCATCATCAGGATAAAATCGATGAACCTTACTCAGATACCAAAACCGAAGAGAGAAGCATAACCTATCGTATTCTACCGCGTTAGCAGTGGCTCTCTTCCTCTTTCCAGTTTCGCTACCAGACCGTATCATTTCTCAGTTAAAAATGACTTCAAAGATATCTTTTAATTCCAAATATTATATCATATATATATATATATATATATATAGGTGAAAAATTAAAGCTTACGCCTTTTGTTGGGTACTTCGACAAGATTTAAGCAAAGAGGACTCTTTATACTTTTTTTAATTCTCTCTAGCTTTCAATGGACTTTGCCATCATCATCAGGAGCTGCAATTACAATGATAACAGTAGCAACAAAGGTGTAAAATGAATTCAAATTGACTCAACTTACAGTAGTATGTGAGGATGTTGCTAATTGTTGTTTACGTATAGGATGAGGGAAACGTCCAGTAACATGGTGAGAGCTGAATAGGTTGCACAATAGTCAAAATTTATACAAAACATGACAAGAACAAGTTAAAAACAGATTAAAAATTATTTAAAAAAATTTTTTTTAAACATTACATACGTAAACAACAATTAGCAACATCCTCACATACTACTGTAAGTTGAGTCAATTTGAATTCATTTTACACCTTTGTTGCTACTGTTATCATTGTAATTGCAGCTCCTGATGATGATGGCAAAGTCCATTGAAAGCTAGAGAGAATTAAAAAAAGTATAAAGAGTCCTCTTTGCTTAAATCTTGTCGAAGTACCCAACAAAAGGCGTAAGCTTTAATTTTTCACCTAACTGGTCTAGACGACAATGACCACGTCTCAAGTACATCTATATATATATATAACAACAGGTAGGAAAATAATGGGTAAAATCCGCAAAAAGGAGGAAAGTGGATTCGAGCAGAAAATAGGATAGGTTACCCGAGACGTCTAACCACCACCACGCGGCCGGTTATAGCCACTTGCTGTGGTACTTCAAGCCCAAAGGATCTACAAAGAGAATATGATCATGCGGAGAAAAGTATATAACAACAGGTAGGAAAATAATGGGTAAAATCCGCAAAAAGGAGGAAAGTGGATTCGAACAGAAAATAGGATAGGTAACCCGAGCGATACGTATTTCTGGTGGTTGGCTTCAGCAGGCCCGAAATGAATGCACGTATGAAACTACAAAAGTAGATACACATGCCCACACATCCGGATACGGGTGTAACCTGAGGAAACGAAGTTGGAGGGGAAAAAAACGACACACGAAGTCCACAACAAGAGCCAACCTACACATTGTAGTATAAAATGGCTATACGACCTCGAATTTACAAGGAGACGTCTAACCACCACCACGCGGCCGGTTATAGCCACTTGCTGTGGTACTTCAAGCCCAAAGGATCTACAAAGAGAATATGATCATGCGGAGGAGGTTGGCTCTTGTTGTGGACTTCGTGTGTCGTTTTTTCCCCCTCCAACTTCGTTTCCTCAGGTTACACCCGTATCCGGATGTGTGGGCATGTGTATCTACTTTTGTAGTTTCATATGTGCATTCATTTCGGGCCTGATGAAGCCAACCAGCAGAAATACGTATCGCTCGGGTTACCTATCCTATTTTCTGCTCGAATCCACTTTCCTCCTTTTTGCGGATTTTACCCATTATTTTCCTACCTGTTGTTATATACTTTTCTCCGCATGATCATATTCTCTTTATATATATATATATATATATATATATATATATATATATAGGTGAAAAATTAAAGCTTCCGCCTTTTGTTGGGTACTTCGACAAAATTTAAGCAAAGAGGACTCTTTAAACTTTTTTTATAATTCTCTCTAGCTTTCAATGTACTTTGCCATCATCATCAGGAGAGTAGTATGTGAGGATGTTGCTAATTGTTGTTTACGTATAGGATGAGGGAAACGTCCAGTAACATGGTGAGAGCTGGATAGATTGTACAGTAGTCAAACTTATATAAAATATGACAAGAACAAGTTAAAAACAGATTAAAAATTATTTAAAAAATTAAAGCATTACATCGTGAAGCCACTTGATGATTGCACAAATTAGTGGTCATGGAATGATGAGTGACATGAAACCCTTTGGGTTAGTATAAAGAGTCCTCTTTGCTTAAATTTTGTCGAAGTACCCAACAAAAGGCGGAAGCTTTAATTTTTCACCTAACTGGTCTAGACGACAATGACCACGTCTCAAGTTATATATATATATATATACGTATATACCAGTTTCCCTATTAACAATTAATTGTATTTTTTGCCCAACTGGTCGCTGGCAATGGCAATGACTACTGCTCATATATATATAATTTACTTAGAGAATCGAACTGACTGGATTTGGAACTAAACTCTTTTATTCTTCCATCGTCCTTGGGATCAAACCAATATTGTTTGAAAACAGTAGAAAACATGCAGCCAATGTTGAAATTGTAATAATTTTCATTTATGACTCTGTAAACTTGAAACTTCATCACCTGACATTCGAGACGATCTTTGGTTTCCTTGTTGCTTATTAGGCAATATGGTAATGATGATTTACATAAATCTATATCCCTCGTGCGCCTATTGTCTCAAACGTACGCATATGTGTGATTGGTGCATGGGAGACAAAAATACATAGAATTCTTTTTTTTTTTTACTTTTTTTTATCCTGGCTCCTATTCAGTAAGAAAATCTGAAGATATCTTGGCAAATCGTGGAGAATGAGGACGTTTTCAGTATATAGGTAAATATGGTCTCGTTTCGGTAAAAATACCGAAAGATCAGTAGGTTCGGTAACACTGATCTAAGTTATTTAAAAAAATCATGGAAAATGAGAACGCTTTCGGTATTTCGGTAAATAAGGACTCATTTCCGTAGGTGGTAGACGGTCTCTGACTGTCGAATGTGGATGTACCACCCGGCGGATCTCTAAGGCGGGACCAAAATGTGTGCATGTTGCTAGAGTCTGTGTGGCGTATCTCCGCCCTTCCCTTGTCTCCCCCTATAGACCCACGGTACCCAATGGGTGTTTAGGCCATAGACCTTCGTAGAGGTTCAAGATTGAAAAAAAGGTTGACACTGGACTGAACAACACTCACGGGGGTTACTGCGACGCCGCTCAACCCAGAAATTGACGCGTGTTGTCCATCCAGTGACGGATCCAGGGGGTAGTTCAGGGGGCCCGAAATCTCAGAGTTTAAAAAATTCCATGTTTTTCATTTTTCGTCGACCCCCTTTCCTCTCGAGAATGCTCAATCTGTGGTACCTATCCCTTCACCACTTTTTTCATATGGATCCCTGCTGAAAATATTTTCTAGATCCACCCCTGTCTCCATCATTTTAAATTTTAAGAGCAAATCTACGGGTAAATCTGATGTGTGAAATACGTCTAATAGGCGCATATAATTATATGTAATTACTGGGTCTGGAAGCGTATACATATTCTACTGCCAAAAAATTGAGATATAACCTCCCGCACCCCCAACAATTCCCAATTTTCACCTCTCCTGAAAATTTTCTGAAAAAGGCCAGGAACGTCAAAAACAAGGTTTGAGCAGATTTTATATCCTTTTCATTTACCAGCAATTGTCAACAAGCAACTAACATCAATAAATTACCATTCACCAGAGCATCGTGGTGGAATTGTTAGCCCGGGCCATGCTTCACTCGCGGACCGACAAGGGCTTCGTAATCACCAACTTCCCACGTACTCCCAGACAAGCAGACCTCTTCGTTAAAGCTTTATTCAGGGTTGACTTGGCCCTATACTTCTACACGGACACCAACAGCCTGGTGGAACGGGCGAAGCAGAGGGCTGGTGGTGAGAATTTTGACGAGGCTAATGTGAGGAGGGAGATCGCCTACGCCAACAGGGACATAAAGGGCTGTTTGGGGAAGTATTCAGAGAAGGTCGAGAATGTGAGTATCCGTAGTCTTTGGACTAAAGGTGCACCCCACTCAAGGAGAAGGGAAGCGAAGAGTAGCGAATTCCCAACAAACATTTCAAGTTATAATTACTTTAATTCGACCAGAAAATGGGTCCAAAAGTTTGCATGTTCGGCTTAAAAAAATGACGCCAAGTAGGTTGAACCTGTACTTCTTACGCAAAGCGTAATCCAATTTATAAAGGTTTGACAACATTGCGGTCTAGCTTGTAGTTGTAGTCACCGTTCTTGGTGGGTCAAAGTAAAACTACCAGTATCCCTTTATACAATATCTCCATCTCCCTCATACATTCACATGCAACCTACCCCTGGGTGTGAACGTTTGTTCAGTAAGCTCAAAACTTTGCCGTTATGTATGAGGGCCCTTCAACCATATTTGTCAGAGTGACAACTTACTTGACATCGGCATGCAATTTAAGTTGTCGTGTTATCAATCTTCAATATAAAATTGTGGCCGACAGATCGTGCTAAATTTATTAGAGTTTTTCCAGGAAAAGAATGAAAATAGCGGTCCTCTGTTACCCACTTCATGTGTACTGGAGAGAGTAGCAGATGCGCTGAAGATTAGTCTGCGCAGTGTTCAGCGAATAAAATCCGAAATCAAGTAGTAGTAATCCCTGGGGAAACTCATAAAATCAAAAAATGCAAGACCGATCATGTAAGTGACGCCGTCAAAACAGAAATTACTTTCTACGATATGAGAAGTAAAGGACAACATATCACTACCTCTGCGCTCAAGATCCGCCTGTGGTACGGATACTCGATCTGTTTACTTATTTCATATGACGTTGATGACGTAACCGCCAAGAATGATGACTACAACTATACCGCCCTAGCGACAGGACCGACCATCCAGCAACCCAACACGAATCACAAATACAGCTCAGTTATCCCTTAGCATTCCAAGCAGACAGACGTACACACTCTGAGTTGTCTGGAACACGTATATCGAAAACAAATCTCTATCTTTTAAGTTTTAAGGCCAAATGTACAGGGAAATACATATGTCAAGGTTAAGACTAACTGCGCGGGCTGAGCTTCGTGCTTTTATAAATAAAGATGACTATTGTGTATGAAACATATCTAACAGGTAAGTGGATTCATAGTGGCTGGAAACGTATGAATTGCTACCACCAGAAAATTGACGTATACTTTGTCCCACTCCCTACAACCTCCAACATCCAGTATTTAACCTGAGAAAAGTTTTCTGGAAATGATCAGGATTCTGATACGTCAAAAAACGAAGTTTCAGCGATTTTTATGTTTCCGTTTTTGGCCTTTTTCGTCGCCGCCACTGGACCGATTTGCAAAACCTACAATTTCTTTTTTCGTAAACTTGTGTGAATATTTCATTAAAATTCGAGCGGTACTGCCCAAGTTATAGACGGGCTAAGGATCAGTGGACAGACAGACCGACGAAATTTAGTGACTTGGTTTTTTTTTTCGTGATCTACGAGCCCCTGTCCACTTCAGTTGGCCACTTCAAGAATTGTACCAAAATATGCCTTTATAAACTAAACATGACCAAACTATTTATTCTAAAACAATTTATTTTCACAAAAACATTTTAGATACACTCTAGTCGTAAAAAATACATATTTGAAATCACAGACCTATAACTAATAGAACATCTGAACAAATAAACAATGTGCGAATAAATGCGCGAAGTTAGCAAAGCAACAATTGAAAGATTACCGTTGAGTAACATCACCTTTATTTTTTATTACGGCTGAAATTCTTTGGGGCATAGTGTTAACCAAGTTTTGGCAAATTATTTCTTGAAGCTTTTGTCTCAGTTCGGTGATTGTATGAGCAGGATGTTCTAGAACCTTTTTTATTTCGTGCCACAAAGTTTCAATAGGTGACAGATCTGGACTGCTAGAAACCCATTTCAAAAGTGGTACATTATTTTCTTCCATCCATTTTATAGCCTTTTTTGAGGTATGGCATGCTGCACTATCTTGCTGAAACACAAAATCTTGGCCGGATGTCAAACATTCTTCCATCACTGGTAAAAGCGATCCTTCTAAAATTGCCAAATATTTGTTTGTATTCACATTTAGATCAATAAAATGAAATTTTCCTACTCCTTTTGATGATATACTGCCCCAGACCATAGTGGATGCTAGAAATTTCAATTTCCTCTTCAGACAGTCAACATGGAATGCTTAATTTTTTTTTGCGAATAACTCTACTGCGACTGTCACCAACACAAACTTCGAATCGGGCCTCATCACTCCATTGTATTGCACACCATTGTTGACGTGTCCATTGTCTATGTTCTTTAGCCCATCTAAACCGATTGTTCTTTTGCAGTGGAGTTAATAGTGGCTTTTCTTTGGCCTATAAACAAGTTGTGCAACTTTAGGGTTTTTACTTCACTTTTTTTTATAAGAAAACTTACCTTGCAAGTGCTAAATCCCAGTTTGCGGGCCTCTCTATGAGTTGTGGACCTCGAAATTCTCCTTCCAACAGCGTCACTCCACAGAGCACTTAATTGTATATAATTGGCACGCGTGTTTTTCACGATTATTCTTCTTAATGCTCTTCGGTCGGCATTTGTGATATTACTTTTTTTCACATATCGTGGCTTAATATTAACTGAACCAGTTACGTTATATCTTCTAACAATATTTCTCACACTGTACCGCGATAAGACTAACAAAGTTGCAATTTCTGAGTTTGACTTCCCAGAATTAAAAAAATTAATTATCAGTAATCGAATTTTCTCACTAATAACCTTTCCTCTACCAATTTTGAAAACCTTAGGCCCGTATCGTCAGTCGTCCCTACAATTGTAGGGCGCCTTTATGGCCTCCTTGATTGTCATAGTTTTCTACTTCTCCGTGTCAGCGCTCTATTTTGAGGTTATGTCACAAACATCTATTTGCATCAAATTGTGCTTGCTTTTGAGTTATATCATGTTTTATCAGCCTGAAATTTCCTACAATTTAAAAAGAAAACATATCTTCACAATAGGAGAGCGCTGACGCTGACACGGGACAAGTGTAATCTAGAAATTTTTGAAGGAGAGAAAGGAGTATGACAATCAAGGAGGCCATAAACGCGCCCTACAATTGTAGGGACGACTGACGATACGGGCCTTAACTACCCAAAACTATTTTAAACGTATTCTGACAGCTGTGATTAATAAAAACAATTGTCATGGCTTTTATTTTTCACAGCCAGCTATGCGTTATAGACTTATTTTGCATTGAAATGAAAATAGGTTGATATGCTGTAATTGTAACATGTGTTATTTTTATGCTGCAAATTTGATTAGGAAGTGATAAAGTTGGTGTTTTCTACTATATATTATCAAAATATTCATTGTTCATATTTTAAACCTACAGGTATAACACCCTGCTAAATTTTTATTATTTGTGTTTGATAAGAAAAAAACTAAGATTTCAATAGTTGGGCCAACTGAAGTGGGAAGGGCCTCGTAGATATCATATAATGTCTAAAAATATATATATCATTATCAAAATTTTTCGCGATTTCAATACTTCCTCGCAATTGGCGTATGAAGTAAAACGTATTATTTACATTATGACGTTTTTTGAGAAGAAAAGTATTATCTCGTTGAACCAACCCGGATTCTCTGCTGGAAAGTCAACAGCAATCTATTCGTTCTATGCAGGCCTTTGACTGTGTCAACCATAAAATTCTGTTGTAGAAGCTCTGCATCTGGCACTCCTTATAGGTAACTCAACTACTATCTTGTCGATAGGAAACGATTGTTTATCTAGTACATAAATGTTACATCGAGTCCAATACAGTGAAGTCACTGTTGATATTGGGGTTCCTTAAGGTTCCAGTTTAGGACCTATTTGGTTCATTCTCTATTCTATATCAATGAGAATGAGCCAGTGTGTGAGAATGCGCCGTGACGACATGAATCTGACCTAAATTTATAAATTACGAAAACATGGTCTCTCTTGCTGCTACATACACTTGGTAAACTACAGATTAAAAATAAAATTAGATGGTGATGCACTTGTCTATAGCTGATTATCAGTTGTCGGTAAAAAACGTTATTTTGGGTATTAAGCTGCAATATTGCATGACTGTATTGTCGGCGACTTTCATGGTCACTAGGCTGTAGTTTTTAGGTTAATCGAATTTTGTATGGCCACAAATGCAGGTCTTTTTTAAAACAGTGCATAATGACGTGCGTTGAAAACCCCGTTCTTGAGAAAGATGTCTGGTAGGCGTGTCATGCCGCTCCACTACACTTTCACGAACTATCGCGATATTTTCCAGAGTATAAGCAGTTCGAACACGGCTCGACCTTGGCAAGTCTTCAACTTCACCTGTTTGTTCAAATTTCCGCACCAACTGACGAATGGTGTTGACACTGGGCACATTCGACTAAAATCTTGTCGTAGCTTTCAAGTCGTTGCAATTAATCATCTCATTATTCAAGTAAAACGTTTTAACAATACGGACGCGTTGTAGGATCGTGTAGCGCTCCATGATGAATTGTGCTTTAAACAGCAACTACGGCGCCACCTACTAAAACGTGTATAAAAAATGGCGCGCAATTCAAATCAGTCAGTTATATATTGGCCAGCCTGTACAAGAAATGAAAGATTGAATATCAAACATAGTGTATCACTTAAAATAAACAAACAGTATCAACTTCCTGTAGAACCAAAAGAGCGACCATTATGAACATAGTTTATTCGAAATGCTTTCATCAATTGTATCGGAACATTAAATTTCCGTAATCCTATGACACGCAGTTTCCGACTTATACAGGGTGGCGCATCGAAAACGAAACAGACGCATTTACTGGCAGCTCAGTTTTTTTTTTGTTGGAAAAACGCTCAGACCCGTCGATTTTGTTTTCGAGGGGGACACAAGTTTGGCAACAAATCACGTTAACACGTGCAGCCCCATGGGCGGGGGTGACACCAACCCTAAAATCTTAAGTGATACCTTGTTTTAAAGGTCTTTCAATTCCCTTTATAATGATGTAAAATACATGAGCTTCAGTGCAGTAGTTATGAAGATTTATTGATTGATAAAGCTTAAAGTAGACTTTAATAGGTACATCAGATTAGTTTGTACTCCTTTCAGAAGAAATTTGACTAAAAGAATTTACTTAATAAGTAGAATTATAAACGATGAACATTTTCTATTCAACACTTGCTTTTCCGACGAATGTTCCTTTTTCTTAAATGGCGTAGTAAATCGTCATAACTGCCGATATTGGTCCGATTCTAATCCCAGAATTTATCATGAGGTTCATACACAGCAGCCACAAAAATTAACTTTTTGGGCTGGTATCTTTGGCGATCATTTAGTCGGTCCTTTTTTATTACCTGGAAATTTCACCGGTGAAATGTATTTGGAATTACTGGAAGACGCCATAGATCCTGCATTAACAGCCATAATTGAAAATCAGAATGATCGGCGGTACATTGCAAATATGTTGATGTTCCAACAGGATGGTGCCCCACCACGTTACGCATTAGGTGTTCGACAATATTTAGATCAGATGTTTCCAGATCGATGGATTGGTAGAAGAGGTGCCATTAAATGGCCCCTAAGATCGCCAGATTTATCACCTTTGGATTTCTTTATGTGGGGTAATTTAAAAAGCAAAATCTATGCTACTCAGCCAACACCATTAAAAGACCTGCGACAAAGAATTGTGAATGAGTGCCTTCAAATTACTCCTCAAATATTGCAAAATGTGCGGCAACGTTTTGAGGAAAATCTTTATTATTGCATGGAGAGTCATGGTGGCATTTTCAACATTTACTTGCCTAACGGGTCAGTTCATTCTTCATTTTTAAATTACTTTGCTGCCAAATTTATTGATCTCCACTAATCATGATGTATTAGTTTCATTTAAGCTTTAAATCAATAAATCTTCAAAACTACTGAACTGGAGTACATTATTTTTATACCATTATAAAGGGAATTGAAAGACCTTTAAAATAAGGTATCACTCGACCCCCCTTTCCATTTAAGATTTTAGGGGTGGTGTCACCCCCGCTTAGGAGGCTGCACGTGCTAACGTGATTTTTTGCCAAACTTGTGTCCCCTTCGAAAACAAAATCGACGGGTCTGAGCGTTTTTCAAAAAAAACCTTAGCTGCCAGTAATTGCGTGTCTTTCGTTTTCGATGCGCCACCCTGTATATCGGTGCAATTCTTCGTGGAATCACTGAACATCTCTTCTACTGTGCAGATAAATACGAGTGGGCAACCAGAAGAAGTGTTCGAAAAAGTAGAGCAGGCCTTCTCTAAGAGGCTAAACCTGACCATTCAACGTCCCATCTGCACCGAATCAGATTATGTTAGAAATCCTGGAGAAACGAAGGCCTTCGACCAGCCAGAGACCGGAACCAGAAACTATATGATAAGCTCTTACTAACAAGCTCATTACTGTCAAATCAACAGGGAATGACTTTGTTAATAAAGTTTTTACAAACTGAATGATAATTACTTTTTTCCGCTTCCTCTTTAGATTTTTATAGCGTGGTTACATTAGGTTACTTCCCTAGGTAGAAGTAGAGTCTAATATTTTTTTCGTAATCGATGTTCTAGGTTAATATTTGAGTTAGCAGAAGATGGGGTCAGCAACCTCAACTATCAAAAATTCCCATAGCATTTCAAGCCTAGAATTAAGGGTTAATTATTAGCAGCTCACCGATGGGACATTTATTTTATTAGAAATCGATGATCTGCTAGGTTAACATTAAGTTAGCAGAACTTGCTAGCGACAACCGTAACGATCGATAATTCTTATAGCATTTTAAGCTTGGAATTAAGGGCTAATTAGCCGTTCAAAGATTGGCTAAAATATCAAGACTATAATTTTTTTTTTAGAAATCCACAAACGTACTGCACGGCTATTATGCAAACAACCTATATAACGTCAAAAAAAACAACGAAATGTCATTTTGGACTAGGTAATTTTTAGGGTGCAAATATTCCACGTTTGCTCGCTATGAGCGCTGTGAGCGTCCATCTATGGAGAAATGACTCAACTGCACGCATTGTTGGTTGCAGAAAGCAAGTATATTTTTTTGTGAATTCGAGTAGTCTGTAGTGTTGAGATGTGAAAAAAAGAAAGTTAGTTGAGTAGCAAGATAGCATCTGAGTGACAGTGATTATTGGTCTGCATGTGTATAAAATCATTTTTTGCTATGTGAGAAAAATATTACTGAATATGCTGCCAATAAAGTATATCTATTAGCTGTGCTAGACATGTTATTTGTCCTTTCTGAAAACAGATTATTTTCAAAGTTATAAATTACGGTTTTTCACGTTTTTTTAAGTTTTCAAAAACTTTGAGGAGCATTACGGGAAATCGCCACCGCGCCCGCGTTGAGTGTAATTGAGCCACTTCACAGAAAAATTAGGAATGACGCATCACATTTTCGCAGTGCCTCACATCTAGGCGCTTATTTCTATTTTCTATTGACATCGCAAAATACATTTCTATAAACTTAAATGAGTGGAAATAAAAAATAATGTAGTAACCTGTTCACTTTTATAAATATTCCTGTCCGTAGCATGTTTTTTCACCTGTTATCTCACCAACCAGGGATTTTCTTTTCTTATGTCTCTCATTTTTGAAATTCAGCTAAATTTGCATATGTAATTTCCAGAATTAGTAAGAGAAAGTGGATGCACATCTAATTTCTAGCTTTGAATGTAAAGTGGATTTTTGACATTGAGCCAACGGAACTATTATGAACACATATTATTAGGACACAAATCCTTACGATGCACCTACGCACTGCCGTTTCCTCTCAGCTATAGTATACAACTTACAGCTTAGACCTTCAATAATGCCATCTCTGAAGCAGATGTAGCATCACATCAGAGCCAGAAATTGATAGCTGACGCATCGTGTCGTTTAGGCAACACGTACCACTACATAACGAGTTAACAACAAGTGTCTATCAGCTAGTACTAAGACATCTTGTAGAAAAACCTACGCTATGTCAAAAAACCTACATTATGTAAAAAAACGACATAATTTCACTTTTCAAGATACGTAATACTCGTGCCGATGGGTAATTCTCATTTCATTCTTAGCCCGGAATTAAGGGCTAAATAAGGACTTAACTGAGGTTTAGAAAAGTCAAGCCGAGTATTTTTTTTTTTTGAAACGATGTTCTACCAGATCAACATTAGCCACAGCCGAAAAGACCGATGTTTCCCATAATGTATTCAAGTAATATCAAAAGGTTAATTGAGGACTTAATAGTCAAAGAAAGTGTATCTTTTGCAAGGTTAACATTGAGTTAGCAGCGCGTGATCGATCGATATTTTTCATGTCACGTTTAGAGAAAAATTAGCGGCTAATTAACGGCTCACCGATGGGCTGAAAGAAGTGTATCTTGTTTTTTTTTATCGATGTTCTGTTATTTTAACGTTAAGCTTGACAGTAATTTCATGATGGCTTGATTTCGACCCCATATCTTTTTGTGAATCGATATTTTGCTAGGTTGTGGTTAAATTAGCAAGACATGCTAGCTAGAGCCGCAACTATCAACATTGATCTATTTAGCCAATATCTAAGGACTTAATTGTGGACTTAAAGAATTCGTGTTTTATATTTTTTTGAAATCGGTGTTCAGCTACGCTAGCATTACAACAATACATAGTGACTACAACCGAACCTATCTATATTTTCCATAACATTTTAGGTTGAAATCGAGGGCTAATGATTCTTAGAAAAGCGATGTACTGCTAGATTAACACTACAGTATATTCAGATAAGAGATAGACCGGACATAAACAAGACCACGTGATCATCGAACGCTGTAACATTCGGCAGGGACGTATTAAGAGTCACGCAGTACATATTTTAGATAGTAGATGCTGCGTAACTTTGTAGTAAATTAGCACAATTCGATGTGTATACGATTGGTGATGGATATAGGATCATGTGGGGGTGGGGTAAGAAATATATAATGATGTAAATATACATAAGGGTTTCAAAATTTTCGCTTCGATTTACAGCTTCGGATGCCGCCTGATGTTTGGTGAAATACAGTCGAATATAATCTCAAAATGGCGTTTAAATTAGCCTAAATTAAAAATAATCGTATATCTCTTAAAATTGCTTTTAGAATATTGATTAGTATATTTTTTGATTTCTAGGTAAATATGTAACCAAATTAAAACGTTCAAAACGTAAAAAAATGTGCATGGTTGAACATTGTCAGAAAGTAGATTCTTGAATAGGTTTTGCCAAAATGGGTTCAAAAATTAATTACTTATAACTTACCGAATTTGATGAACGACATCTTTTATTGGAAAGATGAGCTTGATGAGCTTTCATCATCGCTACTGCCTGAAGCACCAACGTCAATAATGAATGGCTCGACTTGTTCCTCTAAAATATTGTCCAGTTCCCACATTCTCTTTTCAACTTTGTCTTTCACGTGCTTAATACAGTTTTCCCATTTTTGCGCTGTTATTAATTCTAGTGCTTCTTTGAAAAGTCCTTTGAGGTCACAAAATTTAAAAGTTGTATTGTGCTTAGCTATATAATTTTTAACCTCTGCCCATATGAGCTCAATGGGATTGAGCTCGCAATGGTATGGAGGTAAACGGAGCACAGTTTTATTTTGACTTGCTGCCATTTCGTCAATGGCGTATTTTTGATATTCCGCCTTGTGATATGTGATCCTTGACAATTCTTAATAATTGTACTTTCAGCATTGCTTCTTCAAAGTTGATATTTTTCGAGCGGAGCCAATTTTGAACATTAACTTTCCTTGAAGTCGTTGTTGGGACCTTCTCCATTCTTCGAGAATGATAACGCGCATTATCCAACACAATTACTGCGTTTTCCTCCAAGTTCGGTAAAATTTTTGAAAACCACTGTTCAAACGATTCGCCATTCATTTCCTCGTGGTAATCTCTAGTTTTCTTAGACTCAAAGCACCACAGACCGTCAACAACAAATCCATCCTCACTGCCAATATGGCAGATAATGAGCCTTTTCCCTTTACCTGGAAATCGAAGTACTAACTGGTGTAGATTTATTTCAATAAGCGAACCTTTTTCAAATGTTTTCATCACATTCAGCGAAAAAACATTGAGACATGAGTATCAGATTGCTATAATTGGGATTATTTAGTCATATTGAAAGAAAGAATATTGAACGTCGTATGATTACTCAGCGCTTCACAATTTAATTTAAAGTTATAAAAATATTAATATTAACAAATTATAACTTTATAAAGCTTAAAGTATGAATTAAAATTATTAGAAATATTAGGAACGGTACACAATATAAAACTTAGTAACTTTTTTAAGTCTATAATATTCGACATATTTTAAGATTATATTAAAAAATTATTGAAATATCGAAAACACATAAAAACATGGCTTAAAAAAGTTCTAACAAATGAAAATGACAATAAAACATCCACGCATTTTATCGAAAGTTATAAAAGTTTTGTTACTTATAATATGTTTTATCTGCCCCCTGGAATTAATGTTTAGAACCTTATTCCCAAGGTTTGAAAAACATCCGATTGTTGTCTATTACTCGTATTTACCTGCTGGATTTTTTAATCCGGTGGACAGTCCATCTAGAAAGGCCCTCCTGGATGAAGTTACAGAATCATCAACCCATACTTTACTTGTAGTGTGTCCTGCGTTTACCCACGTTTCATCAAGGTAATAAATCTTCCTGTTTTGATTTCTATATTTCCCAATTTTTGTTAAATAATCCCTCCTCCATAGCACAATTTCTTCTCTATCCAGTAAACTATTACGACCCCGTTTTTTCCATTTGAAATTTAAATGCTTCAGTAACGCATGGAAAGTTGATCGTTTGAAATTTGGCAACGTTGTATCTCCATTTACCTCCTGCAGTACTTTATCTACAGTAGGTATTTCATTCCTAAAGAAGAATTCATGCACTTTCCTCCTAATCGCATGCTTATCAGCTTCATCCAATGATTTGACAATACTTTTGCGATGTTTACTGGTCATTGGCTCAGAAAAGGTGTGATTTTTTTTGTATTGTCTTAACACATTAAACACTGATGCGCGACACACCCCAACTTTGTGAGAAACCTTCACAACAATTTCTTTGATGGTTGATGCCTCGTTCTCCTCGCGCTCGATCTTATATATATTCAAAATGACCTCTTTCATTTCTGCACTCAGGTGTCTTTTTTTAGAGCGTTTCCTAGGTGAACTACAGGAGTTTACAACTTCATCGGCAGTATCTGTACTACTGGGCATTTTGCGCAAGCAGTTGATAACAATAACAATCAATAACAAGGTATAACAATAACAACGACAAACTCAACAACTTAATGAGATAACAAACGAAAACATCCAAAGAAATATCAAATTGCAATGATGCACACGACATACGTAGCACGTCTGAACCTGAATGTGACTCTGCCTTGATACGACTGCTCTGCCGCTCGGCATAGGCATTTAATTGCGAATTGACCAATGAGGGCTCCTGTTTTACGTCGAGACGGCGGCGTTAGCGTGAAAATCACCCGAACCTTTTGTTTACATCCGGTCTATCTCTTATCTGAATATACTGTAGATTACATGCTGGTTATGGCTGAAATGATCGATATTTCCCATATTACTTTTAGCCTGGGGGTGAGTAAGGGCGTAACGTTGGCTTAAATCGTGATTATATGTTTTTTGAACCGATTTTAACGTCAGGTTGGCAAGGCATGATAGCTACAACCGAAGCGATGGATATTTCTCATGAGCTATTTAAGGGCTAACTAAGGGCTCAAAGATGGACTGCGAAGAAAGGTTTTCCACCTTGGTTCGTTATATTCCGCCTCCCTCAGTTTTCTTCAGTGAATGCAGAGGTTGCTGAGATTATGTGGATAAAAAGCATGTAGCCAAATAGGTCGACAGACCAAAAATTGTAAGATAAGTATCTACTTACGTACATGTTTCTACCTGGACTATTCAATAATTATAAATCGAAAGTGGGAATGCAGAAAGCATAATCTCATCAGTATGTATTGTTGGAAGCATGTTCTGCAACAGATTTTTATTGCTTCTGACTTTTACAAGTTTTATTATGATCACCATAACATTAAAGTGTTTCAATGAAAAGCGAAACTACATGTACCACAAAATTAGAGGCTGTTACAAATCTACCCTACGGGTGATAAGAACTAAAGAGGTGACGAATGTGACAGATTGTGCAAAACATGCCAATAAGCACAACGGGTTAGCATTCAACTTTGGTCCTGAAGAAGGTGTGGAATACCGGAAACTTTATACGAGGAACTGCCATGTGCTAGGATGTCCAGAAGTGGCCAATAGCAGCACCTTTGTTGAAGATATGGCATTTGATTATTACAGTGCCTTCGGAAATTGGAACGGTAAGTATAACCATCCATTAACGTATTCTGGCTGAATAGCCAGGCGTCCAAAAAAATCTGAAAAATAAAAGTCGCTTCTATGAGTCAGTAGCAGAACGCAAAAATGGATTGAATAATCTACGTTAGAAAAGGAGTGATTGATTGCGCTGGATCTACAATCCCTTTTTCCGCCTCATAAAGACTATTTTTATTACATATTGTCAGGCATTGCTTCCTGTATTCCGCCTGAAGATATCCAAGTAAAAAGGCGTCACAGAGGCCAAACAGGGATTGAAGAATCCGGCGCTATCTTTGAGACAGCAGCAGAACCAAGCTGTATTCGAAATGGATTTCTGAATTCATATCTATTTTCTGATCGTCCTGTAGACAGGGAAGCTATTCATTATCAAATTTTTGCTCCGGGAGAAATTTTTATATTTTGTGTTGAACGACGAACATTCGCTGTTGGCGCTGAGATACGTATTATACTCAAACCGAACATCGCAAGATAATCCGTCTTTTGAAAGAGGAAAACGTTCCTCATCACACTTTTGCTCTGTCCTCTGAACGCAACATCCATGCGGTTATCAGAGGGATCCCAGCGTCAACCACCAAACAAGAAGTCGAATATGAGCTAGAACAAGAAGGTTATGCAAGCTCTGCAGCGTGCAACAGTACTGCCAGTACAACGACAAGGCAGACCTATTCTCCTTGCAGAGATTTGTCAGAAACTTTTTAACAAAAGAGCAAGTGCAAACGTCTTGTCATCCTGATGACATTCTCAGAGCAACAACTCTTGTTCATGAAGTGAGAAATGTTCTTCATAAATTCCGTAATGAGCAACGGAGCGACTTACTGGGGGATGCTTGAATCATGTATTCTTCTCTGCAAAATTGCAAAGTCGCTCAGAAACGGAAAGTCAAAACAACTCCGGAACATCCACGGTCCTGGGGGCATAGTCTTTAGGACAGAGGAAGTGGTCGAGGTTTTCGCTGATGATATCAAAAGACAGTTCTCTCCCAACCTTGATAATGAACTCGTCGACGAGCAACACATCGTAAGATCTATCAGGAGATATCTTATGGGCAATAGCGTCATTCATAGTGGTGTCTCTCTTAGCGATTGTTCTTCAGAGTCTTCTTCCGAAGATTCCTCAACTGAAGGTGCGTAAAGCATCTGAAGAGGATCGAATCTTTAATAAGACGCTGCTTTCGCGGAATTCCTTGGCTTATCTCGTGGAAATAATCGAAGCCATGCTAAGGACCCAGTAATTTCCAGCGGCATGGAAAACCGTTGATGTTATGATTCCAAAGAAGGTGGGTCCGATATTCCAAAAGATTACCGACCCATTAGTCTACTGTCCGGTCTATTTAAGCTCGCTGAAAAGGTAATCTTACGATACCTTTAAAATTTTTCGTCAGACTACAATGTGATTCATGATGTGCAATTTGCATTCGAGTTCCAGTTAGTTAGGCTTGTTGAGTCAGCAATCAGGAGCTAAACCCTTAACGAAGATACGGGCACCTTGTTTCTGGATGTCTCAAAGGCATTTGACAAGGTGTAACACGGGGACCTCCTCTATAAATTGATAAAACAGGGCTTCTATTTCTGGATCCTAAAAAAATCCTTCCTGAGGGTAGGAAATTTCGGATCAAAATTAATAGCGTTCTGTCGCCAACTCGGCCTATCAGAGCCGGTGTCCCTCAGGATTCAGTTCTTTGACCAATCCTTTATTGATGACGTCCCTTGCCTCAGCAACTGTTAAGTCTATTTCTGTGGTGACGCCCTGTGGTATGTCTCCAATGATACCCTTCACAGAGACCTTGACATCCCTTGTCTAAGGGACTACTTCAAACCGCATAGCAACCCTCTGTTTGGCGAGGTAGTAGACGTCACGGTCGAGCAAGTTCGCAAGCACACTGTGAACAGAATTAAATCGTGCCACTTTAGGTCAAACCAAAATTATGATTTTCCTTCAACGACCAACCTTTAAATTAATTTTAGGATCAATTTAAAATTTCCGAATACGAAGTAACAATGCCAAAGCACCCCTCAAATTGACAAACTTCAGTTTTTTTGTTCTCCTTCCTTCCTTTCTTTCTTCTTCCCTTCTTTCTCCCTGACTCTGTCTGGTATCTGGGCAACCCGGCATGACAGACCTACTAACTTGCAATACTTTAACCAATAGCAAAGCTCATATGGACCGCTCTGACAGACAATGACGAATGTTTTGCTGCTGTCTCGTTGATGTGCGCTAGTATCTTTCAAGTCACTTTCTGGGTGTCGCAGTATAGTATCTGGTTGGCTATTTTCAGGTGGGATATTTTGATCAACGATTTCTTATAGCATGCATTATGCTCAACAGTTTGTGAAGGTTAAGAAGCTAAATTTGGTTGTTACTGAAGTATTCTCAGAATTTCTTTACTGTTTTAGCCACTGAGAACTCAACGTGCATCGAATCAACAGGCTTGTTCAATGTTCTACACGATCGACTGAACTACACTGATGCTGCTCTGGGTTGTCAAGATGTCAATGGTGAATTAGCCGATGTTGTTACCGAAATCCGAACGAAACATTTGTCGCAGTACATTGAGAGTGCATTGGATGGTCAGTAGGTTATATTATCATATATAGTCCTTTTCACGAGTATCCGTTACGGTAGGCTGTCAGCTGATCATCTAGTAATATTTCACAGTTCCCTATACCCACAAAGGAAACATAATTCTTACTGATCCATCAATGCCAGGTAGATAGAGCCATATTTTGTTTTGATTCATTTGTACCGTACAGATTCATTTTGTACTTGCACAGAACTCTTTTATTCAGAAAAGTTCATTTACCTACAAAAAATAAAACGCTACAAACAATGTTTACTATATTTGCATCTGATTGATTATTTCCAACGTTGCATAATAACACAAAAATGTCACTTACTGTTCACCTCAGTAGATGCAAAAGCATGATGGATACTCATGGAATAGGATATACGTGTATTTTATTTACCGTTTTTGTTCAACGTCGGAGTCTAGATCTCCGAGGAATTGATCTGACACGAACACATTTCGTCAATCGCGGCAGTTGCTGGGCTAGGCAATTTATTTAAGACTGAAGTACTTTTCTCCGTATATAACCTCCTCATTCTGTACAGGGCGTATATAAGACGTAGCTTCGAGTACTGTTCACATGTGTGAGGTGATGTTGCTCTGACTACATTAATCATGCTCTATACTGTTTAGAGAAGGGCTGTCCGACGCGTCGATGACTCTTCTCTAACGAATAGTCTCGGGACCCTTTCGCAACGATGGGTAGTTGGCGATCTAGCTCTCTCCTACGGCTATGTCAACGCACAGAGATCTCCTCTATGACGCCGCTACGCGATGAGTCTTCAGGGCAGACCCGCCTGACTTCGACCTCCCATCCCAACTGTGTCGAACTTTGTACAGCCAGAACTGGCGGTTATGACCGCTCCCTTGAACCTAGGATTTCAAGATTCTGAATCCATTTGCCTGAAGAGGCTTTTCTCAATTGTACTAACCTGTAGGCAGTTCAGAAATCACAAAGTGTTTTAAGTTCGTTATGGCAGCCGCGGTGCCCTGCAGGAGTATTACGTAACTTGAACAGTGACATTATGTCGATTTTTTGACATTATGTCGGTTTTTTATGACATTATGTAGGTTATCCTACAAGACGTCAACTTGGAACTAGCTGTCGTTCACTTTTCATGCTCACTTCTAGCAAGCGCGGAATGAACTATTTGTACACTAGCCTACTTAGTCAACGTATCCTGAAAAGAGACGTTTTGTCTTTTTTTGACATTATATAGGTTTTTTGTGACATTATGTAAGTTTTTCTAGAAGATGTCAACTTAGAACTAGCTGTTGTTCACATGATGTGCACTCATTTTGTGGCTGTTAGTATATTAGGAAAGAAACGGCACTGCATAGGTGCATAGTGAGGATTTGTGTGCTAATAATCTGTGTTGATGATAATTCCCACAGTTTCTTGTCTTAAATACACCGTCTTGAGATGTATGCTTCATCCTGGAAACAACATATGCAAAATTGCTAAATTTCAAAAATGAGAGAGAAGATAAAAAAGGAAATTCCCGCTTCGTGAAGTATATTACAACTGATAGGTGGAGGATTCAGACTATTAATTTATAAAACGTGAAAGGGTTATTACACTTTATGTTACATGATTTTCTATTTCCACTCATTCAAATTTCATAGAGCATGTTGAGAAACTGACTTGCAGCTTGCAGCATAGTCACTTAGCGTGTCGTGTCGTTGAGTCATTCCTCCATAGTGAACAAACACGTAATGAACTATTGGACACTTCGAAGTTGACATTTTGTCGTTATTTTTTTGACATTATATAGGTTTTTTACGTGATAACCCTGCTGGGCTTCTGTCTACGCGGCAACTGCAGTATATAAAAGAAAATAAGCCTAACCATTCAAGCTCATACACGAGCGATCTGCTTGATATTCAGTACAGTCATATTTCTCTCAACAAAGGCTCTTTGTTCCGTCACGAGAGGAATGAACAGCATTACAGCAATCCTTCCGTGAAGACTGTTGATACGCATAAGTTCATATTGAACCGACAAAATATACAACCAACTCTCCAATATTACGGACGGGATTACTTTCCCTCAAGTACAAAGTTACAGAGGAAAGATTTGCAGTATTGTTTTCGTGACAGGAAAGAGTGGTATGATGGAATGACAGGAAAGAATGCTTCTGTATGGGCTGCAAATGTCAAAATTTCTGCGAAAACTCAAGTTCACCCATAAAATATGACATTAGTACAACCCGCTCGATATTCCATGGTGAAGAAGACAACTTTCAAGCTTTTGTTGTTTCACTTTCCTCGGTAAACAATATATCGATGGTCCAATTCTAATACTCCGTATCTGCAAAAAATTCGAATTTAACTTTTTCGCGCCATAATACTTTTCGTAGCATTTATCATTTAGTTATGAAAATGTAATATAACAAAAATAGTTTAACCTTTTGAATCATATTTAGCCCCTTCCAAATTAAAAACCCTCTCATGTAAAATAACGATCCATACAGTTACGGGGTATTATAATTAGACCATCGATATGGTTTAGTAGTATTTGAAGCTTAATCCGGAAAACGTATTCTCTAGAACTCTAAATGAACAAACCAAACAAAAATTATTTGATATTACATCTAGATCGAAAAGGGTCGTGTTCTCCCTTGAGTGAGGTATCTTACAAGACTTCTAATACTGTGAACTATTACAGCAAACAAGATTAGGTTACCATATATAGAGATTTCCGGAAATAAGAGGTTTGGCACTTATAGGTGATTAAGTGCTGTTTCAGGCATGACTTTGATACGAAATGAAGTCGCAAATTGATCATATTGCATACTTATTGCAGGCTGGTATAAAGTCGCATATGTTGGCCTAGACGATATGGATCAAGAAGGAACGTTTCTTACTGCCTTAGGAAATTCTCTCTCCTATTGTTCACGGTATAGAGCCTGGGCTCCAGGTGAGTAACCCTATTTAACTGTTTATTATTTTGTGCAGGAACTCGACACGTTCAAAATGTGGCAGAACTGAATCTGAGTCCTTTGGTCCGACCCGTTCCGATTCAACGAGTTCCGTGGTAGATCCCGGTCGGGGCGGCACGGGTATCACGTGTCTTGAAAAGTGACATTATGCCGATTTTTTTTGACATTATGCTGTTTTTTTTTACATTTTGTAGTTTATTCTACAAGATGTTAACTTAGCACTTAGTTGTACATGTTGCCTAAACATCATGAGGCTTGTTATCAATCTTTGGGTTTGATGTGATGTAAAATCTGCTTCTGAGATGGCACTACTGGAGGTCTACGCTGTAAGTTGTATGTGTTAATGGTAATTACATTGGGTTCTTGTCTCAAATACACTTAATTGAGATTCAAAGCTAGAAATTAGTTGCGAATCCACTTTTTCTAATCCATTCCGGAAATTACATATACAAATTTGCTGAATTTCAAAAATGAGAGAGATAAGAAATAATTATATTCACTGTACACTGTCGAATTACAAGCCATATACACGCTAGTAATTACACACAACGCGGGCGCGGTGATGATTTCCCGTAATTCTACTCAGTTTTTCGTAATTTATAACTTTGAACATAAAATCTCTTCAGAAAGCACAACAGATAAATAATCCGTCATATTCGGCATATTCAGTAATGATTTTATACACATACAGACCAATACACATAATCATCCAGATGCGATCTTGCTATTCAACCAACTTTCTTCTCAGAGATAAAAACTACAGATCCGGATTACTTACAAAACTATGCAACCAATAATGCGTAGTTTAGTTGAGTGATTCCTCCATAGATGGACGTTCACAACGATCCTGGTGAACAAACGTGGAATGACTGTTTGCGCCCCAAAGACTACCTATACTCTAGGCGCTGAAGAAAGAAACTAAACCCAAACAAATACACGCATATTGCTCGTGAGTGAGTGTTTAGGCGCAGGAGACATTACAGGACCGCATCAAGATATTATGGGTAGTCATCAAAAATTTCATACAAGATAATTATTATCTTTTACAGCAAATTTCAGTTAGAGATTCACAAATGAGTTAACTACACTTTTTAGTTATTAGTAAGTAAGCTGCGCGCACTCATTCAGAAGAGGAACATGAATCTTCTGAATCGTTTAAATGAATTATTAGAGGTTCAATTTGGGTATCGATGACATTGTCCAAATCCCACATTTTGACCTCAACCTTCTCCCGAACGTGGCGGATACAGTTTTTCCATTCCTCTGCCGTAACTCTATTGACTGCGATGTGAAAGAGATTTTTAACATCAGAAAATTTATAAGTATTATTATTCGACGCCACGCATTGCTTTATGTTGGCCCAAATCAGCTCAATAGGGTTCAGCTCACAATGGTAGGGTGGCAGTCTCAAGACAGTTTTATTTTGTTTTTTGGCCATTTCGTCGATCATTTTAAAATCGTATTTGTATTTATGTCTATTAACTATACTTATCAATTCACCCTTGACCATTGTTTCATCAAAATCGATCTGTTTTGAGGCCAGTCATTGTTGTATGTTTGCTTTTTTAGTTGCCATTGTGGGAATTTTTTCTATTTTTCTAGAATGGTACGGGGCATTATCCAGTACAATAACAGCGTTATTCTCCAGCTTTAGTAACATTTTGGAGAACCAATTTTCAAAGGAATTGACGTCCATCTCCTCATGATAGTCCCCTGTTTTTTTTATTCAAAGGCCCACAGTGCTTCGGGAACAAAGCCGTCTTCACTACCTACGTGACAAATGATCAGCCGTTTGCCTTTTCCTGGAAATAAATTATTCCTTACACTATGGATTGATTAAATTTGAAGGAATGAGGCAATTGATTTCATTTAGCTGAATTTAAGAGTCACGGAATGCTGATCAAAAAGTGAAAAACGTAGAAAATTGAAGTTTGCAACTTCTCAAAACCCATTCAAAGCAAATTGACTGCACCCAAAAATGATAATAAATTTCAAAATAACGCTTAAAAGAGGGTCGAAGTTTTTTTCCTAATGACTACACTGCGAATGCACCATTTTTGGAGAATATCACACATTATCTGCTATCACAGCATATTATTTGCCCAAATTTATCAAAATTAAATTGCCGGATAGATGAAGGAGCTTACCTGCAGGATTTTTCAATCCAGCCGAAAGACCGTCTAGAAAAGCCTGCCTTGATGATGTTACTGATTTGTCGACCCAAACTTTCGCTTGAGTATGTCCAGCATTCACCCACGTTTCGTCCAAATAGTAAATTTTTCTTTTTTCATCGCGAAACTTCCGAATCTTCCTAAGGTATTCCCTTCTCCACACAACAATTTCTTCTTTCTCTATTAACATACTGTTTCTTCCCCGTTTCAAGAATCGAAAATTAAGTTCCTTCAAAAGTTTTCGGAATGTGGTTCTTTTAAATGATGGAAGATCCTCATCAGCATTAACTAATCTTAATATCTTATCTACTGTAGGTATCTCATTTCGGAAGAAAAAATTATGCACTTTCCTCCTGATGGCAGTTCTGTCAAAGTCATCTACTCCGTCCGTTATCCTTTTTCTTGCAGGATACGGTTTTGGCTCAGAAAGTGAGTGAGTGCTCCTATATTCCTTAATGATCCTATAAACACTGGACCGACATACTCCAGAAATATGTGCTACCTTACATATAACTTCGTCCACGACCAAATCGGGTTTTTCTTGAATTTGGTTTTTGTATATATTTAATATTATTTGTTTTTCATTTGCACTTAAATGTAGCTTCTTAGCCCTTTTTTTGGGTGGGGTTGCGCTGATGTCAACCACTTCGTCGGCTGTATCTGTGTCAGACATCGTATCTTAGGCAATATATAAACAAAACGTTCCACTCGCGAAAAACGAGTATACGCTACTGAATGCGTAATGCGTATGCAATGCAATCCTGTGCGTGAATTAACTGTTAGATGCCTGTCGTGTCATCTACAATCACGTTTACAAGTCCAAACCTGTGCAGATTCGTAGAGCGCCGACGACTGCTAGTGACCTTGAATTTGTCTGTAGATCGATGTTACTCCAGTCAATTTAGGTTCAAAGTGGATGTTTTCTAAACCAATTTGTTGTTCCTACATCAAAAATATATCGATGATGTTTTGTACTGGGAGCTCATGAAAGATCAAGGTAACTTATTTTAACAGTCATCCTTTTTCTAGTCTCAAGATGACACGAAAAAGGGTCTGTGGATTCACTAGAAATACACTGCCGAGGATGTTTAGACCTAAAGTGACTGGAGTATATCCGTGGATGCTTTCGAGGGATCTGTTCACGTGCTGATCACTGTTTACGTTTAATGTCTTTCTTCAGCGCCCAGAGTTTAGTCTGCAAGTTGACATCTGTTAGGTTTTTTTTGACGTTTTATAAGTTTTTTACATGATACCCGTGCCGATCCGACCTGTCAGTTCAATCGGGTCCGATGGAACGAAAATACAAAACCGTTTAAACGCATAGCATTTGTTTTGCGGACCGGCGACTCAAGTGCATCCATGGACCGATGCTTCGTGTGCGGCATGGGTATCGTGTAAAAAACCTATAAAACGTAAAAAAACTATAAGATGTTATCTTGCAAATTAGGTAGTTTTTAGGGCGCAAACATTCATTCCACGTTTGCTCAATATGATCGTTGTAAACGTCTATGTAAGGAGGAATCACTCAACTAAACTAAAAGGATTATTGGTTGCATATGTTTTGTGAGGCCAAATGGTGCTTACCTGTAGTTTTTATCTCTTAGAAGAAAGTTGGTTGAATAGCAAGATCGCGTCTGGATGATTATGTGTATTGGTCTGCATGTGTATAAAATCACATGTGAGAAAATCATTACTGAATATGCTGCCAATGAAGTATATCTATTGGCTATGCCCGACGCGACGGGGTATTTTTATGTTGTGCTTTCTGGAGAGAGGTTATGTTCAAAGTTATGAATTACGAAAAACTGAGGAGAATTACGGGGAATCATCACCGCGCCCGCGTTGTGTGTAATTACTCTTGGCATGTATATGGCTTGTAATTCGACAGTGTACAGTGAATATAATTACTTTTTATCTCTCTCATTTTTGAAATTCAGCAAATTTGTATATGTAATTTCCAGAATGGATAAGAAAAAGTGAATGTGCGACTAATTTCTAGCTTTGAATCTCAATTAAGTGTATTTGAGAAAAGAACCCAATGTATTTATCATCAACACATACAACTTACAGCTTAGACCACCAGCAATGCCATCTCAGATCTCAGAAGCAGATTTTACATCACATCAGAGCTAAAAATTGATAACGTTTAGGCCACACGTACAACTAAGTGCTAAGTTAATATCTTGTAGAAAAACCTACCTACCTATGTCAAAAAAAAGATCGGCATTATGTCACTTTTCAAGATACGTGGCACCCGTGCCGATCGTTGGTATGAATGTCATATGTTCGCGGATGCTTTGAGCTTCGAGACTTTCAGCGGTCTTGAATCTCCAAATGACAGAATAAATAAACGGTAATGGATAAAAGGAGGTTGCAGCTATCATACGATTAACATGAACATTGAAATCATAATCACTTAGTTTAGATCATATTCACAGTACGGAATGTTTCATATAGAACGAAAAGGTAGCTGTCATACCATTTTTTTATATTAATTGTCAATCGTCCGAATTATAAACCGGTTGATATTGGAAACACTTTCATCGTTAGCATCAATAATCTAAATGAGAAACGAGGCACCAGCACCAAATCGAGATTCCGTAAGACAGACTCTAATGCTGCATAATGCTTTCAGCTTTCAATATTCACATAAATCTAATGACCTGAGTTGTCCATGATAAAATGGTGTTAAAATCACTAATCTACCGTATATCTGGCTATAATGAGCACTGGGTCAAATCACTCCGGGTTCAGTCTGTTAGTTGAGTCGCCGAGTGCCCACTTGAGCCTATCGGAACAAAACGAAGGTCAGGGGTTTAACGTAACGTGAAAAGTGACCCCCTACTGAGCGAGTTCACCCCCTACTGAGCGAGGGCCGTGGCAAATGCTTGTTCCGGTAGTTGTTGTATCCAGTATACAACTTCTTCCGGTCCAAGTGATTGTGCACGCGTTAAGGAATACCTCAGTACCGATTGCCGGGTGGCGGTACAAGTCCGCCAACGGGCCGCTTTAGGTCTATTTAACATCACTAACACGTACAAAGAAGGTGGTAAACAAGGACCAGTCGACCGAGGCAGTACCACCCGCTAGCTTTTCCCAGGGTGTCTTATAAACGTCCGCATGTTTCCACACCTAAGCTATGCAGTCGGTTATCTACCAAAACAAAGAAATTAATGATGATGGATCCCTCGAGCACTAAAAACTCCGGACGTAAACTCTCTCCACTCTCGGAATGTCCGGGTGGAGGGTGGGCTCGAGGGAACGATATCGAAGATAACATTTGTTTCACGAACATCTGCGGGATTAACAGCAACATTGACGCTGTTCATCACTACCTGCAATCCAATCGTCCCGCCTTGCTTTTCTTGGCGGAGACAAAAATCTCAGAGACTGCACCGATGAACTATCTCAACTTCCCAAACTACGAGGTGCACTCCAATCTGAGAAAGAACGGGGGAGTTGTGGTTTTTGTCCGCAGCAGTCTTTCCTGCTCCAGGGATCTTTCTTTGGAATCAGACCGGAAGGACATTCTGTGGCTTCGCCTCAACTCCAAAACATCACCCAAATTTATTTGCTGCCTTTATCGCTCTCCCTCGAACCATAACTGGGATGACCTACTCGAATACCTCGCCGTCCAGATCGACTTCCTGAACATCAATCACCCCGCTTCAGAGGTAGTTCTTCTCGGTGATTTCAATGCCCATAATGAGCTTTGGTTGGGCTCAAATAAGACCGATGCAGCAGGTCGTGCAGTCGAAGCGTTCGCTCTTACTCAAGGGCTGACCCAGCTGGTGACGAGCCCTACTTTTTTCCCCCGCGTCTCGTCACACGCCAGTAGCCTGCTGGATCTCTTTTTGACCACGCATCCTGCCCCTTACAGCACTGCTGTCCTGTCCCCCCTGGGTAACTCAGATCACGGTGTTGTGGAGGTTAGGTTTCGGTCAGAAGCCGCTGGGGCAGCAGAAACTCGCACAGGCCGCAAAACTTGGCATTACGGACATGCCGACTGGGAGGGGCTCAGAGACTTCTTCTCTAGCTTTCCTTGGAGAGATGTCTGTTTCACTGATGCGGATGCGTCGACTGTCTGTTCTTCAATAACCGAAATTATTCACGTCGGAATGGAGGAATACATCCCTCACACAGTGAAAGTTCCTAAACCAGGGCCCAACGGCTGGTTTAACAAATCGTGTGACACTGCTCGCCAGCAGAAGATCAAGGCCCACAGAACCTACTTACAAAACCCCACTGTAGAGAACAGACAAGCCGACGTCGAGTCCAGAAACAAATATAACGAAGCGGTTCGCAATGCCAAAAACCAGCATGATATAAAACTTAGGCACAGGGTAATGTCGCAGCGCAATGGCAGTCGGTCTTTCTGGACGCTGGCCAAGCAGATTGAAAAGAACTTCTCACACAGTAGCGTTCCACCACTTACGTGTCAGGATGGAACTATTGTATTCGACTCAAAGGCCAAGGCGGAAGTGCTAGCCAAGATCTTTGCTGCCAACTCCACCATGGACGTCCCCACCAACGCCCAAGTGCCGTCAATCCAAAGGGTTCCCCACACTATGCGGGAGGTAACATTCAGGCATAAGACCGTAAGACGAGTGCTCTTGTCGCTCGACATCAACAAAGCTTCTGGTCCGGACTTGATTCCTGCCATTGTACTGAAGAGATGTGCAGCGGAGCTTGCTCCAGTTCTTTCGCGTCTCTTCCAGATATCTTATGAATCCGGCACCTTCCCAGAAAACTGGAAATTTGCTCATGTACAGCCCATCCCAAAAAAAGGATCTAAAACCGACCCTTACAACTACAGGCCTATAGCTCTGCTTTCTGTTATAAGTAAAGTGATGGAGAGGTGCATAAATCGCGAGCTTCTAGACTACCTCGAACGTCACAGCTTGATTAGCGACAGGCAGTACGGTTTCCGGCACCAACGATCCACAGGGGACCTTCTAGCTTACGTCACGCAACTGTGGAGTAAACTCGTCCAGTCTCATGGTGAGGCTCATGTTGTTGCTCTTGACATCACGAAAGCGTTCGATCAGCTGTGGCACGCTGCCCTCTTAAGCAAACTTCCATCCTATGGCCTCCCAGAAAAGCTTTGCAGATGGGTGGCTGACTTTATCTCTGGCCGCAAGATATCCGTGGTAATTGACGGATTCTCCTCTTCATCCCACAACGTCAACGCGGGTGTTCCCCAGGGATCGGTCTTGGCTCCAACACTGTTTCTCTTACATATCAACGACCTCCTTTCCTGCACGATCAACCCAATCCACAGCTTCGCTGATGACAGCACTCTACATGCAGGAATTCAAAGTGACAAGCCGATATCTGCCGCTGAGCTGGAAAAAAGAAGACTAGCGACGACTTCTTCTCTGACAAGAGACCTGGAGGCTATCACTGCTTGGGGACGCAACAGTCTTGTACAGTTCAATGCTTCCAAAACCCAGTACTGTACTTTGACGAACAAAAAGCGTCCTAGCGCTCATACAGTTTTGATGGACGGTCGAGGTCTACCAAAGAGCCATTCATTTCGGCTGGTCGGAGTCCAGATCACCGAGGACCTGATCTGGCACGAACACATCTCTTCAATAGCTGCAGCTGCTGGGAAAAAGCTAGGCTATTTGTTTAGGGCTAAGAAGTACTTTTCTCCGCATGACCTTCTCACTCTATACAAGGCCCAGATAAGGCCTAGCCTCGAGTATTGCTCACACATTTGGGGTGCTGCCGCCCCGACTACATTGTCCATGCTCGATGCTGTCCAGAGGAGGGCGGTCCGACTGATCGATGACTCTTCTCTAACAGACAGTCTCGGGACTCTTTCGCACCGGCGGGCCGTCGGCGATCTAGCTCTCTTCTATCGCTACACCAACGGGCTTTGCTCCTCAGAGCTCTCTTCCATGATGCCGCCGCGCGATGTGCCTGCCAGACAGACCCGCCTGACTTCGGCGTCCCATCCTAACCGTGTCAAACTTCGTACCTCCAGAACTGGCCGATGCGACCGCTCCTTTGTCCCGAGGGTGTCTAGATTGTGGAACAATCTACGGGAGGAAGCTTTTCCCAGTTCTACTAACCTTAGGCAGTTCAAAAATCGTATTAACAAAATTTCTTTGGGATCATCATAGCAGCCGCGGTGTTCCGGCATTTAAGCTTCTGCCTGCGCGGCTGTTTCGATATAAAAAAAAAAAAAAGAAATTATGTCGGTTTTTTGGCATTATGTTGGTTTTCCTACAAGACTTTGGAACTAGCTGTCGTTCACTTCATGCTCACTTGTAGCAAGCGTGGAATAAGCTATTTGCACACTAGCCTACTTAGTCAACAAGTTGACATTTTATCGGTTTTTTACATTATACAGGTTGTTCGAAAATAGCAATTTTAGAGGGTGATTTCTTGTTAAAAAATACACGGCGATAAACTAAAAAAAGTTTTATTAATATGTTGAAAAAGATTTACTCGATTACGTTGAAATTTGGCAATATTATTTGTTGTATTAAGAAGCTAATTTACCCCTGAAAAGATTTAAATTATCATTTCCAGTGACTTCTCGGGGGGCACCTACGCGAATATTATTGGAAAAAACATCACTGCTCTTTTTGAAACTTTAATATTTGTTGTTTGATGTAGCATCTAAAAATACAACTTCTTTGCCTCTTGTACTTTTTTCGTAAAAAAATAACCGTTTCATTGCATGTCACTGGAAAAAATTGGTTTAGTAATTTTTGCAAAAAAAAATCGCAAGTGTGGTAAACAACAAATCATTTCCGCATGAAGGTTTGGCATTGGTGCGTCAGTTCTCCTAGAAGATAATTATTCACGTAATTTACTTTGCTAAATTTCTCTAAAAAGTTTGTTCTCGGCTTTTGTGATGGAAAATTACACTTTTGAAGAAATGGCAGACTTGCATGTAATGTATGCACGTGCTTATAGTAACTCTTATGCAGCGAGGCGCCTGAATGCTAAAGCGTTTCCCCTTCGGCAACTTCCAGAAAGTAAAACCTTTGCAAGCGAAGAACGTAGATTACGGAAAAGAGGTAAATTTTCTTATTTTTTGTTTTTGACAATAATGTTATTAAGGAAGGTGTGACAATGACAGAGGCCGGACGAGATCCGTAAGAATGCCTGAGTTTGACGGGGCAGTTTTACGGTATCAGTACCAGGACTATAACAATTCTAAAATCAGAGACATATCCAAATATCTGGAAGACCTCTAAAATATGTCCTATTCACAAAAGTGGAGATATCTCTGATATTTGAAACTATCGCCAAATAGCAATCCTGTGCAATTTCAGCAAGTTGTTTGAGATCATCGCTTACGAAACGGTTTACTGCTCGGTCAGGGGTGCAGTCTCTATTAATCAGCATGGGTTTATGAGAGGCAGATCTACGGTCACCAACTTGGCTCTAATTACTCAGTACATTTCTGAAGTACTGGACGGTCAGGGACAAGTTGATGTCATCTACACAGATATGCAGAAGGCGTTTGATCAAGTTGATCATTATGCACTTCTGGATAAGCTTAAAACAGTGGGTATGTCTGATGCAATGCTGTCGCTCATGAATTCATATTTGAGGGATAGAAGGTTATTTGTCGAATATGGTGGTCATACGTCGAGTTACTATCGGGCCACGTCTGGGGTACCTCAAGGGTCAAATCTAGGTCCATTATTGTTTTTAATATTTATTAATGACTTGTCTTTTGAACTGAAGTGTTTCCATTTGTTTTTCGCTGATGACCTTAAAATCTGCACGTCAGTCAAGACAGTCGAGGATTGCGTCATGTTGCAAAGATGACTTAGCTCTAATTTCGTCATGGTGTTCACGAAACTGTCTCAGTCTGAATGTTTCGAAATGTAAAGTTATGACTTATACAAGAAAAGTTAACTATTTAATTTATGATAATTATAACATCAATGGTCAGGTTATAGACAGATGCACCTCTTATAGAGACCTTTTCATTCATTTTTGATACCAAGCTAACGTTTACTGAGCATATACTCAATATCTCGTCGGCTGCCACTCGACTACTTGGTTTCTGTATCAGAAACTGGAAGCGTTTCTCCAATTTTGATACATTATTGACTTTATTTTTTACTTTTGTCAGGAGCAAGTTGGAGTATCAGACTCTGATCTGGTCTCCTATATACCAAAATTCTGTCGTGATCCTTGAGGCCGTTCAACGTAAAGCTTTAAAGTATTTTTACCTTAAATGCACAGGTTCTTATCCAGAAAGAGGTTGTGACCATAGTGCCCTATTAGAGTTTTTCAATTTGGATTCACTGTCAACAAGACGAAACATATTTGCTTTGTCGTTTTTGTATGGCCTCATTCATAATAAAATTGACTGTCAAAATTTACTTGAAAAAATATGTTTCCGTGTTCCAAGGCTAGGGAGTCGACAACAAACGGCATTCTATTGTCAAGCTGGCCGTACAAATGTTATGACAAAATCGCCAATTAATCTCATGTGCTGCGTCATGAACAGTGTTACTGAATCGTGTGATATTTACAGTGACAGTGACATAGATTATTAACTGCTAAAGATCATCCAATCCTATTTAGAATGTGTGATACTATAGATTTAAGTCCAAGAACCATGTCTCTTCAATTGTTATTTTTTTCAGCGTTTCCTGTAATTGGGCTTCACCTGTTGGAAATAAATAAATAAATAAATAAATAACTAGATTAGGTGGTAGTCATTCCAACAGCACTGCGTGGCAGGCTCTTTCCGAGCAACTTTTGTGTACTTATCATGCCCAACGTGTGCAAGCATTATTTCCAAAAGATTTTCTACCTCGTTCACAGTTTTGCCAATGGTATTATCAAAAGGTCATTAATGATGGGAATTTTAATAAAAACATACTTTTTACGGACGTTATGGTATAACAATTTCCTTCAAATGTGTGGATGGGTATTGTTGGTGTCAGTTTAATTGGTCCTTTCATTTTACCCTTCAGATTAAATGGCGAATCTTACTTAGAGTTTTTTCAACAGCAATTGCCCGTACTGCTAGAAAAGTTTCTCTAAATGTATGTAACCAAATAGCTTTTATGCATGATGGAGCTCCTCCTCATTTTAGTATACGTGGTGAAAATTGGGCTGGAAAAAGTGGACCAGTTCACTGGCGATCTCGCTCCCCTGACTTAAAACCAGTAGATTCTTACAGCGACACTTTAAGACGATGGCTTATGCTACTCCCATATAAACAGTATAAGAATTAAGAAACAGAATCGTAAATGCTTGCGAATAAATACGAAATAGGCAATGAATTTTACGTCGAGTTCGTCGTTCAATCATTCGTCGAGTGAGAAGATGTAAGGAAATGGATTTTTTTTATATCAAAACAGCCGCGCAGGCAAAGGCCTAAATTCCGGAACACCGCGGCTGCTATGATGATCCCAAAGAAATTTTGTTAATACGATTTTTGAACTGCCTAAGGTTAGTAGAACTGGGAAAAGCTTCCTCCCGTAGATTGTTCCACAATCTAGACACCCTCGGGACAAAGGAGCGGTCGTATCGGCCAGTTCTGGATGTACGAAGCTTGACACGGTTAGGATGGGACGCCGAAGTCAGGCGGGTCAGTCTGGCAGGCACATCGCGCGGCGGCATCATGGAAGAGAGCTCTGAGGAGCAAAGCCCGTTGGTGTAGCGATAGAAAACAGCCAGATCGCCGACGACCCGCCGGTGCGAAAGAGTCCCGAGACTGTCTGTTAGAGAAGAGTCATCGATCAGTCGGACCGCCCTCCTCTGGACAGCATCGAGCATGGACAAGGTAGTCGGGGCGGCAGCACCCCAAATGTGTGAGCAATACTCGAGGCTAGGCCTTATCTGGGCCTTGTATAGAGTGAGAAGGTCATGCGGAGAAAAGTACTTCTTAGCCCTAAACAAATAGCCTAGCTTTTTCCCAGCAGCTGCAGCTATTGAAGAGATGTGTTCGTGCCAGATCGGGTCCTCGGTGATCTGGACTCCGACCAGCCGAAATGAATGGCTCTTTGGTAGAACTCGACCGTCCATCGAAACTGTATGAGCGCTAGGACGCTTTTTGTTCGTCAAAGTACAGTAGTGTGTTTCGGAAGCATTGAACTGTACAAGATTGTTGCGTCCCCAAGCAGTGATAGCCTCCAGGTCTTTTGTCAGAGAGGAAGTCGTCGCTAGTCTTCTTTTTTCCAGCTCAGCGGCAGAGATCGGCTTGTCACTCTGAATTCCTGCATGTAGAGTGCTGTTATCAGCGAAGCTGTGGATTGGGTTGATCGTGCAGGAAAGGAGGTCGCAGATATGTAAGAGAAACAGTGTTGGAGCCAAGACCGATCCCTGGGGAACACCGCGTTGACGTTGTGGGATGAAGAGGAGAATCCGTCAATTACGACGGATATCCTGCGGCCAGAGATAAAGTCAGCCACCCATCTGCAAAGCTTTTCTGGGAGGCCGTAGGATGGAAGTTTGCTAAAGAGGGCAAAGTGCCACAGCTGATCGAACGCTTTCGTGATCTCAAGAGCAACGACATGAGCCTCACCATGAGACTGGATGAGTTTACTCCACAGTTGCGTGACATAAGCTAGGAGGTCCCCTGTGGATCGTTGGTGCCGGAAACCGTACTGCCTGTCGCTAATCAAGCTGTGACGTTCGAGGTAGTCCAGAAGCTCGCGATTTATGCACCTCTCCATCACTTTACTTATAGCAGAAAGCAGAGCTATAGGCCTGTAGTTGTAAGGGTCGGTCTTAGATCCTTTTTTTGGGATGAGCTGTACATAAGCAAATTTCAAGTTTTCTGGGAAGGTGCCGGATTCATAAGATATCTGGAAGAGACGCGAAGGAACTGGAGCAAGCTCCGCTGCACATCTCTTCAGTACAATGGCAGGAATCAAGTCCGGACCAGAAGCTTTGTTGATGTCGAGCGACAAGAGCACTCGTCTTACGGTCTTATGCCTGAATGTTACCTCCCGCATAGTGTGGGGAACCCTTTGAATTGACGGCACTTGGGCCTTGGTGGGGACGTCCATGGTGGAGTTGGCAGCAAAGATCTTGGCTAGCACTTCGGCTTTGGCCTTTGAGTCGAATACAATAGTTCCATCCTGACAGGTAAGTAGTGGAAGGCTACTGTGTGAGAAGTTCCTTTCAATCTGCTTGGCCAGCGTCCAGAAAGACCGACTGCCAGTGCGCTGCGACATTACCCTGTGCCTAAGTTTTATATCATGCTGGTTTTTGGCATTGCGAACCGCTTCGTTATATTTGTTTCTGGACTCGACGTCGGCTTGTCTGTTCTCTACATGGTGGATATTTCCAACATTTCTTGTAGTGTACTTTGGTGCTATGGTACCTATTGTAAAAGTTGCAATAACACTCTTTTCTAGATCTTTATTTGATTCTTTGTTTTCCAAGGCACACAAGGTGATTTTTTTATCAAAAATTAATAGACCAATTTTGTGGGTGCCCCGGGTCGCAACTGGACCTAATAATTTTAATCTATTTAGGGGTAAATTAGCTGTTTGATACAACAAATAATATTGCCAGATTTTCAACAGAGTCGAGTAAACATTTTTTTAGATATAAAATATTTTTAAATTTACCACCCTGTATCTTGAATGCTGGACCCATGTTTATAGAATCTTTTCTTCATATTTTTTGACAAGGAATCACCTTCTAAAATATCTCTGTCCATTTTTCGAACACCCTGTATAGGTTTTTTACATAATAACCCTACGGATACGTTTATTCCCGACAATATCTTCGCATCTGACGGAAAAATATTCTGATTCGGATTTTTACTTCTTCTTGCATAATCTTATTCGAAAATGCCCCTTTTAACGGATCTGCATGTTTCCAGGACCAAATTTGCTTTACACATTTTTTAAACAAATAAAAAAAATGCTTTTGTCGCTCCGGTCAAAGTGGTTATAGATTTTCTGAGATATTCTAAACAAAAAAGCTAATTTAAAATTTTCCTGTTTCGTTGATATTTTTCGAGATATAAGCGATACAATATTTGATAAAGTACAAAATATGTCATCTTCGATCCCGAAAAACAATATGATAAAAAAAAATTTTTATGTTGTCAATGTTGCGAAATATTCTTCAAACATCCATTAACAAAACCCCAAAGCATTTTAGGACGTATAGTTATTGTAAGCGTTTGTTTTTCGATTGCTAATCGAGCCCGCGATGTATATGCTCTGCGTGAGTGCGTTGTGAAGAGCTGATTTGATCTGTTCATTATGTCTAGCCTAGAAGAAGAGATAATTTTCAAAAGCGTAGCGAGTCTGATAGGGGAGAATGGTGGACTTAGTGGACTGTGAGGATGGTAGGTCCTTTAGAGAAATAGCCTCGAGGGTTCACATAAGTCTAAAGGTGGTGGTGGTTTTATGTCGAGCGGGGAATCACGAAGGCCGAACACGAAAAGTTTGAGGTACCGGGCGTATCAGAATAATGGCCCCACACCAAATCGCCGCCTCAGGCTTCAGGTTTCATTGGGCCGCTTTATGTCCAAAAGATTAATTGTGGACGAATTGTTTAGAGATCATGGAAGGCGCATCACAATGCGAATTGTTTATCGACGAATAAACAGTTTTGGACTTACTCCATACCGTCCTCAGTTTGTCCTACCTCTCACTCCTCGGCACCAAATTGATCGACTGACCTGGTGCAGAAAACGGCTAAGCTAGGACCTCGAATGGAATACCGTTGTCTTTAGTAATGAATCCATATTTAGCTTGAGGATCGTCATGCAAGGGTGAAAGGTCAACAAGATGAAAGACGAGATTCTCAATTGTCAATGGGAATACATGTGCACCACATTGTGTTGGAATTATGGTATCGGAGGTTATCGCTAGGTGACGTGTATATAAAAAATTGTTGTGGTGAATTTATTATTACTAGGTGTTTTTTTTTCTGTCAGTCACTATATCTATCAAATTGCATTACACTTTCCAACAGGTCACCCTTTAAAGAACGACGATGTGCAAGACTGTGTAGTCTTGGATAGTAGTAGGATGTGGAGAACTGTAGATTGTAGAAGACCATTCCCAGCTTTATGTGAGCTATATCCAGAAAAGCCGCCAGATGATATCTTGCGTGGTTTCACTGATGTTGACTGTGAGAGCATCAAGAACAATGGTAATGCACAATGATTGTCATACGTTTTGCAACCGTCCAATTCAATTGACCAAACGAATTGTCAATAAAATGTCGCTTAGCTCTAAGGGTCAAAATAATTTGGATAACTGGCCACACCCGTCAGAAATTCGTTGCCAGAATCTGTCTATTATTGGCTTGGCTCAAGTCATATCTTAATCGTAATTGTGTCGCGGGCTAGACAGTCTTATTCTGGTAAAAAGTTAGCAACGGCCCTAGAACAAAGCTTTGCGGCATATTCGCCGCCTTCTGTCCTACCATAAGTGTCTCTTATCAATGTAACTCTTCCATATTCAGTAGATCACGAGAGAGCACTGCAATAAGTACATCTAAAGTAGACTTTTCGTTGTTTCGTTTCTGAGCCTATATTGCAAGGGAGACAGTTCTTTTCCTTGGTATATTCTTTTAGCTTACTTTCTATCAATCGGTCTAGTGACTTTCTAAGTGAACTCGTCATATACAGAAGTATACAGTGCTTTTCTTTATGAACGGATCAATTCAAAAAATTAAAACTTGAAGTAATGAAATTGATGCGTGGATACCATATTTTAGAGTAAAATTGACAGATGAAAATGACAAGATGGCCGCTGGGTGCCATCATGGAAAAGAAATTATATGAAAACTGGGTCTTGTGGCACATCGTTTTGAAGCTCCTGACGAGTACTTTATAACCCTAGGATATAAAGTCAATACCTTTACCTAATATAAAATGTTGGTACATTTAATAATTACTTAAACACAAACCCACTGACATGCATATCTCTACAAATATTTGTAATTATTCTCTGCCGAATCCACAGCAACAGCGATAAAAACTTGCTTGCTATCTTTTGTTGACAGTGACAAAAATCTCAGTACGAAAACAAACAGTACAGTTAAAATATTCTTATTTAGTTTTCGGTTTTAGTGCTAGATACTGTTTGAATTATTTTTAAAATGGTCAATTCTCGTCCATTGACAGAAAAAACCGAAGAGATTTTTATTTGTGGTGCGACGCGTAACTTTCGCGACACCGAAAGGATTTTTAATGATCGTTTCCCGAATCGTCCTATCTGTAGAAAATATTCAAGGAAACTTGTATCTAAATTTACCGCTACTGGTAGTGTACACAACAAAAAGCCCCCAGGTCATTCGACCATCCCGGAAGATAAGCAAGTTCAAATACCTGAGATCATAATAAATCCCCAACAGTCTACTTCCTCCATCGCGAATGTATGTGGGGTTTCTCCTTCTACTGTGTGGAGAGTTTTGAAAAAGAATAAGTATCACCCATACAAAATTCAAATGATACATCAGCTAACTGAAGATAACCCTGATCGAAGAACAGAATTCTGCGAGACTATGGCGGAAACCATTGCACGGCATTCTACCTATATCCAAAATATTTGTTTTAGTGATGAATGTACATTTTTTCTGTGCATAGACAAAATTGTCGTTATTGGAGTGACACCAATCCTCACGTCTTCTGGGAAACTCATACTCAATATCCACAAAAAAATAATATTTGGGCTGGGATATTGGGAAATCATATTGTGGGGCCTCTATTCATCGAACAAACTTCAACCGGGGAACTGTATTTGGATATGCTGGAAAATACTATTGACCCTCTAATCACCGAAATCGTCAAAGCGAGTCCTAATGAACTCGATACTGATATTGTATTGGTAGATGGCGCTCCACCACACTACTCCAGACAAGTTAGGAATTATTTAGATAACAATTTCCCCGGTCGTTGGATTGGCCGTCGAGGTCCTGTGAAATGGCCAGCTCGCTCGCCAGATTTGACACCTTTAGACTTTTTTTATGGGGCTATTTGAAGCAAAAGGTGTACGAAACTGAACCTGCTTCAATATTGAATAGACGGCTGAGAATAACAAATATTTGTAGAAATATCGATGTTACTATGTTTGAAAATGTTCGACGCGAAATTACGGACCGGCTGTTATTGTGTCAAGAAGTTCATTTCCAGCATCTTCTAAACTGAATTCAACGTACTTATTCGAATTATCAAGTTACATGTCAATGTATACAGATAACTATTAAATGTACCACCATTTTGTAGTAGGTAAAGGTATTGACTTTATATCCTAGGGTTATAAAGTACTCGACAGTAGCTTCAAAATGATGTGCCACAAGTGCCCCGTTTTCATATAACTTTTTTTCAAAGATTTCGCCCAGTGGCCATCTTGACATTTTCATCTGTCAATTTTACTCTAAAATATGGCATCCACCCATCAATTTCATTACCCCAAGTTTTAATTGTTTGAATTGATCCGTTCAAAAAATCAAAGGGGAGGGGGACATTACAGAAAAGCACTGAATATTTGGCTTCCCTTTCGATCGATTTCAGAGGTTTAGGGATGAGTACCACCTCTTTGGAAACACTACCGTTCTTAATCATTCATCCATCACAGATGATTTCGCAAACATTTTATCAGACCATGTCTAGAAGAATGGCGACATTCTTCAAAGTAGAAAATAAAAAATAAGAAAGAACTCTTTCTCACAGCTACAGGTTCTCCATCTAACGATAACCATATTACAAGATACAGAACAAGTCTATTTCTTTTTCAGCTAAGAAGATTATTTGTGTAAGACAGAAGAAACTGTACGAGATATACAAGAATTCATCTAGGGCAGATAAATGTGCATTGGAAAATGGAATTTTTGGAGAATAAAGCATACTTGTATTATGAATAAGCACTAGTTCCCTGTGTAAATCTGGTGCGTAGATTCTGAATCCGATGTCAGTTTGGAGCTGACAGAGCCGTCTTAACTTCTGGGCAACAGGAAGCTTGGGGCCTACTGATGAAGGGACCCCAGCCTAGAGCGAAGTCTGTATAAGATCGAAGGGAGGGAGGAGAGCGGTATTCAGATATTTCGTAGGGGGCCCCCACACAAAACGTATGGAAAATAGGTCCCAGTTCTAACGGGTGATTTTTTAAGAGGTATAGGATTTGATTTTCAAAAAAACACAAAAAATTTGAAAAAATGATTAAATCTTTATTTGAGTCGATAGAACGGTCGATATAATTTAATGTTTAAAGATTATTTCATGTAAATGTTGGCCGCGGCTCCGCTTTAGATGGCCCATGCGCAAGGTCCAATTTTGGCACACTCTCTCCAACATATCGGCCGGTATCTCACGAATGAATGCTTCAATATTGGCTTCCAGTGCGTTAATCGTTGCTGGTTTATCCCTGTAGACATTAGCCTTAACATGGCCCCACAAGAAATAGTCCAACGGCGTTAAATCACACGATCTAGGCGGCCAACTGACGGGCCCCAAACGTGAGATAATCTGTTCACCGAACTCGTTTCTCAATAGGGCCATTGTTTCGTGTGCGGTGTGGCATGTGGAACCGTCTTGTTGAAACCACATGTCAGCCAAGTCCAGCTCTTCCATTTTGGGCAAAAAAAAGCTTGTTATCAGCGCACGGTAGCGCTCGCCATTCACAGTTACGTTCCGGCCATTGTCGTCTTTGAAGAAGTACGGCCCGATGATGCCACCGGCCCATAATCCACACCAATCAGTGATTTTTTTGGGATGCATTGGTAGCTCTTGCAATGCTTCTGGCTGGTCTTCACTCCAGATGCGGCAATTTTGCTTGTTAACGTACCCATTCAACCAGAAATGAGCTTCGTCGCTGAACACAATTTTTCGATAAAAATGTGGATCTTCCTCCAACTTTGCCAGCGCCCAATCACCAAATTGGAAACGTTGTGGGAGATCGTGTGGCTTCAATTCTTGCACCAGCTGTACATTATAAGGTTTTACACCCAAATCCTGTCGCAAAATTTTCCACGTAGTGGAGTAACAGAGGCCCAATTGCTGCGAACGGCGGCGTATCGACATTTCACGGTCATCACTAACACTGGCAGATACAGCCCCAATATTTTCTTCAGTCCTCACTCTACGTCTGCGTGTTGGTGGTTTAATGTCCAATAATTTAAACTGGGTTCGAAATTTAGTCACAAGCTTCCGAATAGCTCCCTCAGTAGGCCGACCAAATTGCCCATAAGTTGGAAGCAGTGCTCGATGCATTCTCTTAACCGAGCATGAATTTTGATAGTAAAATCAATAATTTGCAAGCGTTAAACGTTCGTAAGTCGATGCATGGTTAAATTATTATAGACCAAACTGGACAAGTTTGACAATGACACAAGACACGATTCACGCGTCATCTGTCAAAAACAGTGTTGCCAAAAAGATACTAGCAAAAAAATCACCCATTATAATAAGTTTCTGAGATATAGCTGGAGGAAGCGTGCGTGATTTGCAAAATAGTCGAAAATAGAGGGTTAATGTAACTCCTGAGTCTCATCTTGTGGTTCTCATGTCCCTTACGACTCCAATATACAGGGTGCTCATTTGAAAACTTTCCCACCACTAATTAAAAAAAGAAAAATTGCCGAGATACGGCGAAAACTACTTCACCGGGGTATCGAGTAATAGCTTGTTTGAAAGATCTTTCGAAGTGCTTTATTTTGACGTTTGATTTTTTTAAATAGGTTGATTCATTTTCAAGAAAATTAAAGAAATCCTTATTTATCTTAATTTGTTCAGATAGAAAACAAAAACAAAAGAAAATATCACTTTTTATTTCAATAAGAGTTTAAAATCTTGCCCGTTATTGTCCAAATAATGATATAGGCGAGGTTCAAATTCCTAACGGACATTTTTAAAAACATGTTGATGGATATCACGGCAGCTTCCGATGATGCGTTGACTAAGTTCATCCATAGAAAAAAGTATAATGGTATCAAATCAAGAGACCTAGCCATTGCCGAACCGAAAGAACATAGTGAGGAAGAGCGCCGTCTTGCTGAGAATATATGTTTCAGCCTCATCAAGTATAGGGTTCCCATTTTCTTCCATTTGGTTTTCAATGGTTTCAGTGTTAAGAGGATTGATGGTATTTTCCCACATATCCAAATAAATGCCTCCATTCAAATTCCCACTGATAAATAATGGCCCAATCACTTTTTTTCCTAAAATGCATGCCTACACATTAATTTTTTGGAGGTACTGGGTATGTCCTTCTACAAAAACATGAGGATTTTTATTGCTCCTATAGCTGCAGTTATGCTTATTAACAAATCCGTTTGGATAAAATGTGCAATCATCACTAAATCAGATATTCTTTACATGAATGGTATATATATGAGCAGTAGCCATTGCCAACGACCAGTTGGACAAGAAATACAATTAATTCTTAATTGGGAAATTGGCAAAATGTTTAGGCTTATGTAAACTCTTTTAACGGTAATCTCGAGCTTTCGGCACGCTATGGTACCATCATCAGGAGCTGAAACAAGTATGAAGCTAGCAACCAATACGAAACGGATTTAAATTTTTCAGACAACTTACTCGTCGCTGAGGCTGCAGCCAAATGGTGTTTCAAAACGAAAGCGTGGATTTTGTTTTTTTATACTCCAACCACCACGAAGGCCTAAGGCATAAGCACCCATTAGGTATCGTTGGGCTATAGGGGGATACATGGGAAAGGGGGAACGCCACACAGACTCTGGCGAGGGAACACGTGTGCATGCAACATGCACACGTTCTGGCTCCGCCGACGAGATCCGCCGGGTGGTACCTCCGCGTTCGACAGTCAGAGACCGTCTACCACCTACGGACAATCACAACATCCATAGCCAAGAGAAAAATTTCTCCTGGGACGGGACTCGAACCCGCACAGCGCACGGCGACTGATCAGGAGACCGAAGAGTCTACTTCTGCGGCCACCGCTGCTGTCTAAATGATGAGAGCACTTGTTGCAAATGTAAATCCAAAAGGACGGACACATTGGGTATTTTGGTAAAGACGAGTTTCAGCTCCTGATGCCATCAGCACCATAGCGTGTCGAAAGCTCGAGATTACCGTTAAAAGAATTTACTAAAATTTTAACAATTTCCCTATGTATGTATATATAATCATTAGTCGTTGCAGCTATTTGTTCACAAAAACTCAACTCGCCTATCGAAATTATCTTCGATCTTGGAAGTAGGATCTGAATCAATAAATTAATTTTCACTATCCCAAGATTGTCACAAACGTAACTGATAGCAAATTGAATTGTTTGTTTTCCTTAGCAATAAATAACTAAACAGATGAAACAATAAATACAGTTCGTCCAGGATATGTGTTGATAAAAAGAATTCGGGTTGTTATTTGCTTGTTGCCACGTCTAATCTTCCGAATTGCTGTTTATGTGGGTAGTTTCCGTTTTACATTATCAACGAGTTGTAGATTTGGCAAACCCTAACGGGCAACATTTTGAACACTTATTGAAATAAAAAGTGATATTTTCGTGTATTTTTATTTTCTATCTGGACAAATTGAGATAAATAATGGTTTTTCCAGATTTCTCAAAAACCAATCGACTGATTTTAAAAAATCAAACGTCAAAATAAAGAACTTCGAAAGAAAAATTTTCAAGGGAACGACCCTGAGGGGCCAAGGGTTAAAGGGGTTGGGCTGATTTTTGGATGAAGAGTTGTCCTCCTTGGCAAATATTTTGATATGTCTCGGCGTTTTTGTTTAATCAGTGGTTTGCGATAAATCCGCAGTGGGGAGTTTTCAAATGCAGAAAGTATGTCATTTTAAAACCTTTTAAGAAAGTGTTGGGAGGTATCATGTTGATCTTGACTATGATCCTTACCAGGTCAAATGTTTAAACGTGGACACTGAAATTGATCTGACACAGGTTGTCCCAGAGCTGAAAAAAGTGACTCAATAGGACAGTTCGCCTCACAAGGGCAGGGAAAAGTGTGGGCTGTTTTATTGTTTTTAAAATTATGACCTTTTCAAGGTTAGTTCAAGGGCATGTTGATTTTAAAGGAGAAAGAATAGTAAAAAGCGCACTAACGTGAAGATAACTTCAAGGTATTATAACACTCGTATGTCGATTATTAATTTGAGTCATCTTGTTCGAACGGTCAAGGTCAGCTTCTTCGAAGGATATCGTGAAGAGCATATAAATAGACAACGCGTTTCCCTAGGGTTTGCTTGCCAGACTTAGAACTGCAATAATGCCCTTTGATTATTGAATGGTCATCAGACAAATTTTCGTTACTTTCATAAACTTGCCTATCAGATATTCATAGTTGTTGATACTTTTTGAGTTTCTGAAACTTGAATAGATTTATTTTTTTGATACCTTCTACTTCATTTAATGCTAGCCAGATATTTGGTCTTGCGCCATTGCTAACAGTTAAAGCGCTAATACAGCATTAATGGCAATTTAGAGGATGGTGTCTATCAATGAGAGAAGCAATTGAGAACCATTTTCCATATATTTTGTAAGCGGTTTTTCAGTTTATTTTTTGGGCGTTTGGGTCTAATCGTCAAGCCGAGACCCATGTGTAATGTACATATGGTAGCGACGAGATAGGGTGTTGGAATTAATAAGCGGCGTCGGGCAGCATTAAATTTTGTTCACGCTCATTATTGAATTTAGCGCTCATAATTACACAACTTACATACCTACGAGGTGTATAAAAATTAATTTTTAGCACATCGTAGTCGCGTATTTTTACAATGTTTCACTAATCAGTAGAACCTTTGTTAATAGATTGCATATCATAAATGTGATCAAATGCATTTATAATAACTTCGAAATTTTTATTGGGGTGACAAAAAGTAACTTAAGTAAAAGTAATCAGGATCTTAATATCCCCAATGCTGATAATACATTTTATAGGTCACTTAAACCGAATCTATAGTCCTTCTAGTTCTATTATACCATATTTTCAGAATATCGGCTAGATTAGTAGTCATAAAATGTTTCATAAAATACGTTGAAAGGTCCTTACGCATTTTTGTTCATTTTTTATTGAAAAACACGTATGTACATCATGTAAACAATTCTATAAAAATATATTTGAAGAAACATTTTTCATACAATCCTTATTCTAGGTTGTTGCCGTCGATCCTGTTAAAATTCTGAAAGAAATACAAATTAACACAAACCAAACTCATTTAAATAACTTATATTTAAGCCCGTTAGGTCCGAAAAGTGAGACACATTAAAAAGGGTTCTCTGGCTTTTTTACTATTGAAAGCAAAATAAACGTCGTAGTCAATGAAGTACCTAGTAAAAATAACAATTTACCTGTCTAGCGATCTCCAATAAATTATCGAATGTTTTTGTTTCACTGGCAAGTTTATAAAATGTGCCACTTTTGTTCCTCAACAACTGATACGGATGGTCAAATTCCACTCTACGGCCTTTGTCCAACACCAGAATACGATCAGAGTTGATCACCGTTTCAACTCGGTGAGCTAAAATAATAACATCAATGGTTGTTTGAAATTTACTTTGGCGGAGATATAGCATTGTGTGTTCCCAAAGTTAATTACAAAAAGTTCTTGATCTACAGAAACGAACTTTAAGATATATAAGTAAAATCAGTCCTTGAGCTACATTAGGTTTAGAATCATACAATCATAGAAGGCCAAATAACAGCTAATTCAGCAGAACTACAATAAAAGACTACCTTGACACAAAAATCATGACAATTTTTATCTATGCTCCAAAACTTATATTTCTATTATATTTTGGTCAACATATTTTTATAATTTGAAATTATCTGAATTAAGCTTAAGCATTTTAACTAACGGAGCTTTCTTATTTCGATATTGGAGAATGAAAGATTGTTTCCCTTCTTCGCAAAATCGAAATAACGGAGATCATAACGGAGCACTAAAAACTCTCTAATCACCGCAACGAAAGCAGTAGTGCGGATGTCATAAGCTCCAAGATGCCAGTTGTCACATACAAAGAATCAGGGACTATATAGTATTTTTCACGAGTATCCGTTACCGAAGAATGACAGCTGATTATCTAGTAATATTTCTAAATTCCTCATATCAGTAAAGGACACATAATTCTGACAGATCCGTCAATGCCACGCAGACAGAGCAACATTTTGTTTTGTCTTTTTGTACGCCTTTGAACGTAAATTTTTGCATATAAATATTTCAAAACATTTGTATTTTAAACTAAACCATAGACAGCTGCTTCGTGCCTTTCGACAACTTATCAGCATGGTCCAGACTTGGTCTCTGGGACAACGTATGAAAGCAAATCAATTATCCTCTATAGGTGGAATAAGATCTAACGGAATAAAATAGTGCTTTATGCTGCTTTATTCCGATATTTTCTCTTTTCAGTTAAGTACTTGATTGTTCTTTAATTGCCCAAAGTTTGCAATTTTCGCCTTTTGTACGAAATTCACCCATTTTCGAATACTTAACATATTATTTTTGTATGACCGCATGGTCGCCAGTTTTTCTACTTTAATTCCACAATCAAACACAGTAAGATACAAAAAATAGTTAAAAATGCTGCTCAACTTTCCGACATTAAAAACAACTTAAGTTGAAATCTGATTATAATTGGTAGGGTGAAGCTTATTGTATTTGAAGTCCCCTATCATGCTGAAGATGGAACACAGCGAACCACCACGAGCCATGTTTACTGGTATTTAATAAAGGCCCCGCATGGGTATCATGTAAAAAACCTATAAAACGGCAAAAAAAAGATGTTATCTTGCAGGCTAGGTAGTTTTTAGGGCGCAAACAGTCATTCCACGTTTGCTCACTAGGATCGTTGTGAACGTCCATCAAAAGAGAAATCATTCAACTAAACTAAACGCATTATTGGTTGCATATGTTTTGTGAGGCCAAATGGTCCTTGTCTGCAGTTTTTATCTCTGAGAAGAAAGTTGGTTGAATAGCAAGATTGCATCTGGATGATTATGTGTATTGGTCTGCATGTATATAAAATCAGTGATATTTACGGTGTGAGAAAATCATTGCTGAACATAATGCCAATGAAGTATATCTATTGGCTGTACCAGACGGGTTATTTTTATATTGTGCTTTCTGAAGAAGGTTATATTCAAAGTTATAAATTACGAAAAACTGAGGAGAACTACGGGAAATCATCACCGCACCCGCGTTGTGTGTAATTGCTGTTAGCATGTATATGGCTTGTAATACGACAGCCTACAGTGAGTATAATTATTTCTTATCTCTCTCATTTTTGAAGTTCAGCAAATTTGTATATGTAATTTCCAGAATAGATAAGAAAAAGCGGATGCGTAACTAATTTCTAGGTTTGAATCTCAATTAAGTGTATTTGAGACAAGAACCCAATGTAATTATCATCAACACATACAACTTACAGCTTAGACCTCCAGTAATACGATCTCACAAGCAGATCTTACATCACATCAGAGCCAAAGATTGATAACAAGCCTCATGACATTTAGGCAACACGTACAACTAAGTGTTAAGTTAATATCTTGTAGAAAAACCTTCATAATGTCAAAAAACCAGCATAATGTCAAAAAAAATCGGCATAATGTCACTTTTCAAGATACGTGATACCCGTGCTGATTCATAAGTCTTACCAATAGTCAAAACGGTGCAGTCTCCAAAACATCTCGCAAGAGTGCTTTGTATTTTTTTGTCAGTATCGCTGTCTACATTGGCAGTAGCTTCATCCAACACCAAAATCTTGTTTCTCATGATAATAGCTCTGGCAAAGCAGATCAGCTGTCTTTCACCCGCACTAAAATTCATACCACCTACGTCAACCATCGCCTGTAAGCCGTTTGGACGTTTGGCAATAAATGTCTTCAGCTCTACGTTTTCAAGTGCAGACCACAAGACGTTATCTTGGTATATTCCAAATGGGTCCAGATTTGTCCTTATCTGAAGAGGCAAAGCAATAGTTATACACATTGTTAATAAAGAACCTGTGCAAACTTGAAAGGGTGGTTCCTTGGATGACCTGTTCAAATAAACATGATAACGCATTATTTTCAGGAATCAAGATCATTGTTTTGAAAATTCCTTTTTTTAGAGAAATCGCATTAGGCAAGTGTACGTGTATTACAGAAAAGACCGCAGTTTTCTTACGGAAAATACTCCCTACGGAACTCAAGGATACTGATAGATATGGGAAGGCAGCCCAAGTATCAAGGTAATTTTGTCAGAGAAGTAAAACTTTTTGTTTGTCCAATTTCCTGGTGAAGAGTATGATGTAAGACTTTCTGAAATTTGCCCAACTTTGATCATACCATTAAGAGTCACCGTCAAGGGAAAATGTATAATCACAAGTCATATCAGCCAGTTTGAAAGATCTCCTCACAGCAGAATGTTTAATTTCTTCTCTGATGAATCAACTTTAAAACGTAGGTTGTCCTCCCATATCTTGATAGCCCCTACTAGGGGGCAATAGCATGTAGCGAGTATGATTTTAGCTTTTAACTACTGTACGACAGAAGCAATACATTTTATGTTAAACAGAGACTCTACCATTCTTGATATCTAGTTTGTAACTATAGCTATCTATAGAAGAGGTAAACAATGATAAATGTCAAGCAAATAATGTTTTAGTTTGAATTTGAACTTATTCAGTCTTAGCAGCTTGAATTCTTTTGGAAGCTAATTATACATCCTTTGATTTTGATCCAAAAACTTGATGATGAACATCTTTGCAAGGTGTCAAATCGCTCAGGCTGCAATAGCGGTACAACTCAAAAAATCATGTTTTGAGATAAGTAGGGTTAAAGTTTTCATTGCCAAGGAAAATGCATAAGAAACGTTTTAGTTCGCTCAAACGAAAATGATTTTCTATTTTTTAAATTTATCTTTTTACTGTCAATTTTGAAAAAATGTTTTCAGCTATGCCGCTATTGCAGCAAGACCTTTTTTCATTAAATGTACTAACTAAACTATATTAAAAAAAAGGATTATAAGACAGGAAACTTAGAAAAACACTTTTGAACATATAAATATGCTCGTTATCTACGTAAGAACGTACGATTAAATAATGTGGAATCTTCTTCAATTAACACTGAACTTGGAGACTTTTGTAGAAACTCGAGTGGCACCTTGGTATTGCATGGCTGGCGATTAAGCTTTGTAATCCGTCAAATTTCTTTTTAGATATTGGAATTGGTTTACTGTAAGCTTTTCTTAGTATTACTGTCTCAAAGGGCTGCAAACGTTTTCTACATCTTGACGATTTGATGTTGACCATTTCAAGATCTGTTTGCTTGTAAGATGCTTTGTAGAAAAAGTTATGAATGATATGCAATACAGGCACAACTCGGAAAGTGCCACTAGAAATTGCAACACGACCCAACTCAAAATGTGTCACTGTTGATGACAAAAAAATGCCCTAAGCCTATCAAGCGCTGGACGCAAGCTGAGTAGTGTCAGTAATGCAGCCAATATTTGCCACTAATCACATAATACAATAGCGACACTTCACCCATTTTACAGCCTAATATTGAATTATGAGTTGTGCCAGTATTGCTGCTGAGAAGAATATGTATTTTCATATTTACAATTATTCTTAGTCCAAAAAGCGTGTTTTTGGAGATTTGCCACTATTGCAGCCCATGATCGAAATGTTTAAGCACACAATGTCAAGCACATCTGATCAGCAGCACATACTTGACGTTTAGGCAACACAAACAGCTACAACAAGTGAATAAGTAGTAGAAATCAAGGCGGCCAGGTTGTCTCTGCAATTATTATCGCGTTCATTTTGCAGGTACGTAATAGGAACGATTTTTACGAAGACTTACCGTTCCTGCAAACAGTTTGGGCTCCTGAGGTAGAATCGATATGTTAGATCGAAGAATTGATAAAGGAATGTGAGATATATCTACTCCATCTATTGTTATTTTACCACGCTCAATATACGCTAAACGAAGCAGAGCTGCTAATATAGTAGATTTTCCAGCACCTGTCCTTCCTGTAAAACAGAAATAGATTACTAGGTAATGCAGATTCCGAAAGCCGTAAAAAATTATGGTAAAACCATTGATTAACGTATTCTCCATCAATCTTATGCTGTATTTAAGAGAAAGCATCTTTGATACGGTCTAAAAACAATTTCTTCTCGTTTTTATTTTTGATGGAAGAATGATATTGAAATAATAACATTAAAGAAAGTTATTGATCATATATTTAAGTAATGAAAAAAATTGTAATGAAATGGCGGCACCTCACCGTTTTCCTAGAAACGCGATTTGTCAAAGCTGCGTGCAGCATAACTCGGACAATTGTCATACTTTTTATTCAAATGTTTCACAGTATCTTTGAAATAGCGTCTTTGAAGATGAAAATTGTTAGAGGATAGAGAAGTTAGTTTGTTATTATTAGTAAATGATTACCTTTTATTCTTCAAAAATCAAACGTTTTAATTAAAAGACTCGCCAACCTCACAAAAATCAATACTCAAAAAAAAGGTTCTCCACTATGAACTTGTATGTTTTTTGAATATTATTCATGTTAGTTTTTTGTTACTTAACTATATGCTCAATAACTTCCTCCAATATTATTATTTTATTATATTTCATTCCACAAAGAAAAATGGCAAAGAAATCACAATTTTCAGGCAATCGACACAGCCGTTTTGCCAGGTAGGTACGCAATAATTCTTAGACTTCACTTTCATTTTGAAAGAAATTTTGTTTATTCTTGAATGTAACAAAATCCTTCCTAAAAAAGATGACCCCACAGCCTCCTTCATAATTGTTCTTAAGGTTTCGTACTGTCAGAATTTCTCAACGATGTGGCAATGCAGACAATGGTCAAATGCTTAGCTATGAGCAAGGAGGTGGCTGCCACCTACAAATAGTTCACTTGGTACATCATAAGTCCGAAAATGCAGAAGATAGCCATACTTCTGGACTGAGCTGAATGACAATTCTATGAGCGGATAGATGTCGCCGCCCACCATTTGTAGGTGGACAACACACTGAGCTTTCCGGTAGATCATAGCCGCTTGTTTGATTCCCGTTTGTCTATCTCCACATGGCTAGACCTATTTCGTGCTGATGATTTCTGAAAAGCACGAAACATTGTTATATGCGATTGGTCATGGTTCAAGAAATGGGGAGCGAAGAGATTCGGTTCTGCCCACGTATACAGTGCTGGCCATGGACCTTTCTTACATTTTCTTTTTATGGTCGACTAGAAATTAACTATAACATGATAAAGTAAATTATTACAATGCTGTTCTTATTCAGAATAATAATTTCATATCAGTTCTTAAAAATATTGTATTTTATTTTTATCGCAAAACACTTCTCTTGTTCTAATGGTTGTGTGGAGGAGGATCGTACTCTACTCTCCATCTCTTTAAAGGTCATCGCCAAGATGTTGTTGATGTTTCCGTTCAGCAATAGAGGCCGTGCAGTATGGTCAACGCAGGTATTGCCACGGAACGGCAATTGTTTCGTTATAGTATTGTCGTTGTGAGATTAAAACTCATATCTTTGTAATTTCCGTCGACCTTAAATACGAGAGCTGAACATGACTTAGTGCTATTTCCGGTGCTCTCGTGTAGCAGTTCAGCGGTGACAACCTGTGTTAAGGCCGGTCCAGACGCTCCATTTTGCACAACGTTTTATCTGCGCAGTCTCAAGACGGAATGAAAACGTTGCAATTTTCAGACCGTCCACACGGTGCAGATATATCTGTATATTTCGCTCAGTTTTGTGTGATATTGTCATGGAGGAGGTACTACTCTGGTCAGTTTGGGCAATGTGTCTCGATAAAAAAAAGAAGATTGAAACGCCTCGGAAGTACCAGGCGTTCAAAGTGGTCGCGAAAGTGGCTTCTAAAAAGGCAGCAATTTTTTTCACAACGGTTTATTGGTCTGCAGTTGCATCGATTTGTTTATTTCTGTCACTGTACTCCTTGCATTTCACACGCCAAATGCATGGGAAACCTTCATATAATTGGATGAATTCTGTGAGAAACTCACGGGAACGTTACCATCTACGTGCACCGACTTGTCTGCGCAGTTCACGGATATCTATGCTCTCCTAGCTCAGTTATCGCTGCAACAGTACCGTCTTCGCGCCAGAGTCAAAACTGCGCAGTTTTCCCGTCTACACGCAATGTTTTATCTGCAACGTGTCGGACTGTGCAGACAAAACGTTGTGCAAAATGGAGCGTCTGGACCGGCCTTTAGTGAAGCAATTTCACACCCAGCGCTGGGGAGTTGCCGGGTTGTGGACATTTTGAAAGAAATCGGCCTCCATTGGTGAATTTTGTTGTCGGAGTCCTTTTCTATATATCTCTATATTTGATAGGATGGAAGGCACTACTTTTTTATTTCTCTTCCTAGCTCTTGGAACTAGGAGGTGCCCAAATCTCAACCATTTGCATCAAAGACCAAAGTACAAAGAACCACACTTTGAGGTCTCATTATTTACCAACTGAGCATAGTGTCAGTTACATCTTTATAACTGAATATAGCCAGAATAACACCTTTTCCGTGGTCGATTTTAATGTATGCGGGAGAGAGATGCGCCCAACACATGTGTTAGAAAGGTTGCGCCAAACATGTGTTGCCTTGCAACAACAATAACGAACGTCGCGGCACGCTGTTTGGTGCACTCTTTCTTATATACATGTTGCGTCATTCTCTCTCGGAAAAATTGAAACTGACCAAGGACACGTTCTAGACCAGAATAAGTGGTTGACGGAATCACGGTGCGTACCTACCCTTATCTTCGCGAAGACAGGGTTTTCAATTGGGTTGGGTGGTTGGCTGGAGTATGTTAATCAATGGTGAAGCTAACAGTTTGAAATTTAACTCACCTACGATTCCTATTTTCTCTCTCTTCCCTACATCAAAACTAAGACCTTCCAGCACGAGATCTTCCTCTTCAAAATATTTTACCGAGACCTGGTTAAAGCTGATTTCTCCATGAATGGGCCATTCGGCAGACATAGTCTAGAACAGCAAGTACATCGATATCAATGTTTCCTGTGCAATGGCCGCTTGGAACGCTAGTATCGTATTTCTATACGAAGGAAAGAAAACTGGCAACCTGGCATTTTATATAACCTCAATTACTTTTGTCTGGTTGGAATAAAGGTGCGATAGGAGCGCCCCAACTATTGTATAGCACTTATAAATACTAAGAGAAAAGTTACTAATTAAGAAACATGTCAAGTATGTTGACTTATTTATTTACTAAATTTGCGGATGACCCATTTTTACAAAATAAAAGTACATACAATATACGGGAATAACATTTAAAGCATACAAGCTCACAATGGCATTATTATATAAAATCACAATTTAAACGATACTTTCTAAGGCCTGAAAGTGTACATGTAAAGATGTCAAAATCGGAGTGAGCGAAATTGATAAGTCGAAGTGGTCTATCCAATGGGGAGTGCTGACCATAATTTGTCGAATGGAACTTAATCGCAAACAGATTACTATTACACAACGATTTACAAGGTACATTAAAATTTATCAATGGTAACACAATTTTGCGATAGGTGAACTCCCATAAAATCTTGAAAGCGAACCAGACATCATCAATTGCTTATGATCCAGTGTAGGTAAATGCAAATGTTCTAACGTGTCAACTCTATGATATTCAGTCATGTTTAGAGCCCACTCAGACAGAAGTCGGTCACGCGTTCCGAGTTCAGCGTCTGCGTTCTTTGTAATATGTACTTCCTTTAAATGACCGCTGCGGTATGACTACCGGTAGTGCGTGTTGTTACTTAAGTAAGTACATATTACAAAGAACGCAGAGCTGTGAACTTGGAACTCGGAACGCCTGACCGCCTTCTGTCTGCGTGAGCCCTTAAGTACATACTTCATGCTGCAACACGTAAAAATGTATGCTGGATACGCTCTAATCATCATCTTTATAAGACTCGTACTAAGGAGACCATACAACTGTGGCATATTCTAGATTTGATCTTACCAAGGAGCAGTATAAAATTGGTAAAGTATTGATAGACACTGCACTTCCCACGCAACGCTATCATCAGCTCATAAAGGGTCATGTTCGATACAAATTCGCCCTTCTGAGAAAAAAGTCATCTACGGACATGTATAACAGAAAAAATAAATGGATCAAGTCAGTCACACAGACCATGGTTCCACATATTTGACAACGTTGCGATCTAAAAACTTCTTCCTTGCCCTACCGACAGTGTCAATCATCTGACAACGCGCCACTCGCCAGTCACGACGACAGCCATTTATAGGTTAAATTGCGCCGCAAGTATGTTTAAGGACAAATGTACGGCGACTTCAATGCCGTGTGAAATATATGCGTAAAATTACCGGGGCTGGAAGCGTTTAATTGTACTAACGCCAAAAAATTGTGATATAACCTACTCTATCACTTACAACCTCAGCCCTCAATTTTTGACCTATACGAATGTTTTTCTGGAAACGATCAGGAACCTCTGGATGATTTTGGTGTTGGATGAAGTTTGAGCGATTGCTTATTTTCAGTTTTAGCCTCCAGCTCCGCCGCTACTGGATCGAGTTTGAGAAACTACAAAGATTTTTGGTCCTTTGCTTGGAAGTAAATTTAATCAAAATCGGGGTAGGAGCTTGTAAATCACTTGGGGATGTAATACCGTGCACAGTAATGGAATATAGACTGACAGATGAAATTTTACTCTGAAATACTGTGAAACTTAATTTTTAGAACGCCTAAATTGTTACAGAGTCATTAGTCCAAGCTAGATAAGAAAAAGGTGAAAAAAAGTTTAACATATCTGAAGGTTTTAAATGACGAATACATAGAAAGGTACAGCCAGATACGCGTTGTCTTTTTTAAGAAAAAGGTGAAAAAAAGTTTAACAGATATCTGAAGGTTTTAAATGACGAAAACATAGAAAGGTACAGCCAGATATGCGTTGTCTTTTATAAACAATACGAAAAGGCTAAAATTCAGTATTATGCTTGTATAATTTTCAAATAAAATTTTATAAATAATTGGTAAAGCAATTAAGTTAAATACAGCGCTTTTTAACAATATTGAATAAATGCTTATAACCATTACAATAACAATTGTGAATGGCAAAAAATTGAGAGAATGAGGGCATCATTGGTGTTAAGAGGTGTGCTAAATGTCCGCCGGATCGGTTTAATAGTAAACAACTTTTCTTTTACAAGATATGGTCTCACAACATTTTACAAAAGTGAACTGGATTTCAGCTTTCAGTTTTCAGCAGAATTTATGCAAAAAATTAGTTATTTGTTTTAGAATTGTTCTTAAAAATGATGTTACAAAAATAGCCATTTTTATAGTTATACACATTTACAAAAACTCCGTTATTTTTCATTAAAATTTATTTTAATAAGCTTATCTGGATAGGTGGTTAAAAAACGCATGTTTCAGAAGACCCACGACCAATATTAGCTAAGATAATTGACCAATAGCAGCCAAAATATTTTTTAATTCATATGTCCTTTGTATATAAACACTAAGGCTAGAAATTTTTACAGATTTTAATCAAGGATCTTAATTTATGATCCAATTTATAATTTTACTATTTCAAAGGTCTTTAAGAAATAGCCACTTAAAGTGAAAGTACTCGCGTAGATATTTCCGGGTGAGGTGGTGAGGAAATCAGCTCTAGCTCGATTTATTTTTTGGAATTGAGTCTTTAAATCGGAGCGCGCTGTAAAGTTTTACATTATCTCGCCTTCTAAACAACGTAGAACCTTATTTTTCAATTTGGGGTAACTCGTCGAAATAACGACATCTGGCACATTTTCATTTTCCTGGAAAATCGGGAAAGCCCGGAAAATTTAACACGTTGTGTTCTTCAAAATTAAATTACTATGAAATAATAATAAATGAACAACAAATTATTTACCTTTACTCTCACTCTAATAATATAACTTATATTTTACAATACAATTGTTTAATCAATTCATAATTCAGTTAATTGGTATACTCTTAGCAAAATACTCTCTCATAAATTGAAAAAAATATTGACTCACGTTTGTCTTTCATTTACATTTATTTTATTTGCATTTATTTTATTATAATAATTTATTTATTCCAATTAAATCGTTGGAACACAGTCTAGTAAAGTTCAAATAAACGTAAATGGTTCATTTATTTTCATTTCAAATGTCTGTGATACATACGTGTGTATAATTTTACTAATACAATATTGGTAAAATAATCCAATAATATGAAACAACAAATAATAAACATAATTTTCTGAATTTTTATAAAGGAGATAGGAATTTTAAGAAAATAAATTTCATCTTGGCTCCTATTGGTCGTAGAAGGTTTTTCAAAATATGCGTTGTTAACCACCTATCCAGATCAACTTATTAAAATAGATTATATTGAAAAATAACGAAGTTACTGTAAATGCTTATAGCTACTATTCTTTAGCATCATTTTTTAACAACAAATTTTGGAATAAATAATTAATTGTTTGCATAAATTCTTGAAAGGAAAACCTTCAAGAATCCATTTCACTTTTGTAAAACCCATATCTTGGGCAAGAACAGTTGAGTAAATAATTCGTCAGGGATAAGCAATTGACTTTTTACATAAACTATTGAACCGATCCGGATGATATTTAGCACACAAATTAACACTGATGATACCCTCATTCTCACAAATTCTTAGCCATTTATAACTGTTATTGCAATAGTTATAAATATTTATTCAATATTGTTATAAAGCCCCGTATTTAGCTTAACGTTTTATCGATTTTAATTCTTAAAAAATGATATTGAAGGTCTTTTTATGCTTTAAAATCTTCAGTTTACCGATTATTTATAAAATTTAATTTGAAAGTTATACAAGCAAAATACTGAATTTTGAGCTTTTCCATTGGTGAATAAAAAACAACATATATCTAGCTGTATCTTTTTTATGTATTTCTCATTAGAAAGACTTAAGACTTTCAGATATCTGCTAAACTTTTTTACATGAAATACATATTTTTTGTCTCTGTAGCCTGTGCTACATGTAATAACATTTGATGGCAGCCGACTAATGTCTAACCACGTTTCCCGTGACCATTGTATTGTTATACCAGACGCTATCTACTCTTAGTCGATGTAGCCGATTTATCGAGAGCAACATATATTTTTCCAATATTTAGCACTTTTTGATGACCAAATAAAGTAAACAAACAATGAACCATATGAAAACACTCTTATGCCTATGAGTTTGAGCATAAGAAGAAAAGCACACTTTTTATGTACTAGAAGGATTACTTTGTTCTATTTCCGAAAGCATAGAACAGATATGTCGGACAATTACGAACGCTAAAATTTTTGTTCTGGTTAGTACAAAGTACTCTGTAATAATTTACGAACGCAGTCCAGTACTTTCCAAGGCATAGACAACCAAACATTGGTCAGGTAGACAAATCAAAAAGAAATGGATATAAAAACGGATTCATATTTACCTTTTTTATTGTCTCTTCAGGCTCCAAGTTTGAATACTCTAATATTCTTTCAACTGCAGTCATTCTGGTTTCGAGTGCACCCCACTGTCGCATGCCATATTGGAAGATACCAGTGAGACTGATTGCTTGAGTTACTGCAAACCCCACGTTTCCACCGTACTCCTCTGTGAAAAAAAATTTCATATCATTACTTGCTTGCGTGACACTGAGCTCAAATCCAAAAAGCTTGTCGATTTATGAGTGCCACAAGGAAGAGTTTTAGGACTCTCCCTCTACCTTGTATATACTAGGGATCTACCAACTGCAAGTAATGTATGCGCGGCAACATTTGATGATACTGCTATTTTGACATCCCATGCGAATCCAGACAATACATCGCAAAAACTTTAGAGAAACGTGTTCCAAATTGAAGGCTGGGTGAAGAACTTGCACATAAAAGTCGATGAAACTCCACACATGTGACATGGTTATGCTAACGCAACATCTTTTGCAAACGACAGAGTCGGCGAGCGAGTAACCCGCCGTATTCAAAGAGATGCGTTAGGATCAGCGTTTTTCTGCTATCTTCCTTTTCGGTATCCGAAACAGAAAGCTCACATCGCAAATGAACATTTTCTCAAACAGGAAACAAACTCGGAGATATGTATTGGATTATTGGTAAGAAATCTAAGCTTTGAACTTCCAGCATCCATTTATAGGACACAGCGGGTAACAGTAGTATTGCCATACTTCAACGGTTCCAGAACAAGGTACAACTTTCCCAATGAAATCATCCCACATCAAATAAGTGATCTAAGAGTTTAGTATTGGCAATAATTACTGTATTCCATCTGAAGGTACCCAGCCAGTGAGCTTCGGCGTCCAAAAAATTATCCGATATGAAACGAGATACCGTGAGAATTTGTCACAGCTATGTTTCTCCTCTGCGCACTAATGTAATGTAAAAAAAACATCTATTGATTTCATAGTAAGAAACGGCCTCAAGGCGTCGTATTTCGCTTAGCGACATCTGTCAGCGTATCCATTTCAACAGTTTTACATGAGATCTCGTATCCAAGTGGCACAAATAGCACAAATCGCCGTCAGAAAATGAAAATCCCATGGGAAGATGAGAATCAAAATCGAATAACCAAAATCACCCAGGGTACTCGTACAAACACAACCATCAACTTAAGAAATGGCGTCAACTAGATTGACCCTATACTTCCTGCGACTTCGTTGGAGGTTTCGAAGAAAAGGAATTAGTCAAATCGTGTCATGATTAAGTGGTTCACTTAGGTACGATGAATGTTCGACTTCTGCATATCAAACTGTATAAAGCAAACCTATCATATTTCTGTTTCCATGGCAGGTGTAGGGAAGATGCGTGGCGTGGCTTACTATGTCTAACAGGTGCATAGTATCCCGATGTAAACGGTGGATGTATTAAACTCGCGATAATATTCGTGCTTCGGTTCACAAGTTGTCTGTTGCTTAAAGATATCTGCATCACGCAACGATTGCCAAGTTTCAGACTATAAGCCTATCATATAGGTCACACTTCTATCATCTAATTTTCCCGTTGTTACCGAGATCAGAAGCTTCTTGATGATAGAACGTCGGTGACTAGTACTCAAAAAAATGTTTAAGCGATTTTAATTCTCTTTTATTTTATTAGATCGATTTTCTAAAACTACAAAGCTTTATCATGTTTGGCATAATAGTAACATTGTGTGAAAATTTCAACAAAATCCGTGCGGTACTTCTCAGGTTATAGGCTGTTATAAAATTGGCGAACAGAACGACAGACAGGCATACAGTCCGACAGAAATGAGTGAGATAGTTGTTGATGAAATACATGTCATATAACATCTAAAAACATAATATCTCAATTCCGAAAGTTTTCAAGATTACAATACTTCCTCGCCAGTTTTGGCATAGGGAGTAAAAAGTAATATGAAGTTGATAGTGTTGACACCTGTGAGGAACACCAAATTTGTCAATAAGGACTTGGATGTGGCAGTATTTATTAGGTATTTTCTAACCACTATTTTTCTTAGTATCGGTTGTGATTGTGACTCAAGCTGCGCATGCGTATATATCAATAGTGTCAAAACACTGCCTTCCACTAACAGTGCTTAGCCATATAAGCTCTTCCATAATTCCCCAGCGTCTCATAGACGGCGCTGTATCCAACTGTATTCTAGTACATATATCCTTACCGTGCTGTTATAATGATGTAAAGAGGGAGCAAAGAATTTGATTATAAGGCCGGAAGTGCATGTTCAACTCACCGTTCAAAAACAGGCGGAAGCTAAGCAACACCAACGCCACGTAAAGAACTACAAATATCTCTAACCAGAAGCCAAACGCCCTCATTCCAGCCATACCAATGTAAGAAGGTGCTGTATGCATGTCCTGAAGGTCATCGAAATGATCCTTTAGTTCGTTCTGCACTCCAAATGCTCTGATCGTTGTTATGCCGCTCATAGTTGCTTTCAAATGATCATACACTGGACTTCTTCCTGAAAATGGATGGTTAACTGTATATGCTCTATTGTAGAAAAGGATCAATCACAACAGATCACAGAAATTAGGTCTTACTGGGCTTTCGTGGTCTTAGATGTCTTCCAAATTTTTTTAAATTCCTTTGAGCAGTCCTGGGCCTCCTAATTCAAGCCTCAACAGAATTGCGTCCAATGCGCTCTAGTTCATGAGAAATCAGTAAAAACAGATTGGCAAGGCGAGTTCAAAAGTACTCGCTTTTCGATGTTCTGGTGTGACGTATATGCCATGTTTCATGCCATTCATTTCGGCTGCATATTGCTTTTGAAACAGAGTGGCTCATAACCTTAATATTTCGAAAACTGCGCATTCTAGAAAAAAGTTTTAAACAAAGTGGAGTTCCGAGGATGAAACATGATGACAATGACATTGACTACGATCTTCAAGGTCATTTCAAGGCCAAGCGAATATTTCCAAATAGAAACCCCTTTTCGCATCGGAATTCAAAAGAGAAAAGAATTTATGTCCGAATATTACTTTGGCCATGACCTTGACCTTAGCCCTGAAGGCCATTTTAAGATCGAACCAAGACATCAAAAACAATTTGCCCAAGCAAAAATGTTCGACAGCACAGTTGTGAGGATTGTGGGGATCACCTAAGGATGACCCTGGCCTTCAAAGTCAGTCAAATTTTTCAAAAAAAACCTTTCATTTTCATACCATAAATAGAAGACGAAGAAAATTTTACATCCGAATCTGACCTCGATCTCAAATAATATTTAAACCTGACACGACATTGACTTTCAGGTGAAGGTCACATTTGTACGTAAAACTTCCTGCATTTTCCATTTCCAGTGTTAACATGAGAGGTTTCGTTTGGAAGTTACGACTTGACCTTGGAGAACATGACCAAGGTCACGGCCAAGGTCATGGCTGAGCTCACCTTACGGTGATCCACAAAAGTGCACTGTCGAACATTTTTGCTAGAGCAAATTGCTTTCAGCGTCTTGATTAGACTTTGAAACGTCCTTGGAAGATACAGTCAAGGTAATGGTGATGATCATATCCAGACGTAAAAATCACTCTTCTCAAAATCAACGCCATTGTGTTTCTTTCTATTTGTCATTAGTGACAAAATTAACTTGGTTGGTATTAATAAATAATAGTTTATAATGAGATTCGTTTTCAACTCTTCTAACACAAATATATCCATCCTGAGTACTCTCTGGATAGTGTCTCACTTTGTTTTAAACATTTTTATGGAGAGCCATTCAGAGCTGTGTAAAGGCGTATGCCAAGTTGGCAATTGATAAATCTAAAATAACCAGAACCTACATGATTTTTATAACCCACAAGAGAAATGTCTGTTGGCCTGTTGGCTACATCAGGATTTCGAAGACCCACTATTTTTGAGCTTATTCAGCTCACAGCGGCCTTCTGCATAGTATAATTTCTCATACACTAAAGAGTATTGGACGTTGGACAGAATGCTGTTGATGCGCGAGCTGGCAACAGTCACTACTCAAATGAATTCTTTGATGATATCGGTATTCCGGTCCTAACGGCTCCTCCATGTCAGGGTTGGTTCGTCATCGAACTTTGAAGAAAGCGAGAACATAACCCAGCAAAAGCTCCCTTATAGCCAATGATATTTTGACCTTGTTATGCATAGCTTAACGCGCCATTAGAAGAACTTTCAGATTTTGAGGTCATCTGATGCGCAGTAGTTCAATTTACTTATAATCAAATGCAGGCAACATAGAGACATGGCATACAAGTTCAAAAATGTTTCAAGCTAAATTTATATCTGTTATTTATTCTGATAAACTTCACCGAACAGTCGACCCTTGAGGGCTCATTGAAGCTTACTGATCAACCTTTGGATTCTAAACAAACAATAAGTCCTCGCAAATCTAACATTTGCACTTATAAAAAATTTCTCAAAGATTTTCAAAATTGTCGAAATTTCCAGATCTATCTGGATTTTAAAAAACTTTCACGAATTATAAAATGTTCAATGTCTTCAAAATTTTAAAAAATTCCAAAATTTTCAACATTGTCAAACATTTCAAAGTTTTTAAACTGTTCAAAATTTTCAAATTTTCAAAATTTTCTAAATTCTCAAAATTCTCTAAATTTCCAAAGCTTTCAAAATTTTCAATTTTGGAAAACCGTGATGCGAGCTGTTACAGCCTACGACGAAATTCAAATGTTAAGTCTCCACTTGAGGACCTCTTGAGGGTGTCAACATCCAAGGGCTGACCAACCCTCAATTGGCACTCAAGCGTCAAGGGTCGACTCAAGTGTGGGTCTTACTCACTTGAGTCCTCGATCCTCTTAATATCCCTGAGAGTTCTTAAGCACCATTGCTTTATGTAATAGAAGATCACCAGAGTCAAAATTGTACATATTATCATCCACTCATTGACTGTGGTTACCATGAGCGAGATGAAAGATACTGTGAAGACTGCCTTGAAACAAGAAAGGGATCATACAAATTTTGATTCTTCAATGCACAGATTGTTAGTAAGCTACAGATAATACTCTCTCAAATACGTTTTAGGGACATTTGTGGCATCATCTCCTCAAAAAGGTCATCCTAATTAAACCACCGTAGGTGATACTTTCTTTACAGGAAACGAAACTATTCGACGCGATCTGCCTTGAACACAATTTTGTACGTCACTTATTCCGAAGCAGCTTTGTAGGCAGAAGCTTAAATACCAGGGCAATGAAGCTGCTGCAAGGATGTTCGACACTTTGTTATTCCGATGGGAAAATCCTCATCAGGAAGTTTGTTCACAACTCAGCCGCTAGCGACAAAGGAGCGGGCTTACCGGCCAGTTCTGGATTGGAGGATGGGTGGCCGAAGTCAGCAGGATCTGCAAAGCCCATTGACATAGCCGGAGAAGAGAGCCAGATAGAAAGGATTCCGAGACCGTCCGTTAGAGTAATCGACCAGCCGGACAGCCGTCCCCTGAAAAGTATCGAGCGTGGATAGTCTAGTAGGGCAGCAGCACCTCAAACATGTGAGTCGTACTCGAGGCTAGGTGTGATCTCAGCCTTGTGCAGAGTGAGGAGTTTGTGTGGAGAAAAGTACCTAGCCCTAAACAAGTAGCCTAGCTTATTCTTAGCAGCTGACGTCACTAGCGAGATGCGTTGATTCTACTGCAAGTCCTTGGTGATCTAGACTCCGAATGAATGGCACTTTGGTAGAACTCCGCTTTTAAGCAGTGATAACCTCCAGATATCTCGACATGGAAGAATTAGTTGCTAGCCTTCTCTCGAGCTCACCGGCAGAGATCGGATCATCACTCTGAATTGTAGCAGGCAAATTATTACAGAAGAGGAGGTAGTCGTTATGTTACAGAAACAAGACCAAGACCGATTCCTGATGACATCCGCGTTGATATTGTGGGATGAAGATGATAACCCGTCCAATACGACGGAGTGGAGGTCATCCACCCATCTGCAAATCTTATCTAGGTGGCCTATGGCATTCGTCATGTTACTTCAAATATACAAATATACAGGGTGGCACATCCATGTGTGGACGGAATATTACTCATAAACAAATACATTTCGGGAAAATCTATGTATAGCATGTTATACATGACATTTGAGGGCATATTTATAAAATATTGGCCATTATACAGGGTGTCCCAATTTCGACCTACATATCAAAGTTGTGATTTTTCAAATGGAATGCCTCAAATTTTATTGCATATTTGGATAAACCAACCCAAAAGAAGAAAATTAATATAACATACTATGGGGTTTTGGTAATTAGCTACTGAGATATAAGCTGTTTTGCCTAGAAAAACCTCCCACTTCGGCAATTCCTCTATCCGCCATTTTGAAATTTAGAGTGCTGAATTTGGTAACAAATCAAAAAGAGATTAGACACCTCAGCTTTTATTGTAGTTTTACTCAAAAATTTCAAATGCATCACTCTGTATAAGTTTGGATTCAATTTTTTATAAGCTTTTTTTGATACTAGACACATAAGGGTTTTTACGGCTATTTTTTCGGTTATTAGCACTTTTTTTTATTCAACGGCTTAATTCCCTAAAACATCGCATCATCCTTGGAAACAAATAAATTGTTGTTTAGTTACAAACTGTTAAAATTAGTTTTGTGAGCATTATAATAAAAACGTGTTTGAAAATGAATTTTTCTAAAGAAGAAATGGTGAATATGGTGTTCGTTTTGGGCGAAGCCCAAAGAAATAGTTTCCTAGCATCTCGCATTTATTAGCAACTGTACCTTAATATGCGACATCCAAGGACGGAAACATTTTCCACACTACGAGAACGTTTTGAATCAAGTGGGGCAGTGGAATATAGTAAAAAATGTATGAATAATCCAAGTGTCACCAATGAGGCGAATCAGTTGGAGGTTCTATTAAAGTTGCAGGAAAATCTCCTTTTAAGTGCACGGCAAATTGGAGCAGAAACTGAAATATGCAGAACTTCTGTCCAAAGGATTATTCACAAGCATAGGTACCATCGATGTCACCTATGCTGGCATCAAGGCCTTCGTCCTCAGGATTTCGCAGCTCGAATGGAGTTTAGTAGAATAATTTTGGATAGATTAGGTCTTGAGTAGTGATAGTTGTTTGTTTATGTTCTTGTTATAGTTGTTTTTCTATATTTCGCTTGAAGCTGATTTATGCTGTTCGGATTGTTATTAGTTTTTAAGTCAAAGCTGTCCTCTTAGGTCCGTATCGTCAGTCGTCCCTACAATTGTAGGGCGCCTTTATGGCCTCCTTGATTGTCTTCTCCGTGTCAGAACTCTATTTTGAGGTTATGTCACAAACATCTATTTGCATCAAATTGTGCTTGCTTTTGAGTTATATCATGTTTAATCAGCCTGAAATTTCGTAGAATTTAAAAAGAAAATATATCTTCACAATAGGAGAGCGCTGACGCTGACACGGGACAAGTGTAATCTAGAAATTTTTGAAGGAGAGAAAGGCGAATGACAATCAAGGAGGCCATAAATTCGCCCTACAATTGTAGGGACGACTGACGATACGGGCCTAAGTGGCAATATGGAACTAGCCCACTATTTGACTTTTGTTTCCATGGATGATGAGATTTTATTTCTTAATTTTGGTGTGTTGTTCTATTAAACGCTTAATAGCTCAAAATGTAGTGATAGCTTATACCGAAAAAAAGCTTATAAAAAATTGAATCCAAACTTGCATAAATATACAGGGTGATGCATTTGAAATTTTTGAGAAAAAGTACAATTCGCGTTTTTGACCACCCTGTATGAGCAAAAATGAAAATTCGAAAAAGTAACAAATAAGATAAAAGCTGAGGTGTTTGAAGTTTTTTTTGATATAAAATTCAGCACTCCAAATTCCAAAATGGCGGATTGAGGGGTTGTTGAAGTGGACGGTTTTTCTGGACAAAACACCTTACATCTCGGTAGCTAATTACCAAAACCCCATAGTATGTTACATCAATTTTCTTCTTTTGAATTGGTTTATCCAAATATGCAATAAAACTTTAGGCATTCCATTTAAAAAATCACAACTTTGATATGTAGGTAAAAATTGGGACACCCTGTATAATTGCCAATATTTTAGAAATGTGCCCTCAAACGTCATGTATAACATGTCATAAATAGATTTTCCCAACATGTATTTGTTTATGAGTAATATTCCGTCCACACATGGATGGGTCACCCTGTAGTATACGTCCCATAATACATTAGAAGCTAATAGAAAACTGGTAATACAGATTGCGCTTTTTAGGCATACAAGTGCCTGTCTCAAATACAGTACTACAATTATTTCATCTTGTTATTTTTATTTGTATTATACCATTTTGTAATTCTAATTCTCTATTTACTTGTCACTTAGGATGAAACGCAGCTACTACCCTAGTTACTCTTACATTTAGAAAATCTAGGAACTGTATGGGCAAATCCTGGTCCACCGATTTGATATCCGATGAAAATCGATTTAGTATGGTACCTTGTGAAGTTTCGTGGAAGAACCGCATCTTCGTAGCTACAACACCTGTTAACAAGTAAACATATCATTCATCAAATATTTCTCTTTCACACACATTGCAAATTCGAATAAATTAGAAGGAGCGAATCTTATATGCTCAAATTGCATTGTTTGTCAATAAAATTGCGTAGTTTTAGTGCTTACTTTTGACTCAATTGACTACCAAAGTGACAACGTTGTATTGACATAATAATACTGTTGGAAAGATCTGTCGTTATTAGGCTTGTGCCGCGCTAAGCAAGTTGTATCACAAATATCTGAAAATACTCTCACTTTCGAAAAATAACAATACAATAACAAACAAAGCGTTGGCTTCCTACTTCTACCTAGCCAGGATTCGTTGAATATAGTTTACCTGTATAAAGATTGCTGTGTAGGTTATTTGATGCACACATACAAACGAACATGAATGCTACTGATCTGAGCAATGCAAATACTATGAGAGTCGATAATAAAAAACTGTACAAATAGAGGATGTGGGCAGATTCATAAACATCTCCAAATATAGCGCCTTCTGTAGTATGGTTTCCATCAGTGGAATTGTATATAGTCTGTACTCTGTTAACCCTGCAACAAACAAAATTGAAGCAAAAGTTATTATGACAACAACAAAATGATATTCGTAATTTTCAGGTGGCTCTCAAAGATCGGTAGGATCAATAGGAAACTTTACCAGCTCAAAGCGTGGCATATGAATAACAAGTAGCTGAGGAAGCTGACACACTGATTTTTGAAAAGCCTTCACAATTATTATGCATTGGTTCGTGGAAAGAGGTAAAATTGGTTGCTCCTATCTTATTTCTCATAACCCAATATCTGTCTCTTTCTTCAATATGCATAAATTGGTTAGGAGGCGTCTATTAATTACGTGAGGTGTCTAAGCTGAGGTTTTTTTCACATTATACGTTTTTCAAAAACATGAAAATAAAATAAATGATTATGGTTATCTTTACCAGCAAACAATAAAAGGATCTAGGACTTTGTTTTACAAAAATATTTCAAATGTTGGCCATTACTGTTTGTAATTCCAATTTTTGATCACTGTTTCGAGGAAGCCTAGCGGTATTTGATGAATAACGGAAGTAATGCTGATTTCTATTTGCTGATACCCTGTCTCTCTCTCTCTCTCTTTTTTAACCAGCTTTGAACATGCGTTCATAGATATACGCCTTCCGTACTAATTTACATTGCTTTCTAGCTGAGCATTCAACTTTTTCCTGCCAGTTCAATTGTATATGTATTATAGGTCCTAGTTGCTTGAATTCTGCAATGTGTTCTAATTTATTCTGCTTGACAACTATTTGTGATATGTCTTCTTGGTTTTCCATAATTTTTATTTATTCCATTTCTGTTGCCTTTCTGTCTAGTTCTTCAATATCTTCTGTAGCTCCTCCTTTTGTCTGTTATCAGAACTATATTGTCTGCATATCTCAAATGATTCAAGAGTTCTACGTTTTTTTTTATTTTATATGTTTTGATTCTAAATTTTTAAATACTGCCTCCAGACCCTGCAAAGGAAAAGTCTCGAGGTGTGAAATCTGGGCGACCAATTTTTCACGTCGCGCGTCGAAATGAAAAATTAACTGCTCGCTAAATCTAATCCCTCGAGGCTGGGGGTCAAAAGACTGAATGAATACCTCAGTACCGATTGCTGGATCACGGTCAAGTCCACCAATGGGCCACTTTGGGTCTACTCAACATCATTAACACGCAAAAAGAGGTCGTAGACAAGGACCAGTCGTCCGAGGCGATACCACCCGCTAGCTTTTTCCAGGGTGTCTTATGAATGTCCGCATGTTTCCATTACCTAAGCTGCGCAGTCGGTTATCTTTCCCAATAAAGAAATTTATGGTAATGGATCCCTCGAGTACTAACTCTCTGAATGTCCGGGTGGTTGGTGGACTCGAGGGAACAACATCGATAATAAAATTTGTTTCACTATCACTACCTCTTATCTAATCGTCCCGCCATGGTTTTCCTGGCGGAAATAAGAATCTCAAAGTCTGCACCGATTAATCATCTTAGCTTAACAAATTACGATGTGCACTCCAATCTGAGAATGATCGGAGTTATGGCTTTTGCCGCAGCAGTTGTATCAAAGAGGTGTGCAGCGAAGCTTACTCCAATTCGTCCGCGTCTCTCCCAATCTACAAGAGTTGTACTAACCTTAGGCAGTTTAAAACTCGGTTTTACGAAATTTCTTTGTGATCCTCGTACCAGCCGCGGGGCTTCTGCCTGCGAACTGCTTCGGTGTAAAAAAATATACAATTTTTGGTAAATTGTCACCGTTAGATTCAGGATACTCCACTCCACAAACTATAATATCATTCATATTGTGTCAAATAAATCTATGTCGAAAAGTAACCGCTAAATCTTTTTTAGTTATTATTTTCTAGCACATTTTCTTGAATTTATTTAAACATATCTTGTAAGGAAGTAAATATGAAACCTCAATAAAACGCCTAAAATATAATCAAAGCTCGCTACGTTCTGAAGGATAATGCCTCAGTATGTTTCGTTTTAAGTAATCTTGTTCTTTTTTGCATGAGTTGTACTTTCATAAAAACAGGACTGGCGATGTTCTCGTATGATCTATTTGGTATTGTGTATTATGCTATTTTTTATACATATTTTGTATGAGTGTTGTTTTTTGTGGGTGTGGTTGAAAAGCAGCTCAGGCTGAACTAGGCCTTTCATCACTTTGTCATTGCATTTTTTTAAGTTACCTCAAATATGACTAGAGCAGCATGAAGAGTTGAAAGTATACATCATTGAAGGTACTAAATAGTTTTTGTTCGCACGCAGTAGCGTAGCAAGGGGAGGCGGCGGGAGCGGGTCGCACTGGGTGTTACCTTTTTTGGGATGACACCCACCTTTTTCAGACTTGAACTCCAGACAAGAGTCTCTTCAAGATCTAGCTTCATTTTTTGAGATCGTACAAGCGAAAACTGTGCTTTTGATGAATACTGAAGAACTGAAATTTGCTTCATCCATCGAAGACTGCGAAGACACTTAAAGCCGCTAAAGTTACAGTTTCTGATTGGGTATCTCTATATTTTTTAAAGCTTATTGCAGAATGGGATTTTGCAGAATCTCTTCCAGATCATATGATTGCACTAAAATTGTTCATGATGGTTTTCGTGTCCGTAGCTTCATGAGAAAGGAGTTTCAGTGAACTGAAATTAATAAAAAACCATTGCGGCCAACAATGACACAGTCGTGATTCAGCCATCTTGGTATATTAGCTATCGATCTCGAGGCAATACAAAATATAATTTTGATGAAGTTATTTTTGAGTTTGCAGCTGTCAAAGCTAGATAGAAGAGATTTTAATTGTAAGATAAAAATATATTTTCTGTCTTACTTTTTATTGTGTTTGACACCACCAACTTTCGCATCGGGTACCACCCAAGGTAGCTACGCCACTGCTTACACGTTGTTATTTAAACAATATCTATATTTCATAGACAAGTTCAAAAAATGACAATATTTTCGAGTTTCTGAAAATATTGTGTGTCGCACAAGTAAAAATAAAAAGAATCCGCAAAGACTTGGAAAAAATATGCTCACTGGAGTCAAAAACGATGCACCCCGAATTATAATCACTGGTCTTGAAAGCTACCAAATTTTTGGTGCAGTGGTAGAACATCTGCCTTCTAGACTGAAGGCACCAAGTTCAACTGATGTCAGCAGCAACTCTCTTTTGCTTTTACTTCCTACTACGACCTAAATATTCTGAAGATCTAGTGCGGACTCGAAGTATTACTTTCGTTGATTTTTTATTGTAAATGTAAATAAAATATTGATCATATATCAATGTGAAGCTGGTAACTCTTACTTGCCCTTAGTGATCATGATTTTTACATATAAAACTGCCAAATATGCGCACTCGTGAAAGCGCCAAATATGAGCAGTGCCCATATTTGGAACACTATCATTTTTTGCTCAATTTAACTAAGTTTTTTTACGCTGGGCTCATTTTGTCAGAAATGATGCCAAAATAGTGGACTTCTGAGTCTTTAAGTGACACTGTTATGGTAATTCAGCAGGGTATGAAAATAAAGCGGACAGCAATGAATTTTGGTATACGACGGAGCACTTTACAATGCCATGCCAGATCTGGAAACAAAGTGAAACGTTTGGGTCGGAAATCTATCTTGACTAAGGACCAGGAAGACGAGTTGTGCTGAGATACGAATGCCCCATACATACACAATATTGCGCAGAAGTGTACACTCTTTTGGTCAAATAAACAATACTCAGTGGCCGTTTAACGAGCAACAGTCAACTCTGGTTGGAAGAAAAAGGCTGAAGTTATTTCTTAGACGGCACCCTGATGTTGCTCGAAGAAAATCTCAAAACGTTAATCCAGCACGAGCAGCAAAGCTAAATAAACTATTGTTGCACATTATTTTGACACTCTGAAAAAATTGATGACTGATCTAGATGTGATGGATACACCGCATTTAATTTTTGACATGGATGAGAACGGTTGTCAGCTAACTGTCCATAAGGAGCCTGTTGTGTTAACCCGCAAGGGAATTAAAAGAGTACCTTTTGTAGCTCCAAAACACGTGGAAAATGTCACTGTGGTGTCCTGTGGGAATGCTCTAGGATTAATGATACCTCCAGTCATTTTGTTTAAAGGCAAGAGAAATAAGCCCGAATTTTCTGATCATCTTCCCCTGGAGCTAAAATACTCATGACCCAAAAAGGAAGTATGACATGCACTACATTCGTTGAATGGGTACATCGCTTTACAGAACATAAACCTCCAGGAAATGTACTCACATAACATTGCTCGGTCTCCCTAGCAATCGTACACATGAGCTTATAACCCATGGACAAATCGGTTTTCCGTTTATTTGAATATCATTGGGATGATGAACTTCAGCGCTTTTGGGAAGTTCATCCAAACAGAAAATCAACAAAAGCAAGCTTTGGCATTGTATTTCCCAAAGTATGGCCAAAAGCAACTGTATCGGCAGTCTTTCGAGCAACTGGTATATATCCCTTTTGATCCGGCAGTAGTACCGGACACAGCATTTGCACCATCAACATCATCAGAAAGGCCTCAATAGAATATCGATAAAAATATTGTTGACCCTCCTGCAACTTCGTCTCCCAGACCTTCAACTTCACGAACACATATCGAAGAAGAAGCTACTTCTACAGATGAAAGTATGGAATTGGAGGCCTTTTCACCATCTTCTTCTCCTGTACAGTCCACTCCCGAAATAAGCGACCACTCAGACGGTGAACAGTCGCAATCTTTTTCACAGCTACTGCCAACACCAGAGCTTCCTGCTAAGTCTGCGGCTCGAAGGCCTGCCAAAAAGGCAATAAACTACAAGGCCGTTCAAGTCACCCGAACACTATTATATTTCATACAAAAAACACCCAATCAAAGATGCCACAGAATCCATCAAAGAAGCAAAATAAAGCTAACTGTACTGGTTTGTCCAATACCAAGGCAGAATCGTGGTAATGTCCTTTATGTGGAGAAGACCAAAAGAGAGATATGAAGCAGTGCAAAACATGGGTACACGAGGAATGCTGCAGTTTGACCTCAAAAGACATTATAAAAAATGTCCGATGCCCACAATGTGAAGATAGTGTTTAGTTTGTGAGCAGCTAGTTTTTGCTGCCATTTCAAGTTTGCGTTTCCCCCTTTTTTTGGATTTATATATTTTTCAAGTAATGAAATATTTACTCTTTTTTTAGAAATCTCTGTTAAATTTATGGAAAGCTCTGTTAAGTTTGTATTTCTTTGATTTATCTTGAGTCCAAAAAAATGCGTATCCAAATATGGGCACCCAGTGCTCATATTTGGAGACCAAGCGCCTAATATGGGCACTTGAAAGTTATTCATTGTTTATTTTTTTTGATCTATAATAAAGTTGTATTTTCCTATTCGATCAACATTTTTCTCATTTCCACAACCCAGAAATTTAATTGTTTTATAATGGATATTAAACGTTTGATGACATCATTTGCTTAGGGGTGCCCATATTTGGTCAAGTTACCTTATATCTTTCTGTGCAAAGAGGTATCTATATGAGTGACCCGTTATAATTTCATTATTACAAAACTAGTAGATGTAATATACATGGTTACATACAGTCTATGCACTATGTTTACCAAAGCAACCGGGACAATACTCACCAATTCCTGAGGAAATTATCGTTAAACGCACACACAGAATGGGCTACTAGGAACAGGAGAGCCATCCCAAGGAAATAACATCCACCAGCTCGGAGATATTCCCTATAAGTCGCTGCTTTTATCGTTCCCTGACGTATGATTTCATCTTTTCTCCTGGTAGGCCTGTACAAAAGTGATGCGTTATCTTTTGAATAGTTTCACATGTATCCACATTTGAAGACCTGGGAAACCGGAACGAAGTAATATTGTTCTAAGTACCATGATGTGAAGGGCTCAAAGCGAAAAGTTTCTATATTCTGCACAGAATAAGGATCAAGCTGTCTATGAAATACTGAACCGAAAAAGTCCTTACACCAGAGTTCGTAGAAGAACGCTTTAACAAAGGACTTGCTTAGTTTTTATGGAAAGCTATACGGGTCACCTTACGAGATACATTAGGATCTTGGCTAGAGCAGAACTGGATACGTACAAGCTCTGTAATATGCAAGATACAATCTCAATATATCCCATATATACATGCGAAAGTCAAGATTTTAGGTGGTTAGAATCGAGAATCTAATAGAGGAAAGATACATACAAAGCAAATACTAAAGGTTCAAATCTCACCTATTTATTAGAGGTGTCCTTTCATTAATTATGTTGTCTTCTTCGCCCGTCACAGTGGTAGTGCCCATAATATCATGAGCATGATTACTTGCACCTTCTGAGTCAGTTAATTCTTCACAACTCCCTTTTCTTTCCACATTTCCATTCCGGATTTCGTATACTCGTATATCGTCAACATTTCTTAAAAAGTATAATATCATGTGGAGAGAGTAAGGTCTCAAGTGCCTAAAGACCGTTTTTTAAATATTTGAGAAAATGAAATCTCAGATATTGAACAAATAACCGCATTGGCGTTTCGGCTGTAGTGTCAGAATTTGCGAAGTGCAAAATAAAAAATAATTTCATGTCATTCAAGTCCCTAGTCTACGTGCGTATGCGCGCAACACCTGGCAGGTAACGTCTCGCAGACATCGCCTTAAGGCTTTACAAGAAATGTTGATTTTGCGTTTATTTTTATACAAGAGTTTCTTTTAACATCACTGTTATATTGATTATTTAAGCATTCCATTATCAGAACTTTGTGTTGTAGGCTTTAATATTACTTAATCGATGAAGATCACTAATTTGTTGGTTAAGTTCACTAACTAATAAGAAATTATTTTATCTATGGGCTCTTCACCAACGATTTAGTCATTTTTTTGAGTTTATTCCCAGCCCAGCTTCCCTATATTCTCAATGATTTTGATATGTATCATATGTTTTATGCTTTTGGCTTTATTTGCATAATTATACGTGATTTAAAGCTCAAGAGGTATTGTTATAGTCTTGATTTTTACCAGCATCATCTTATTCTACATATTTTTCTATCAGGCATCCTGGAGGGTTCGATTAGCTTTACCAGAAGGCTCTCATGAAGAGAGAGTCATAGAATTTGCTAATTTCAAAAAAAAGCAGTTGATTACTATTGTAACCTCGTAAGAAAATATTGTGAATAAATGGCATGCCATTTGGACAAATCAGATTTTGAATTAGCTACCTGTGACCATATCTAATCGTATGCAATTTTGTTTCATTCCTTTTAGCAATAGTCAGTACGGTATAGGCCTAGTCGATGGAAACATACAATGTAGGGCAAACGAGCGAATATGGATCTACTAGCACTGCCACCTATAAGTAGTCCGCCAAACACGATACTACCGACCTATACCGTTCTGATGAGAGCTAGAAAACATTAAACAACGTTGTATACAGTTGGTTATGGTCACACAGACGGACGCTATAGAAATTCTATACAGCCTATTTACTTTATACAGCTTTTGAATTGTAGGTCCGAGCTTGGTGAGCACTTAGTGCTCCCCTGAGTGACAGGACGTCGACATAGTGGGCGACACTCCATTTCGTTCAGAGGTGCCGGGAAATGTAGACGCAGTTTCGTGCTACCCACGTTCAGCCACATCGGTGGTTCATGCAATCTGGCATATTACCTTAAAAACTCCTGGTTGTGGGTGACCAATACAATGCACTTGTCTTTCAATAGCCCCATGATACATTCTCGAAAGATGTGTTGCCCCACAACATTGTCTACAGCCGATAGAGGATCATCCAATAAATAAATATCAGCCTCTCTATAAACAGCTCTTGCCAAGTTGATCCTAGCTTTCTGGCCACCACTCAGCGTACTGCCTTGAATAGTAGATAGCATTTATACTCGGGTACGGGACGTTATACTCATACTACTCTCTTCCATATAAATACCAGACAATAAAGTAATCATATCAAGAGAAGATTTCGCCTTCATAATCCCTGGACCTTGACCTTGGTCATCTGCATTATACTAGGAAAGCCAATTTCAAACTTTTTGTTATATAATCGCGTACTGATATGATACATTGGAGTTTGTTATTTTCACGGTTTTTGATGTCAAAAGGTCATAGGAAATTAGCACCAAAGTATCGACTTAAGGCCAAGGCTAAGTCTGGCAATTATGTCAAATAGATCGACGGTTGATCGAATAGGCAATTTGAGGTAAACATTTTTTGTTACTAAACTTAATGGCGTCATATTCCGCGTAGGGCCCTTAAGGTTAAATAGCCATGTGATGACTTACAGGTTTTGAGTAGAACTTGTCTCGCGAAAAGTGTGATTTGTAACCTCATTAAATTTGAATTACACTTCGTAGGCCACAAACCGATGATAAATATCCCCACCATGAATAAATTTCCAAACAAAAGTAAATTTGAACAAAATGCTTCCACTACCAGTGATTCTGAATGAATTCATTCAAAAAGCATTATCTATCTGGCAACACCGCATATATCTCCGACTAAATAAGAACAACACGAATTTAGACGTCATCAGCTATTTTGTGAACGCCAGTTTCCGAAATGTATCCGCCTTGTCTGTCTCCTCTTGATATAACTACTCTTTGACCAAACTATGTATGTTATATCAGATTTAGCAAAAAAATGAAAGGGTTTTCCAATAAAAACGGGTCGTTGTTGAGATATATTGCTGATGATTGCCAATAAGCATGGAATGATGTCGTAAATTGTAGGTTGAACGCACGAAATAAGTATTTCTGTCCAATGGAGACATTTGGTCAATACTTTCTTTGAATGATGCCAAAAAATGCCAATGCTTGTTTTTTTCATTTCAACATTGACCCTTCTTTATTTGAAATTTCTTAATTGATCGAAACCTTTTCCCTCAAGAATCGTTGCATCTCCTTGAGGCAGTTGTCGGAAATCAGCGTCTAAGCTACACACCCTACAAACGTCTGTGTATCTCGTTGGATCAAATGCCTCTCTGAAAATAATGTTCTCCCTTACAGTCCCTGGAAATATCCATGGTTCCTGAGCTGTAGACGATATGGTTCCGTCAACGTATACTGCACCATTGATTACGGGTACTTCGTTTAATATCACTTGCAAAAGGCTTGTTTTTCCACACCCTAGAAATCATATTAATAATCGAATTGGTTGTACAGTCCAGTAAAATAAATATTTTGAAAATGACGTGGAACATTAGATTGATTATGTACGTTCCAGAACGGTCAGTATATACAAAAGACTTAAATGAGACAGCATAAGGTGTCATGTATTTCCAGAATCTCCCAGTGCAAGAGTGAAACAGCAAGCCGTCTCTTGGAACTATCCTTGTTTAACAGCCGGGTCACCACTGTCGCCGCTAGATGCCGCCAATTTAGGTGGTAAAATAGATACGGTCTACTCGTCATTGAACCAATTATTGATAGAACTCTGCGCTGTCGAATACGAATCGGGATACAGCTCCTATAGAGAGCTTGCTGTTTCACTCCTGTAGTGACCGATTTAGATAATGGATCGCACTTTGTGTTATCCTATTCCGATAGACATTATATCCTGGACAAAGCATTCGTTCATTATCCACCTGAGTCCAAGCCTACACCATGCTGATGAGTTGTCAAAAAGCATAAAAGAGTGGTCCATGGTAGTCCGTCTATGATCAGACGGACGAAAGATATGTTAGTAGTTCGACTAGATATGTACATAAGCACGTTATGCTGGTAAACCTATTGAAAGTCAATCTATCATATTTCTGAAATGCGAAAGGCTTTCGCGGCCATCATCCAATGGTTGGTTTTTGGGTAGTTAGGCCGTCGTAAAATATTTTTACTTGACGTTTCGCCAACACAAGTGGTTGCCATCTTCAGAAGGTGTTCACAGCTCGTGGTCGTGTGCGCTACGACGGCCTAACTACCCAAAAACCAACCAAATAACATATGATACTTTTGTTTCAATCACAAATGTTTTCAGTTATTGACTATTCTACCTAACAAATTTCATAGCCATCCACACAGTCCCCAACCCCCAATTGTCAACAGATTCAATTTTCTTGAAAATGGAGATGAGTCTCCGAAAGAAGTTTCAGTGACTTTGTTTTTTTTTCGTAGTATCGAACCCACAGACAGTAGTTGAACTCTTTCAAAACAGTATATGAAAGATTCAACTGCGGCAAATCTGACCTTCCAGAGAGGCTTTGCAGATAGATGTCCGCAACATATCCATCCTAATTGATGTCAGTGGCCTTGCTCCTCAGAGTTCTCCTCCACGATGCCGCCGTGGGATGAGCCTGCCAGACAGACCCGCCTGACATCATCCATTCTAACCGTGTCAAACATCATACATCCAAAACTAGCCGTTCCGTCGGCCCTTTGTCGCTAGGGTGTCGACATTGCCTGAGGATGCTTCTCCCAGATCTACTAATCTTTTACAGGTCAAAAATCGGATTAACAAAATACACATATCTTGGAGCTCCTCATCGCAGCCGCGCGTTGCCTCGGTATTTAGGCTCCTGCATACGCGGCTGCTTCGGTTTAAAAAATCTACATGTGTCAAGTGTGACACCTGGAGCCCCTTCTGCCGCAGATCTCGAGGTTCCTGTGTGCCCAGGAGTCGCTACATAGCTTAAGATGGTCCTGCACTCAGCACTCAAGCCTCACTTAGCACTCAAGTGAGGATTAAATTCATACAGATGTTTACTACTATTGAAGTTTTGTGACTTACCAACTGCTCCTGTGATCGCCACCGTTTCTTTCCTCTGTACTTCAAGATCGAATTTATTTAATACGTTTCGCTCTCCATCTTGACTCCATTTTGCTGAGACACCTAAGAAGGCTATGGCAGGTAATTGCTCACCCGATTGTCTTGTACTACCAGGTAACATCGACATTGGTCTTATTCTGTTTGGTGATATCTATAGGGAAAATTAGTAAAATAGTTATATTCTTAACCTTCAGAGTACTTCTAATTTTAGGTATCCATGAGGATTAAGAAACAAACTCGCGAGTTTTCTTAAACCCCAATAATATGAGCCTGTCGCAAAATCAGTAGTTGACTGGCATCTATCAACTACTTGCCTGCCAAGTAAAAGAATAAAGGACTTTCGTACACACTTATAAATGCATCTAGGTATCCCTCTTTAGTCGGGCACTGTCGCAAAATCAGGTCTTAACTGATATGTCTTATCTACAAGTTACATTTTTACCAAATTTCATGTTCATAGATCAAATAGCTTTCTAGATTTGGTGTTAACACTTTTGTATACATCAGTCCTTAGCCCCCTTTATCTCGCCCTGTTGCGAAATCCGTCCTGAGCTGCGCCTATAAAGTATGTTCATTGGTCAAATAGTTTTTGAGAAAGGTTATAAATATTAAACCCTCACATATCCAGTCTTGAGGATATAATTCCTAGAGCTCTTGATTAACATGTTTCATTCACTCCCACTTGTAGGATGGGAGCAATCTCTAACACTTTTTGTTCTTCGGCCTCAAGAGTATTAACCTCCACTTTCAATATCCAAAATTTATATGTCAGCTTCCACTTATACTCGTATTATATCAACGAACCCAATATACAAAAGCCATATTTGTATATCTAACTTAAAGGATGTCAGTTTGACCATAGTAACCTTCAACAGCTTCAATTTTTATTTTCGCAACAAAAGGTAGCCTGTGTCTGTCTCCAAGATCTAATCTATCCAGATATAGATCTATGCTAAAATTTATTAAAATTGGTTCAGCAGTTTTGACATGAAAACAGAACATATGTACATACATTCAAACATCCTTCTAGATTTATAATAAATGTACCAGGTATGTATATTAAGTGATGAGACTTGCAATGGGCGTTAGATCTCGCAACACTGGAGGCGCTGGGCTTAGAAGGGAGACACGGGAACATGTGATCCGCCTTCAGTACAAGTTTGAACTCGCTCGAGTCATTTGGTTATCCGTAGCGATGTTTTTGTGAAACAGTTTTTCCTATTGTGTTCTAGAAATGGATGACATCAATTTCAAGCCGCGGTGTGCTATTAGGTTTGGCTTCAGACTTGGACATAGTGCAACGGAAACTCTTGCTAAACGTCGGCAGGCCTATGGAGATTGTGTTTTGTAAGGAGCCCGGTTTTTTCGATGGTTTAAGGCATTTTTAGAAGGGAGATAATCGATTGAAGATTCAAGAACCAATGCAAATATCGACAGAATCCGGGATCATGTGCGTTCAGATCGTCGGTTGACAGTCAGAATGTCCGAGGAAGAGCTACAACAGCAATGTCGATAAACGACTTTTGGGTCAGTAAGAACATTCCTGTGGCTCCTCAGTATTCTTATTTGCCTTTCTTGAGTCCTTGTGACTTTTTTCTCTTCCCGATATTGAAAAATCACCTCAAGGGAACTCGCTTTGGGACAGTCGAAAACATTCAGGCTTCTGACCGACCAGCTGAAGGCTATTCCAGTATCGGAGTTCCACCACTTCTTTGAGGAGTGGAAGAACCATCTGTTGCGCTGTGTGGCTTCAGAAGAAAGTTATTTTAAGGGTGACATTATAAAATTGCAATTATATTTGAATAATATAATCAAGAAAATCAGTCTTATCACTTAATTTACAGACCTCGCATTGCATGCACGATGCAAATTCTCTATTTATATACCCTTGCTCATTTCGGTTGAACCAATATCATGTCAAAGTCCTCTCCCTGCAGACATTCGTCAGAAAATTTCTGACAAAAGAGCTGCAATTAAGCAAGCGAAGAGGTCTTGTCACCCAGATGACATTCACAGGGCAACTAGTCTTGTTCATGAAGTGAGAAATGCTCTTCATGAATTCCGTAATGAGCAATGGACTTTCTGTCGGGGATGCTTGACTCAAGTATTCCTCTCTGGAAAGTTGCAAAGTCGCTCAGAAATGGAAACCGAGAACAACTGCCGCACATCCAGTGTCCTAGGGGCTTAGTCTGTAGGACAGAGGAAAAGGTCGTTGTTTTCGCTGATGCAATGGAAAGTCAGTTGTCTCCTAACTATGACCTTGATAATGACCTCGACGAGGAGCAACATATTGTAAGATCCGTCAGGAGATATTTCAGGGCCAACGGCGTCAGTGGCAGTAGTGCCTCCCTTAGTCATTTTTCCTCAGAGGAATCTTCAGAAAATTCCTCAATTGAAGAGCTGCACGGCACATCAGCGGAATCTCCTGAGACTCCGCATTGCACACCCGCAGAGCTCCAAGGTCATATTAAAGACCTCAAGGTGCGTAAAGCACCTGGAGAGGATCGAATCACTAATAAGGCGCTGAAGCTACTTTCGCAGAAGTCCTTAACTTATCTCGTGGCAATAATCAATGCCATGCTAAGGACCCAGCACTTCCCAATGGCGTGAAAGACCGCTGATGTCATAATGATTCCAAAGAAGGTGGGTTCGATATTCCCCCAGGATTACCGCCCCATTAGTCTACTGTCAGCTCCTTCTAAACTCACTGAAAAGGTGATTCTACGACACCTTGAAAATTTCTCGGCAGACCAGAATGTGATTCCTGACGTGCAATTTGGCTTTCGGTCTGAGCATAGTACGGAGCTACAGGCCATAAGGCTTGTTGAACGGGTAACCAGGGGGTTCACCCGTAACGAAAGTACTGGCATCTTGCTACTGGATGTCTCAAAGGCATTTGACAAGGTGTGGCACAAGGGCCTTCTCTACAAATTGATCCATAAGGGCTTCCCCTTCTGACTCCTAAAACTTTTGAAATCCTTTCTCGAGGGTAGGAAATTTAGGATCAAAATTAATAACGGTCTGTCGACAACACGGCACATCAAAACCGGTGTCCTCAGGGTTCGGTTCTTGGACCAGTCCTTTATTCACTTTTTATTCATGACGACCCTTGCCCCAGCAGCTGTGAAACCTATCTCTAAGCTGATGACACTGCCCTGGTGGCCCAGTCGTGCTCTGGGGATCTAGTTCACGACAGGCTGCAAAGTGCAGTGGACGAGGTATGGGAATGGGCGGGTCGGTGGCTGATCAAAATTAATCATTCGAAAACGCAGGCAATCTATTGTACTAAAAAACGTAGCGACGCCCCGTCTGAGGTTTCAGTGAATGGAGCTCGGATATCATGGGAAAGCTCTGCTAAGTATCTAGGTGTCACTCTTGACATGGGGATCTCATTTCGGCAACTCTACCCTATGCTATGTAGAACATCAAAATTAAGTTTGATCAACAAAGTTCGGCTATACAAGATGATTATTAGACCATCCATCACTTACGCAAGTGCAGCTTGGTGTTTTCTCGCCAAAACGCATTTGCGTAGCCTGCAGGTTTTGCAGAACAGAACCTTGCGCGAGTCAGTAGACTACACAGTGAACAAAATTAAATCGTGCGACTTTAGCTCCAACCAAAATTATAATTTTTCTTCAACAACCAATCCCAAAATTAATTTTAGGATCAATTTAAAATTGCCGAATACTAACTAGCAATGCCAAGGCACCCCTCAAATTGATGCACTTCTTTTTTCTTTGCTCTCCCTCCTTCCTTCCTTCCTTTCTTCTTCCCTTCTTTCTCCATGACTTTGTTTGGTATCTGGGCAACCAGACCTGACAGTCCTACTGACTTACAAGACTTCAACCAAGAGCAAAGGTCCTACGGACCGCTCTGACAGACAATGACGAATAGTGAATAGTGATGTCAAAGTCCATCAAGCGAATTGGGCTGTAGCCCATCATATAGATATTTCACACTTATTTTCCGGGATAAAAGTTTCCTGTGTGCTGTTCCAGACTATAATCTATCCCTGTACCTAATTTCATCCAGACCCGTTCAGTCATTTTGGCGTGATTGAGTAACAATCATCCACACCTTCTCATTTACAATGTTATATCTTTGTACCATTATTATATATTATATAGTACCGATTCGTAGGGAAGAAGGTAGTATAACTAATTCTAATTAGATTATTTTATCATGGAAACAAAATTAAGGAGAAAGACTAGTATCGAGCTAGCGTGTTTGCCCCTTTTGCTGTAGATCGATAAAGCTGACAGCTATGTCAATCAGCCTTTTTGAAAACACAACTGAAGCCAACTGAGCAGCAAAACCTGCTTCGGACGCACTTTATGTACTGAAGCAGCCGCATAGTCAGAAACTTAAATGCCGAGGCACCCCAGCTGCTATAAGTAGCCTAAACCTAAAATCTTCCTCAGTCAACTTCGATACCCTAGGAACAAAGTGGCAGATGTACGAAGTCCGACAGAGTTGGGGTGATAGGCAAAAGCCTAGCGGGTGCATCTGACGGGCTTAACGCGGCAGATGTGCTAATTATACAGGGTGTTCCTTAATGATATGCATATATTTAAGGGTGTGAATCTACACGAAAAATTAATGTTAGTTTGCTCTAACAACTATGGTCCAAAAATGTTTCCTTACAAAAACTCGGAGTGTTGAAGTTTTAAGAAAAAGATGGAAATTAATTAATATTTTCAGAACTGCTTCAGATATCTCACTGATATTTAGTACGTAGTGAAAGTTAATAAAGTTGCATATTTTTCAATGTAAAAATAATTTTTGTTATATCCTTACCATATTTTAAGAGTACAGGCATTACTTCTCATTGATTTTCCAATGCGTGTGACCTTTTGTCAGTGGTATCTTCAAAAAATTACACAAAATCCGTAATTTGAATCAATGAATCTGTTCACGGACGAAGCTAATTTTTCTCGAAATACCATTCAGAATTTCCACAATAATCATTTGTGGGCAGAAGAAAATCCCTATGCCGTAACCGAAACCCATTTCCAACACCAATTTTCGGTATGGGCAGGAGTTATTGGCAACCACGTTATTGGCCCATTCTTCTTGCCGGGACGACTTGACGGACGGACTTACCTCAATTTTCTTCAACAACAGTTGCCTTGCGAATTTAAGTGTAGTTAAATTAATAATAATTTTACAATCTAGACAATAGAACGGTTTTTATTTTTTTACTCAAAAATGACGCATCTAAGAAAAAAAATCAAGAAAAATCATTTGTTTTAAATTGAACGGAGAATTCAAAAATAGTTTGGCAAAAACCATTGGCGTACCATTTTTTCTTAAAAAATATCAATACCCGTACGCACACCACTGTTAAAGCTAAAAACTATTTTTGCATTGAAAAATATGCAACTTTATTGACTTCCACTACGTACTAAATATCAGTGAAATATCAGAAGCGGTTCTAAAAATATTAATTAATTTCCATTTTTTCGTAAAACTTCGACACTCCGAGTTTTTGTAATGAACCATTTTTGCTCCATGTTTATAAAGCAAAATAACATTAATTTTTCATGTAGGTTCACACCCTTAAATATTCGCATATCGTTAAGGAACACCCTGTATAGTATCATGTGACGATTAGTAAGTATTAAAATGCCATATCATAAAAATTATATATACCTGACACTGCGATTTATTTTGCCTCATCTCAAAACAGCTGATTATTTTGAATCGTGACGCTATTCGATTATACACTTTTTCAGTCTTTGACTTTTAGGTTTCTGAACCACGCCTATGCATCAAAATGATGTTCAGAGCAGTATAATAACAATATAAAAATAAATCTAATTCTTCTATGTTTTGGCACAGGGAAAAATGTTTTCTGGATATGATATGCTTGTATATGAACATAGGGTACAAATACGAAATTTGTAGGTCGGGGTCTGACACATTTTTTACCCATTTTTACCATAAATCGTAGATACAGAGCATAACAACGTTTGTAAATATAGCGCGAAGCGTGCACGGCGGACGCATCGCTGTGTGGTCACACACTCCAGCCGGACGATTCTCAGAATAAAAACTTCCGGATAGCGTCAATTTTTTTAAATGTTCAAATGTTTTGACTGCTGTGCCCCACTGAGCAGGTGTCCCATTTTCGATGATGTCATTCCTCAAAAGTCCCCATGAATCCAAGTGAAAGAACACTATTTTCCATATATATTATATATATATATATATATATATATATATATATATATATATATAGGTATTACCTTTTTTGTTCAGTATAAAATTCTCCACAAAAGAGGTTCCATGCATTTTTTTCGTAGAGACCGCCAATTTACAGAACATTGCGTGAAACTGTTGTAATTGACAAAAATCAAAAATTTCACGTCAAACCGTATTTTGACATCGTTTTCTTTTTGAATGTCTGTGGTAGGGGCTCTATAAGTGTCCCCTCTTGTGACCTAGAGGACAGCTGGCCCTTTTTTCTGTGTTAGGATATACGTCACTGTATACCTGACTGTGGGGCATTGACGTCATTTGACCAGTCTTCAGACCAGTATTCTGCTATTCTCAGTTGTATACATATATATAGACGTCAGATTATTTCTGACAGTTTTTACTTGATATTATTCACATATAAATTGTTAAATGGCCGAAAATTGCATCATTTGCGACAAATCGGTGTCAGACGGGCGACTGTTTGCGTCGAGCGCGGTATTAAAACCTTACATGACGCCAGTATCGAGCGAAATGATGGAAAAATTACATTCTTGCGGAGTGTTGAATCGATCAGAGTGCACGTGGTGTGTCGCAAAGAATATAATCGTGCAAGTAGCATTACTGCTGCTAAAAGGGAGATGCTAAACCCAGCACCTTGACCGCTAGCCCTCCTCGGTCATTGCTACGTATCTTTTGCGCGACCTTTAACTGCCCGAAAGCATGGGAGACCTCAAGATATCAACATCTCTTGGGCAATGGAGAAAATTACATTGAAATTAATGATGACTGTCAGTTCACTTTATCGGAACTGAAAAAGGTATGTACTGATCTTGTACCTGACGATGTTACTGTATGACAATCGTAAATCTGATGAGAAAGAGGAACGTTTTAGAATTTTAGAGGCAAACGACAACATCGAGTGCAGCTCAAGCACATTCATGTCGTTTGTATTATCAAGTCTAGAAATGGATTGGAAAGAATTTGAATCCATTGGATTGGGGATGGACTATGACCAACGAATGTTTACAGCCAATAGAAACTCTATTGCCACCTGCTCCTGATGTCTTATTAAACACAATCTTTTGTAATTGTACGAAAGGTTGTGGAGCTAATTGCGGATGTAGGAAACTTGGCCTTCACTCTTCCACCATTTGCGGCTACTGTCATGGACAGTCATTTCCTATGCTCAACACTTGAGGTTGGCGAAGACTTAGATGATGCCGCATCTTGTCACATTGGTGATTAAGGAAAAAAGTAACATTAACATCATTTTTTCATTCTATCTTCATGAATTAGGCCTATTGGGGATACCACATAAAAAACAACACGTCTGGTACTTTACTTCTATGGTGACGTGGAAAAAAGTACGTTATTGTACAATGTTCTCAATGTTCAACATTGAAAGTAAGACTTCTTTGAAAAAACGATATCTACGGAAAAAATGCATTCAACATTTTTTGTGGATAACTTCATACTGAACAAAAAAGGTAATAGCTCATCTTACCGTAGAATTGATATTTCTGAAGATATACGGAAAAAAGTGTTTTTTGTGACCTTACAAAAAAAACTCCACTTGGATTCATGAAGACTTTTGAGCGATTATTTATAATGCTGAAAAGAAGCTGTGGTGAAAAATTCAGCCAGATTGAATTTTTTCAGCAGGGAAATTCTAATAGTCCTGGACTATAACGTCTAACATATCGCAAAGCTAAAAACTGGCTCTTGGACAATTTCCACATAGAATCCAGTGGCGTAGTCAGATTTTATTCTGTGAGATGCTAATTTTTAGCTAAAAATCAAACTTAAGTTTTATAATGGTTCACCCTGTATATTTTTCTCATTTGATTGATAATTTTATAGCTTTACAATAATATGGAATGTATTTTAATTATAATTAATTAGTATTATAATTAATTAATAATAGATCCAAAATTCATAATTTCACAAAATGTGACACTATACGACACTCTTGATAAGTATTGTATAAGTATTGCTAGACCGTGATTACTATATAATAATGGAATGATTATTTTCTAAGCCCTTGTCAAAATCTGTTAGTTCCAAAATTTAATTTTTTTGTGAGATATTATATTTTTCTGCGATGGCTGAAAATAACAATTATTATAGACATTTTGAAAAATATGACATGTTAGGCTGCTTTATACAGAGAAATGAAAACTCCTGTGAAACTTACTAACTATATTTCAATAGGTTTGTTTGAATACCTATTCACCTTTTGACGTATGTGTTTCTTTTAATATCATTTTAATTTACAGTTATCCAGAAAGAAAGCAACCTAGTATTTTAATGTTTTCCCGAATTAAGAATAAACATGGGCATTTATCTGGCTCCGACAAAAAACGTACAATAAGAAAAACGTAAATTATAATACCAGGTATTGGTCCCAAGAAAATCCCCATGTGAAAAAGTAAAACAACAGGGTTGATTTAGATTTAACGTTACTTATTTTACTTTAGGGCGTTAAATACAATGTAAAATTTATGGAGGCAGTCTTTCAGAAGACAGATATCTTGAAATTTTGGAATTTTGGTCTGTGTTACTGGACAATGTCCTTGACGGGATACATTTCCGACAGGATGGTGCGTCCGACCACAATGCCCGAATTGTTCAAACTTTTTTAGACAAAGATTTTCTGCAAAAATGGATTGGTACTAATGGACCAATCAGATGGCCTCCTGAATCGCCCGACCTATCCGTTCTAGATTTTTTTCTGTGGGGCCATTTGAAAAATAAGATTTATAGTACCTGTCATCGGGCAATAGTGATAGAAACTGATTTATTATTTAAAATACATACCATGTGTTATATATTTCTGTAAAGCTTATAAACTTATCAATCAAACGAGAAAACAAATATGGAAAAGCTAAGTTTGACTTACAGCTAAAAAATAACAGCTGACTGCAAAAATTTGACTACTCTAATGTATTTTACGTAAAATAACTGGGGCCGATTTTTATCTCTGCGATATGTTAAAGAATAACGAAGATATGAGGGTGATCCCAAAAAGCAATATTTTCAATTCCTTCCTGTATAACAGAAAAGAAGGGGGTATAAAAATTGGATTTATACCATCTGTCTTCTCACAAAAAGGTAGTACAGTATTGTGCAACTCTCTATATTTACTCGTAAGCGAGATAACCCATAATATCATCGAAAATGGGACTCAGACCATCATTTTAAATGTTTTTGAAAAAATAGGAAACTTCCTCATTATGACCTTCTGTGCACCCTTCCTCTTTACCTACCTCTTTTCCGGTGAGGAATGCAGTGATCCGTTTGATAGAGATCCAGGCGTCTGTCATCGTTGTAACGGCAGTCGGCACAGATGCTACCATCGTCTGCCGCAGTACATTGAAGAAGGATGTTATAGTGAATACGTATATGGCCGTAAGAACGTTGCCTGATAAAATGAATCCCAACACAGAGAGGAACAACGCACTTTGACTTAGGAACAATTTGAAGGAGGCAAACATCGCTCGAATCCAAGATGTTCGTCGAATTTGCTTCAACTCAGCTCTGAAATAGTCGAGAATTGGAAAAATTAACTGTCCTGTATCATATTGGAGGAGAGTAACATAATAAGCATGATTGAAATCCAAATATACATAGAATAGTAGACTTATAGAAACATTGGTCGTTTACTAATTTTGAATTCTGCATCTTATTCTGATGACCTAGGGAGTTTGTGATTTTCCAACTTTGAAGATGTACCACAAGAAACCTTGAACTATAGTGTCTAGACATATTTTTCGTCTTATCCGAATACCTTACTACGATTTACTACGTAGGTACTAATAAAACTATATTCTGCGTATTTCATTTACCTTCTGATTTCTTCGATTTTTTCGTAAAACGATTTCTCCCATGCATACATTTTGATCACTTCAATGCCGGATATGATTTCATTCATGACTTCCATCCTTTCTTCCGTTTTTACATCAGCTTTTGCCTTAAATGTGGAGAAGTACCTCCCGAGACAAACTACAACAAAAAATTATCTCATTAATGCAGATTAACCCAATACATAAACCAAGTTTCATGATACTGCTGATAGTGGAAACCTCGCATTCGTTTACATTTTTTCCATTTCCCTTAGATCAAGATATTGCCTGGCTGCAGCCTAGTGCAAAACACTTTTTACAAGTAAATTACAAAAATGTGTTTTCTCGCTTCGGTTGTTTTATTTTTGAACAGAAGAAGTTGTTGGGATCTCCTCTAAAATTGGTTGTTTTGAGCGATTTCATTTCTGGTAAACAGTGAAAAATGAAAATTTTCAATGCTCAGAAGCTCAATTAAAATCAATGATTTTGGGGTTTAAGCGATCTCTAAAAGTTCAAATCTTCGTGTTCGCGTGGCCCATAACTCATTATTGACAATTAAACAATTTTTTAGATCAAGTTGATAATGGCTGTAACCTCGTTGATTGTTTAAAAGAGATTAACCTCAAGAATGTAGCATATTGGATAGCAGAAGCATGGAGCCAAGTCAAAAATTCTGCTTTACAAAAATCTGGGTCGACAATAATTAAGCAAGAAATGCGCAGAATATGAGAATAATACCGAAAATATACATGAGTTCGTCGTAAAAATAGCAGGGTGTGAAAATATTACCCAAGCAGATGTTGTTGAGTGAATTAATCGTGATGAATTGGTGAAAGAATTAATTGATACAGAACTAATAAAAACTGTTTGTAACAATGGCGATGAGACAGTTTTAAGGGATGCTAGTGACAATGAGTCATAAATCTCTGAAAAAATATCACATTCTGAGGGATTAGAAGCTTTACAAAAGGCGTTGACTAACGTCAAACAACAAGAAAATGCGACAGCAGCTGATGTGCTACTTATAAAACTTTGGAGGGATATTGCTGTCAAAATTAGAGACAATGCAAAACGTGTACAGTTAAAAATTACTTCCTTTGTTACTAAATACTCGAAAATATGTATGTTTGTATCCACATGTTTATATTTTACGTAACTTTATAAAGGAATATACTCGCTTAACACAAGTATTTACTTTTTTCAATAAAAGCGTTATTAGTCTAAATATTTATTTCCGTTTTATCCGAAGTTTTGATTATCCGAAATGGTCTACATTATTTCGGATAATAGGGGTTCTACTGTATTAGATAGTAAATGAAATTTATTTATTTACTAATCTACGTATTTTCTTAACAGCGTGTCGCTCATGCACTGACAATCAGTTTGTCAACGGTAAATAGGTTATCTTCTCAACGCAAAGCTAGTAAAGTACCTGAATCCCCCAAAAAAAACGTCCTCACAAGAAGACTGTCACTAAATTGACTTCATCCAGTCAAGCAGCAATTCGTGATGTGATATACGATATGTATAAACAAAGTAAGTTTTTGTACATCGTCCTAGGGTCTAGTAGTTTTAATTAATGTAGCAATCATGTGCGTCACAGTCATTAATTGACGTTGTGACGTAACTGCTTTGATCCAGTGAATATACTGTAGGTTTTACTAATCCGAAGCACAAAATTGAACCTAGGGTACAAGCTCGACCAACGAGAAGGCGTTTTTGTTCATTCGCGTTCAGGCACAGTTTGCGGAAATGGGCTCAAAATCGGCCAATCAAAAAGAATGTGCGTCATACTCGAAGCATATGACATCAATCACTGAGTATTTTAATGAAAATAACATGGTCACTACTTACGTGAGACAGATAACTTTGAAAAAAAGAATTTATTTTCAACAATTCATCAACATATTCAAAGAGTCAACCTACTCGTTTAATGTAGTTTTTAGATATAAACCACCGTTTCCAGCTACGGTTTGCAGGCGTTATTTATTTATAAGATAAATATTTGCAATTATTCTATTTGGCAAGCATGTAATGAATATTTCTTTGTTGATATATATGTGTATAAACTGGAGGACACAACTATAGCGCCACCAACTTTGGGCTTTTTTTAGATCGGTCCAATTATAACTTGATATACCTCGCAGGGATGGTAAAACAAACAAAAATAATAAATATAGAGCCATCTCTGTAAGTTATATGAAGTTACATTTCATCCACCTGGTGGGGCTATAGCTATGCTTTCTAGTATACAGTGTGTCTGAGATTTGCTTCTCTATACAGGGATCTCGGCTCCAGTTATACCTACAGCAAAGATTAAATGGGGGACAGTTTTAGAGGAAACTTAGTGCATTCGACAGCCTTCTTCAGATGTACGATTGGTCATTTGATTTTGGAAATATCGGCGTAAAACCGAACATGTCGAATTTTGTTTTTGTCAGTAAATCCAAAACGGTTAATTTGACAGCTGTCAAAATGTGGCATTTGTTTTCCCACAACCTGCCTTAACTTCCATTTTTCTTGTAGTCGCCATATTGGATTTTTCGATTCTTGAAAAGAGCGTAAAATTTCGAGTCTAGTTATGTCTCACAAGTGCACAAAATATATTAGAGCATCATCGAAATATCATCACATGTAATGTTATGTATTAATTTTTTTCTAAGGAGGCCATGATATATTTGTCAGAAAATAAAATTGATAATTAACGATTTTTTTTTTCATCTAAGTAGGCTCTGGCTTTGTCGTTAAATAATTCAAAGTATTAAAATTGTGTTTTAATAAGTAGTAGGTACGTTTTCTCGCATTAAAATCCTAAATCTGGCAGAAAAAATTGACAAAACCCAAATGGTCGATATTCCCTACTCAAATGAAGAGAAGTTTGACATGTTAGAGCTGTACTTGCAGTCACACAGAAACGCCGACATTACCTTAGCAAGGTACTTCGAGGTCTAGTCCGAACGACGGCAGCCTCATAAAACCCAATTAATTCAGAAAAATTGTAGTTAATTCAATAAACCATGGGGCCATCGAAAAACCTATAAGCGGATGCAATATTGGAAATGAAAATCGCGACAGAAAGATTTTGCAAGCTGTCAACGAAATCTCTAGTGCATCAGTAAGAACTATAGAGTGCGAAATTGGTGAGTCAAAATCAAACAGTACACAGAGAGTTAACTAAGAATACAAACCTACAACAGTTCAAGGACTTCAGGAAACTAACTTTCCAAGGCGAATGCGCTTCTGTGAGTGGTATACTAGGAAGTCTAATGAAAATCCTGACTTTGTAAATCATGTCTTGTGGTCCAATGAGAGTAGGTTTACGAATTGTGGAGTTTTCAGTAAGCACAAGACTCGTTATTGGGCTGTAGGAAACCCTCACGAAGTGGCAGAGAGTTTGGTGTGGGGTCATTAGTAATTTAATCTAACTTACCTTTTTTAATTGGGCACCTGTTTGAAATTAGGTATAATCATTTCAGGAAATCGACTTATAGGACCATTTTTGTTTGACTAAAACCGAAACGGACAGAGGTACCTAGAGCTTTTGCGAAACCAGGTTATGCCGGCTTTACGAGCTAGTCTAAACGAAGATGAGTTTAGAAGAACCTGATTTCAACAGGATGAACATATGTCCGGCTCAGAACACCATTCAGGTCAGAAACTTCTTAAGAGAACAGTTTGGTGAAAGCATAATTTTATTAAATGATTCACCTTGGCCTCCTAGATCCCCTGACCTTTCACCCTTGGACTTATACCACTGGGATCACACAAAGAGTGAGGTCTATGAAATTGATCTTCCCGCGGCCATGGAAATCCTGAGACAAAGAACTTTGAGCACAGTTAGGAACATTAACAGAAATACACTAGCTAAGGTTGTACGAAAAACAGTAACCAATTGTCAAAAAAGTCTGGATGCAAATGGACGTTACTTTGCAAATCTGTAAATTAATATCCACTTACATTAGATTTAAACTTTTGTAAAATGTTTGTTTGTTCAAGTGTAAAATAAAATGAAGATTTTTCTGACTTGCCTTTTTAACACACTCATAGTTGGGAATTTGTCCCAAAACATTTGATTTATTGAGAAGTCGATATTATCGTTAATATTTTATTTAAAATTCAATTTTTATGCCTGACAAATAAAGCCTCCTTAGAAAAAAACCTGATACATAACATTACGTGTGATGATATTTCGGTGATACTCCAATCTTTTATGCACTTGTGAGGCATCACTAGGTTGAAAATTTTACACTCTTTTCAAAAATCAAAAATTAAATATGGCGGCTATAAGAAAAATGAAAGTTGAAACCATAATTCTCAACAGAAAAAGAAAAATATGTTTTCAATGAAAGTTAATGAAGTGTTGAAATCTTCACCTAATTAATAACCGATATATCCCTTTTTTCAATTTTCTAAGGCATTTGTGCTTGTTTGTAATTTGGTTATCGTTGCGTCTTAAATGCGATTCTGACTTTAGCTTCCATTGTTTCGTTCGCCGGTATTTTTCTTGGCACTAAATTTGGTCGCGCCTATGATTTTCGAAAGAAAGCGGAAGAGTGTAAACAGAATAACAAGAGTCGTGGTAGAAGTCACTAGAACCGCTGCTAGAAGCACTTTTGCTAACTCTGTTTTCTCAACGGCAATTTATAATCGCTAACTACATCCAGTGGATCTTGAAAAAGAGGAGACCAGGGGCCCCTGCTGAGGCCCACACCAACGGATCAACAGTAAGCACCATTTTAGTACCTCGTGATTCACCTCCCGTTTCTTTTTTTTTGTTATTTTTCACGACGACTTTGCTCCCTTAATTTAGGGTATTATCACCAGTGTCACAGTTATATTAGTTACAAGGTAGATATGAAATTTGTTTCCGAGTGGTGGAGTTTGTGCCATAGCACCAAATTTTGTTCTATAAATCGTATAGTTTTTCTCTAGTTTGAGAGATATGTTACAGGAAACTGACCATACTTATTCGATTCACTACTTCTAAAATGCCTTTTGCTTGGTTAAATTTGTACCATAGGCTCAAATTTCGATTCCCGCCTAACTGTTGTGGAAGGAATGAAAATTGCTGTGACAAATTCTCATAGGCATTCTATTTACGGTATCTCAGTTTATCCCGGATAATTTTTCGGACGCACGAATATTGTATTTACTTGGTTATCTTCAGGTAAAGTATGGTAATCAGTGAATAATCTAAACACAAAAGTCTTAAATGGGAAGGTTTGAACATTAAGGCACTTGTTAACGTCAAAAATTATAAATTCTAACCGAGTCTTAAGCATCGACTATTATCATTCTTAGGATTTTTTTCAAACTTTGAATCGCTCATCGAAATCTTTTTTGTTCAGAAAGGAAGGGAAAAAACTTTCTTGTGCATTGAGCTGTCAGGATCATAGACACACACTCCATACGTCCAGTGTAATTTCCGGAGAGTTGCCCTGCGGATTATCCCTTATCACTGAGCGTTGAAATAACATGTAGCGACGTAAATTATACTTACTTTGTAAAGCCATGAAACATGCAAACAATGTTGTACCCAAGAGTGTATATTCTCCCAACATCCAATATGTGAGAATAGATATAGCTACTATCTGAAAAGATAAATTTAATACTAGAGTCAGTCAGTCAACGTACATACGAGTATGTACAATGGAAACCTTCACGGTTTTTCATCTGTATTCAGCGCTACATGTGATTTACACAGTCCTACAGTTTCAGCGACAGGTAATTTTTTTAGTCGTATCGTCAAATTATTGCTTCCTTATGATAAGTTCAAATAAGCTAAAATCTCAAAAACCATCGATCCTATGTGAAAAAGTAATAGGAACAGTTCTGTAGGGAATCAAATCCTTATCGTCAGGCACATGTAATCATATTTCTGCTTATAATGACTAAACTGAGAATCTCTGGAGTAAAAAACTATTTTTTGTATAGAATAAAAATTTGCTACAAAAAAGGTCTTTTACGTTTTTTTCGTCACCCTTGGAGTATAAGAAAATTCATATCAGCACAGACAGTCGCACGACATACCCAACACGATATGTACGTTGTCCACGTTGTCCATAAATCGGAGATAACTTCATAATCATTATCTATGGTCAAGAATAACATTTTAGAGTGGATACACTTTTTTACTACAGCGTAAAAGTATAAAAAAATGGATTTTTTTTTTGACAATTTGTGATGCTTTCATCATGCAGATCAAGTCACGGACTTCTATCAGTCAGCCTATTGACGATTTTTTCACTGTTCCTGACGTTATTTGTAGTGGGATGTTAAAATAAATCGCACATTAGCATTGCCACTTTTTCTCCTCTACAAGATATCATAATTAGAATTTCAATATAACGTTATGTCTCTGATCTCCAAGCGTCAACTTCATTTTTTCTCATGTACGCCATATTGGCTTTTTGTGTAGATGAATAGAGTTCTTAATTCTGATTCGAAAAATGTATAACATGTATAACATGTCATAAATTGACATTATTCCAGAAAAACCGAATTTCCTAGGTAGACCTTGAAATTATCAGCTAGTCATTTGCTTCGTATACCAGACCAGACCTCAAATTGAACATAGTAACGGAGTTTGGAAGGCTGAGGAGAAGGGAAATCAAACAGTAAACAATATACAGAGAATAATCAGGCTTTGCTTACAAAATATCGAACAACATTTTGAATATCTGTTATGATTTACCTCTGCTTATTTATGATTGTTAATAAATAGAAACTTCATTTTGTATCTAGGTTTCACTATAGTTATTTCCTTATAACTTGTCAAATTCATGACCAAAAAAAGAAATATATCACTGAATTCAGGACTGTAAATCCCATTTGAATGTACAAAATTTCAATATGGCGTCCATAAGAAAAACACAGGTGATGGTAGTCGAAAGAAGGATCTTCCAATTGTAGAACAGAATAACTGGCAATGACAATATGCAGTTTATTTTGCAATCTCAACTCAAATGTCAGGAAAAGATTATTTTGGAATAAATGTAGTACCTATATATTATATAATACTTTCAAGGCCTACCTAGGAAATTCAGTTTTTTTGAAATAACCAAGGTGATCACAACAAATTCTTGGAGATTGTTGTTAAATATGGTTTTGTCGGTCAGTCTCTTAAATGGGCCAGATCGTTTTTAGTCCAAAGAAAACAATATGTTTCAGTACAAGATCTTGATGCAGGGAAAAATATGAAAAACTTTGTGTCAAGTACGTTAGACATCTCGATTGGAGTCCCCTATGCTTGGACCAATCCTTTTTCTCTTATACATTAATCAGTTTGATAATGTTCATCCAGATACTCATTTTACAGCATATGCTGATGACGTTTCTACCATAATATCAAGTAATTCACATATAATTTTGGAATATAAATGTAACAACTTAATTAGGAATATCAATACATGGTTTAACCAGTACTCACTTTACTTGAATCCTTCCAAAACAACGCTTATTCGTTTTCATCATGTGAAATTTCTTGGAGTTCATTTTGATTCGAACTTAAATTGGAAGGCCCACTGCGAATTTCTCACATCAAAAATGTACTCTCAAAGCTATGTGTTGAGGCAATTAAAAACCATCTTAACAGCTGAACAATTGATACAAGTTTATTTTGCTAATGTGGATTCGAGATTAAGATATGGAGTATGTTTCTGGGGTTGGTCAACGCGCTCTGAAGATGTATTTGTGTCTCAAAAAAGATGCATCCGATCATTAGCAGGCATCTCACCAACAGAAAGTTGCAAAAAATATTTTATAAGTTTCAACATTTTAAGTGTCCCTTCGTTGTATATATACTAAGTGACATATAAATCCGAACACCCAGTTTAAATGGTTTTATTTTAATAAAAGTTGGTGAATGTATTTATCTTACTGTAAATAACAAGTGAAAAAATTTTCAGCCTTATCAGTTGGACATTCCGGTTTTTATACTGCTTTTTTTTAATTCACTAACGCTCTAAAAATGAATATTTCAGCCGCAATAAAGAATCAACGTTGGCGGATTTTGGTTCTTGACATCCTTTACGATCGGTTACGATGCCTAGAGTACGGAGACCTGTACGATTTCGTCAACTTCGTGAGTTTGATAGGGGCCGTATAGTGGGACTTCGGGAAGCTGGACCTTCTTTTCGGGCAATTGCAGTTAGAGTGCAAAGAAGTGTAGACACTGTGGTTAGGTGTTGTCAGGCATGGCTTCGAGAAGGCCGTACGCAAAGAGCAAGGGGCACTGGACGCCGCCGTAGAACAACAGACCGTGAAGATCGCCGCCTAAGATTATTGGCCTTAAGGGACCGTTTCTCCACTACCAGGTTTATTGCAAATGAATGGTTTGCAGAACACGGCAGACCTATTGGCATGCGAAGTGTTTACCAATGAATGAGAAGTTTTGGCTTGTTTTCATACCGGCCACACTGCGTCCTTCCTTTAACTCGAGAACACCGACGTAATTGCCTTGAGTGGTGCAGACAACGGTCACTCTGGGATCAGGAATGGAACAGTATTGTCTTTAGTGACGAGTCTCGATTTTGTTTAGGCATGCACGATGGTAGTTCCAGGGTTAAAAGGCGACGTGGTGAAAGGAGGAATCCACAGTTTTTTGTTGAAAGAGATGTTCATCACACTGTTGGAGTTATGGTTTGGGGTGCTATAGCTTATGGTTCCAGGTCACCTTTAATCTTCATCAGAGGTAACATGAACGCGCAGCGTTATATCCACGAAGTTCTAGAACCACATCTTTTACCCTATCTTGACACCCTGGCAGATCCAACTTTCCAACAAGATAATGCCCGACCACATGTTGCAAGAGTCGCAATAGACTTCTTTCAACATAATGATGTCACATTGTTACCATGGCCACCAAGATCTCCCGACTTATCCCCAATTGAGCACGTGTGGGATATGATGGGTAGGAGATTGCTCAATTTGCAACGTCCTCCTCAGACTCTAGAAGCACTTCGAGAGGAGTTGGTGGTTGCCTGGAATGAGATACCACAGGAGGACATTGACCACCTGATCAGAAGCATGCCTAGGCGCGTTGGAGAATGCGTAGCACATCAGGGTGCATCCACACATTATTAAAGGTCAAAGGGCTTTAAAGCAGTGCAATCATTTTGAAATTTTTATCATTTACTTATTATGCTTCATTAAGTACTTATACAAAATTTTATTAAAATAAAACCATTTAAACTAGGTGTTCGGATTTATATGTCACTTAGTATATATGAATTGTGCTTACATGTTTTTAAAAATAATGAAAAATTCAAGCGGAATTGTGATATGCATAATTATGATACAAGGACTTGTAATAATTTGTATGTAAACTTCAGCAAATCAAAAGGGGCATTTCGATCACCTAATAAAATTGGTCCGCTTCTTTTTAATAATTTACCATGCCACATTACCTCGGTTAAAAATATTAACGACTTCAAGTTCCAGTTGATGCAGTTTTTGATAAACAAGTGCTTTTATCGTATTGATGAATTTTTGAACATTGCAATTTGAGATTAGTTGTAGGTTTGTAGCGAACGAAAAATTGACAATTCCAACACAATTATATATTATCTGTATGGAAATAAAGGTTATTGATTGATTGATTGATTGTGGCCATGTCAGTGTATGACGTATTATACATTTTTGGAATCAGAATTAAAACCTTTACTCACCTGTGCAAAAATAAAATTGATGCTGGAGGATAAGAGACAAAACTTCGACTTGCAATTCTAATTACACCATCTTGTAGAGAAGAAAAATTGGCAATTGATTTTGAAATCCCACAAATCCCACAAATAAAGCCACTAAAGAAGTAAAAAGATTTTGGAAAAATTTAGGCTTTTTCTGGCTCTCTTTGGAAATACTTTGAATTTTAAAACTTTCTAATAGGCATTTTGTTGGTTACCTAAGTAACTTTCCCCCTATTAAAGCGACTTCGAGGGTCGAATTTGAAACACCCGGTATATAATATAACAACTTTCTAAATTCATGCTTACATGTATATACTGATTTATCTGAACATGGAAAATTGTTACTGTCACATATCTCAGGTACTATTGAATAGATTTTGATGCAATTTTGCACAATAATGTCGTATAAGAGTAACGCAGATTGCCCTTTGAACGAACCTTGTATATTGCTCCATAATCTGGTGACATTGGCCCAAGAACAAATGTTTTGAGATAAACAAAACCTCTCAAAAACTTGAGCAACTCGAATTTCGGTGTGGTTGTTTATAAGTTCGAGAAACTAGTCTGTTTCTCGAAAACCGCTCACTTTATCAAAGTCAGGCAAGAATAGATATTGGTTAGCGGAAGGCTTAGAGATATCAAAAATATCATGGTGGCTATTAACGGTTATATAAATATTTCACAGATTTTAGGGGTGAGGAGGTCCAAACAGGGTAACGACCGGTGAAGTAGATATCGACACTGCTGGAATCATGTTCCCGAGTTTAGCAAGATGATATCTGACCATTTTCTTCCTGGTAAGTTACTTCATCCTCCTATTAGCTCGAGCGTTACAGACTACGGTATAGAGCGAAGCAGCAGCAACGTGGACGATTTCGGCGAGTCTGAACGTAACAATCTTTTCA